ACCGGGGGGTAGAACAGCAATGGCGCCACATTCAACTTGGCATCGGTGATCTCAACTCTTCACGTCAGACGGAGTACCGCCTTTCCACGTCCGTTGGAAAAACCAGGGGTCGCAGGGGGCCGCAGGGGTGAAAAGACAGGGAAGTGATTCGCTGAAAAGGGCTTGAAAACCGCCTTCAAGCCACATTCACTGATCATCTCAGGGTATTTTACCTGAAAGTCTGCTGCTGATTTGATAGGTTAAGGCACCTTACTTATCGCAGTCTTAGTGACCCACTTTCCATCGGGCGTGGTAAGAGGCGGTATTATTAATAAGATTCGCTCCCTCCAGAGCACGTCAAACCACAGCTCGTGTCTGCTTTGGGCGTCCGAGAGCCGCGGAAGAGCACCGAACTTGGCATGCTGTCAACATTGCCTTGTTTGAACTCTCTCCGATCCCTTACCAGATTCCAGATCTCCACTTCATGGGCACTTCACCACTTGTCCATTACGGTATCTGGGCGGACAACGAGATTCCCATGTGCCCGGTGCAGTTTCCGAATTGTTGATTGGGGACGGAGTATGTACTTACTGTGTTGCTTCCAGTGCGTACGATCCTAAACAAACATACTGTGGTTTCTTTCTCGGACGAGTCCACGAGATAGCCTGCGACAGTCATCAAACTTTCTCTCTACGTATATGAAAGCATTTCTGCGTACACCGTAGAAACGTGTAAAACAGCATGGCATTATTATTATGCCGGAATATTCATGCTGCTCCCCTAGTGATCTGGAGACGACGTGCCGGGTAGTCATGTGACCGCGTTCGGCGAAATTCCATCCTATGCTTTTTGTTGCGGACTTCCGACAGCACCTCTCCCATCCACGGCGGCTCGCTCCTCGACAACATGCTTATGGTGAGGGCACGCATGTTCTGGGGCCACGCACCTCGCGTGCGGTCCCTTGCTTCACTGCGCAGGACCTTCGCCACTGTCAATCCTGCCGAACGGTATGACCCGAACGCATGGGCTGCTCCATTCACGAATTGTCTAACAAATCGCAGTCAACCTTACGATGTGATAGTCATAGGCGGAGGCCATGCCGGCTGCGAAGCTTCCGCTGCGGCGGCTCGATCGGGCGCTCGAACAGCCCTCGTGACTCCTAAACTCGATAACCTGGGTGTGTGCTCATGTAACCCTTCATTCGGCGGCATTGGCAAAGGCACGATGCTTCGCGAGATTGATGCGCTCGACGGTGTCGTTGGGCGCATTGTGGACAAAGCGGGTGTACAGTTTCGGGTCCTGAACCGAAAGAAGGGTCCGGCGGTTTGGGGCCCTAGGGCACAGATTGATCGGGCGCTGTACAAGCGGTACATGAGGGAAGAGATGGTCAATTACAAGAATCTGAGTGTCGTGGAGGGGAGTGTGGCTGACATAATTGTGGATAAGGAGGGTGTTAAGGAGGAAGGGTCGTATGGCAAAATCACAGGAGTGAGGCTGGAGGGTGGCGAGATCATTCCGACAGGGCACGTCGTGATTACCACTGGGACGTTTCTCGGTGGCGAAATCCATATCGGTCTCGAAGCCTATCCGTCAGGCCGCATGGGCGAGGCTGCAACGTTCGGATTGAGCAAGTCCCTTCGAGAGGCAGGTTTTACGCTTGGCCGCCTAAAGACTGGAACCCCACCGCGACTGGACAAGAAGACCATCAATTTCAAGGTATTGGAAGCGCAGGAGGGCGACAATCCGCCAATGCCATTCAGCTATCTGAATGACCGCGTGCAGGTAGAGAACCAGCTACTGAACTACCAAACGCGCACCAACGAAGCCACCCACGACATCATCCGCAACAACCTTGACAAGTCCATCCACATCCGTGAAACCGTCAAGGGGCCCCGATACTGCCCATCCCTCGAATCCAAAGTCATCCGCTTCACGGACAAGACGTCGCACATCATCTGGCTCGAACCTGAAGGCTTCGACAACGACATCATCTACCCGAACGGCATCTCCATGACCGTCCCCGCCGACGTCCAAGAAGCCATGCTGAAAACCATCACGGGCCTCGAAAATGTAACCATGCTCCAACCGGGCTACGGCGTGGAATACGACTACGTGGATCCACGCAACCTGCGCTCCACGCTCGAAACGAAAAACATCTCCGGTCTCTTCCTCGCCGGCCAAATCAACGGCACAACGGGTTACGAAGAAGCCGCGGGTCAAGGCGTCATCGCAGGCATCAACGCGGGTCTCGCCTCCCAGGGGAAACCGCCGCTCGTCCTCACGCGCGCCGACGGCTACATCGGCATCATGATCGACGACCTCATCACCAAGGGCGTCTCGGAGCCCTACCGAATGTTCACCTCGCGCTCCGAATACCGCATGTCCGCGCGCGCCGACAACGCCGACACGCGCCTCACCGCCATGGGCCGCGCCGCGGGCGTGGTGACTGACCGGCGGTGGACGGCCTTTAACGACGAAGCCGAGCAGATTGCCGCCCTGACCAAGCTCCTCCAGGCCAAATCGATGGGCTGGACGAGCTGGAACGCCCACGGCTTCAACGTACGTAACGACTCGTCCAAGCGCTCCGCCTACGACCTCCTCCGCATGGCCAACACGACGTGCGCTTCCCTCGTCGACGTCGTCCCCGAAATCTCGCAGTTCTCCCCCCGCATCCGGAACCGCGTCGAGATCAACGCCGCGTACGCGCCCTACGTGGCGTACCAGGCCGCGGCGCAGCAACGCTGGCTCCGCGACGAAGGGCTCAAGTTACCGCTGGATCTCGACTACGAGGCCATCTTCGGGCTGAGCTTCGAGGAGAAGCAGGCGCTGAAAGCGGCGAGGCCCGAGAGCGTGGGGCAGGCGAGACGGGTCGAAGGAGTGACGCCGACGGGGGCGTTGCGGTTGCTGCAGTTTGTCAAAGGGGTGGGGAGGGAGGAGGTGGAGGCGAGGAGGAGGGAGGAGGAGATGGCGAGGAAGATGGCGTTTCGGGAGGTGGTGGGGAAGGAGATGATGGCGTAGATTGGAGTATGCACGGATGGATGGATGAATCTGCATTTGCGTGGCGTTTTGTTTGGCTTGGAATGGGTTGGGTTGGGTTGGATGGATTGATCTTAGGTTGGTAAGGAGACTCCGGAGGCATCTGTATAAAAGGGGCTGTGTGGATATGGGACATTGGATGTAACATCTTACTGTATAATACGAGCGCGAACCTGTACACATATCAGTTGATATTGGCGGCAGAATGCACGTATTATATGCACTACTGTATTCAACTTCACATTTCTGAGTTAGTTTTCGTGAACATTTCTGGTCGTGCGAATAGCACTTTGAGCGAGCGGTAAATATAGCCCGTAGTACGCAGGCAAGACTACAGTAGAGTACTCCCTTTTTACTGCCTGTATTATTCAACACGTACACAGTCCTAATCACAACCTCCCACCCTTTCCGCCGACATCACCCACTCAGCAGAAACAGCATCGCGGAAGGTTCCCCTGATGCGGAAATCATCTATCCAGTAGATAAAAGAAACTCCCCAGACCCTCCTCTGCGGAACCACAGGGCCCATGGTTGTACAACCCAGCAAGTTAAAAAAACAACCTCCGCAGCAAAACGAACACAACATGTAGCGTACCAGCCAGATATATATTATTAGCAGCAGATACCCTACCCTTGCCCAACCAACAACGACCCAGCTAAACCAAAACTCACCTAGTCAGGTGGTCTACTATACACCAATGGATGCGACGATACGGGCAAAAAAGCAGAACGAAGAGAAAAAGCAGTGGAACTCAATCCCTTGAACATGGTGCGAACATAAGAGCATATAAATCAAAACCCTGCCCAAGGAGAAGCATAATCGTCGTTCATCGTCTTTCGTGATCTTGCAAGTCGAGTCATACTCGGTCTCTTCTCTTGCCTCGTACATGGCGCTTCCACAGACCACGGTTCCCTCTTATATACCATCACAATCGTCCCGAACGTCAAATCCAACATTGTGCAACTAAATGTTAAAGCAACCATCGTTGCCAAGGATTTCGCATTTCTCGTGTATTTGTAGCCGAAAGCTTCGTGCAGGCTATACAGACGGAGGGCGATGGTAAAGTGGAGGTGGACGAGTCCTTTCGAACAACGTCATACATCCGCGTCGGACATAGATAGGGCGGGAATCACAGGAATGGGCGCGCGTCCACGGGGGAAGGTCGGCTAACAACAAGCTGGCAGGAACAGATCGACGATGGAACGTATGCCCTGGGAAGGGACGAAACGGCCGCTGAGTACGGAGTCTTGTGTTCTTCGAATTCGGACCGCGAAATGGCGTACCCGTATGTGCCGAATGGTGCATATGGTTGGTAGCCACTCCTCCCTGATGCGGATTGTGTGAGAGGTCCTCGAACACAGGTGCCAGTGAGTTGTTATCTGGGGCGGAAGGAGAGATCAATTCGGTCAGGAGGAGTTGCACCGGAAAGCCACGTACGTATACGTCCGTGTGCGGGCCGATAGCGGGAGGTGGTCCAAAAGGCGAGATATCCTTATCGACTGTAAGGCTGCTTGGTGTAGGCCAGATGGTAAGGGAGAGCCACTGCTCAGCGGTTGAAATCGGGGTGTAGAAGGAAAAATAATCCAATATATTCATATCAAAGCTTTTCAATATCCAAAGTCAATGCAACGTTCAGGGCGTGAACCCTGTGTGACTATAGTCTCTAGCGTCGTAGCATCATTCATCGTGTATGTCGTGAAGGGACTGGTCCTGGGAGAAAGGCCGTAATATACACTGGAGGGCCGTTCAGAGAAATCTTTTCGCATCGAGTTCGTCAAGTTGTCCGGATCAAGCACATTCGTGCCTATTGAGACCCCAAAATATCCAGAGTGGATTGCGAAGAGAGCTCATCACTGCCTCTGCCTTGGTGGCCATTCTGACGGGGACGGCTGAAGCCCGAGCCGCGCTCCGGAACTGGACCACGTGGTTGACGAGAGGGTAGACCGCGTTCGCGAGACTGGTCCTCAAAGGGGGTGCTGAAGGTTCGATGGCCTCCAATGGGGCCTGGGTTCTCCCAAGAAGTCATCTGACGCAGCGAACGGGGGCTGCCTCCTTGACCGAATGAGGAGCCGATCTGCATCCGGCTCATCTCCCGCTCCAGAACATCGTCCCGTTGCGTCATGGTGGTATTGATGGGAGTACCAGCAGGGTTAGTTGAAGTTGTCGTGTTGAAGGCAAAAGTCTCGGTGGTGCCGCTAACACGGCCAATAGGGTGGCTGGCAGTAGAAGGCGCAGGCGATGGGGTATAGGACCGCAAATCCGCGTAGGACTTGGCGGCACGCAGGTTGTGCGATGCATTCAATCCGCCAGACGACTCCGCAAATCCAAGCAGGCCAGACGATGGTTGTCTTCCAAAGGCGTTGTAGAAGCCTTCCGAAGCCCGCACGTCGCTGAAGTCTGTAGTGGCGGCACGGTTAAGACCACGTCGCGGTTGTTCAATGGCGTGGTTCTGCGCCAGCTGCTGCATAGGAGGGCTGAGATTTGAGCTGTTGTGTACCTTGAAGATGTGGATCTGACGCTGATCATTCGTGCCCTTGGATACGTGCATCAGGCCCAGGAAATGTGCCAGGGTATGGACGATGCGTCGTTGGCTGGGGGACAGAGTAGGAGGAAAGGTCATGCTCTCACGATCGCCGTTCTCCTTGAAGAGAAGCAACTGCGTGTAGAACTGCAAGACCTGAGGGTCGTTCATGTCAGGTTCTGAAATTGGTTAGCAAGTGGAATTCAGGCAATGAGCCGTCTGCAGGCACTCACTTGGCTCGCCACGCATCCCTGACACGGGAGAAGGTGAAGGCGCGGGGGCATGGGTGGCTAATGAGCCATATGAAGATTGCACTTGGAGATTCGAGGTCGCCATGGGCCGGTGTTGCTCCTCCAGCTGGCCACGCCGCTCACGCTTCTCTCTCTCGATGCGCTCTCTCTCGGCGATGGGGAGCATTTTCTTGTATTCGACCCTCAACTTCCTCCCAGAAAGCTCCAAGTGATTCATACGACGTATGACTTCGGCGGTCTCCTCGGCGGAGTGATAGTTTGCGAAGGCAAGGCCCCTGAAGACTCCACTGTCGAAGTGGTAATTAAAGGCATAGGGAATAGGGATGCCCATGTCTGCCATGAGGTTTTGGAGTTGCTCCTTTTTCACAGCGAAAGGGATGTTCTTGATGACGATGGCGGTAGGTATGATCTCGTCCTCGGTATCTTGCTGGAGGTTCTCCTGGCGGAGCTGATGGCCGCCCATGACGTTGTTCTGATGTCCCGAACCCAGACCGGGTAGAGCGAAAGTGGGAAGGGGCGGTGGCTGGTCCACGAGCCAGTTCTGGCAAGCAAGGTCAGCGGAGGGTTTCAGATAAAGGCCTTTGCATCACTCACAGCAGGAAGGTTGCCCCTGGGATTCCGCTGTGGTTGCCTCAGCCGGCCAGCAGCACCGAGGGTGGACAGGGTAGCATTTTGCGAAAAGCCAGTCGTGTTCCAAGCGTTTGCGAGATTGCCATTGCCTAGGTTATACTCATAGGGAGAATGAATGGTAGAGGCAGTGCGGTCGTAGGCACGCTGGTCGTAGGCTCGAGAGGGGTCATCGCCTGGATAGAGGCCAGGAAGAGGGGGTTGCGCATAGGCATCGAGCTGACGCGAGGGTTGACGGTGCAGCGACTGAGGTTGGTGACGGTGGGAGCCCGGCGATCGTGAGGAGGCGGCGTCGTAGGCGGAGGAGGGTTGTTGGTACATTATCGGCGGAGTGGCCGTGGGCGGGCTCGAGGAGGACGAGATTTTATTATTCTTGGGGGTCGTCGAGGGTTTGACGAAGACGGGCTCGTTTAGTGCATGTGGTGCCAAGGCCAGACACACCGGGGAATTGCAGCGGAACCCGTCAAGGGAGGATCCACGCAGGGGCAACGGGGAACGGGGGACAGCAGCGACGAACAGCGGCGACAAACGAGAGACGCTGGAAAAGGAGAGGTCGATTGTCGGACGGACGACGTGTGGTTGGGGCTCGCGTGGGAGGGGAGGGGATGGAGAAAGGAGAGAGGTGGGTGCAAGCAGCAAAAGGGAGGCGTGGCACAGTTCGGGAGCTGCGCGGGCGGAGGCGCGGACTGGTCGACCAGAGCGGGCACCACTCCCTAGGGACAGGGTTGGCGGCGGCGGAGGGCGGCCCTGGGACCTGTCTTGTCTCCTTTTCTGCTGCCGTCGGCAGAAGAAGTCGTGCTGCTTGCTGGGTTAACTTATAATATTGTCATTACCAGTAGAGCAAAAGCGAAGTACCGAGTACGGACTTGTCAAGGGAGGAGACACGGAGGAGCCCGGCAGGTCCAAGTCACTCACTCACCAGTGCGCGAGAGATGGGCGAGAGATGGACAAGAGATCAGATGGATGTCAGAGGCGGACGGTGCAGGAAGCTCCCTCGTGCAGATGCTGACGGCGGCGAGTGTGGTGGAGAGTCATAACGTTAGTAGAATAGATTACCTAGGGTAGAGTGGAGGGGCGTGCAAGAAGCTGCCAGTCGAAATTTCTTTTTGAGTGCCTTTCTGTGCCTTTCCCTAGTCTATGGGTGCCCAACACTGGCCGTCATTGGTTCACCAGCTAGAGACATTTCCCCCCTCCTTGCGCCCCCCTCTCTTACGTCGTCCAACCAAACAGGTGAAACCTACTGCACAAAAGCCGTCCCACAACTTCAAGGTTTCACTCTACCGTTCCAAGTTCCAAGTTCCCCGTCAGTAGTACTACTGTAGTCTACAGTACGGAGAAGTGTGGAAGGGAGGAATGAATGGCGCTGTGATGCCGATGTGTGGTACGCCAGCGGTTGATTGGCTTACCCCCCTCCTCTGGTCTCAAATGCTCTCCCATCAGACTCCTCCCTGTCAGCGGAACCGTGGTTTTTAGCATGCCTATTTATCCTACTAATGAAGCAACCCGCCATGGTGCACGAGTGCATGTGCCCGAGGTGCATGAGACGTATGCTTCTAGACGCCAAAAAGTGTGTGGTAGAAGATGGTGGTGCTACATACGTGTTGAAGGCTCAACGCAGATTACGCAGATTGTCCCACCACCAGGCCACACCAGCTTCGAAAGAAGCTATTCTTACCCCGTGCATATCGGTGGATTCGCGCTCGGTGCCATCCCAGGAACCGGCGTGCATCACCACGAACGATTGTGCGATCATGTAGATTGTTGAGTAATTTCACTCTATCTGATTCATTCTGCGGGCCGACTAAGGAACGGGCAGATACTCTTGACGTCGGAAAGAAACGACGAGTCGATGCACACATGGCAATGCAAAAGCTGATGGGGGTTCCCCTTCAGAGACGGCGGACGGGTGACTGTTCCCTGTGATATCCAAGGCGGGAGTGAGTCTCGTGTCCATGGTATGGCTTGTGTCGATCGGTGAGCACCGACTTGTGCCACTGACAGGCACAGATGATGGGATGATGGCTTGTGTGCGTTTGCACCAGTGTGCTACCTTTCCTCCAACAAAGAACGGCAGCAACCCGATACGCCGGATCCTCGATCAACCTGCATGCTGTGTCCAGTCATGTGATCGCTAAAGACCTCCAACACTGCCTTCCAGGGCTGTTGGGTCTCAAAGGCGGCCGCAGGTTACCTGGACGGGTGGGACCGGATCATCCAAGTGTTGGTTGTATGCCCAATATTGGTTCGCCTGCTGGGGGGGGCGAAGAGATCTCCAGTCGCTCAGCTGCATGGCTCCAGCGCACCTGGCCCAACCAGTGCCTGCTTGACGCATCATCGATTCATTCTCCCCTGAGGCGTAGCATTCGTTCTTTGTTAGAGACTCGGGAGGTTCCTGAAGCAGGTGTCCTGATTCAACTCTCCGTCCCGAGCCAGGCGCGTTGGGCTATGAGCAATGCCTTGGCCCCAAGTGACTCCCGCGATTGCTGTTGGAAATGTCCATAGAGAGAAGGCCAGCAGGGCAGGTAATGGATATCTGGGATTGCTCGGTGTTGGACAGCCAGTGATGGATACGTCACTTCTTAATCTAGATCCAGAACCCTAGACCATTCGGTCTCGCCCACCCGCCGGAACTCTGCCCCTGCCTCGAACTGTCCACTTTCTTGCCAAGCTCGCATCGTCGCCTCGTCATACGGTCCGTTGATGTCTTCCTCCGGAGCCGCAAGCCAGTGGAACTCCCACTTGGGTGGATTGGAGTCTTTCCAGTCCTCTCCCGTCTCCCGTTTGTAGTGGCGTATCAGCATCTCCCTCGGTTGCTCATAAACGTCGTCTATACCACGTTCCGCTAATCGACTTGCCGATTCGGTAATCATGTCGATGGCTTGTTTCGCCTTGGCCGCTGCCTCCTCTTGAGCGGGATCCATTTCGACGTCCATAGGCTCAGTCTTCCTGTTCTTATTGAACGTCTTCACCTTCTTCTTAGGAACCGCCTTCCCATGCCGCACCAGTGCCTCCATGGGCGTCTCTCCTACTTCCAAAGCACCAATCATGGCCGACAGAACATCGGCCAGCGATATGGTATCCTCTGCGCGCTCACGCGCAATGCGTTCTGCTTCCCGCTTCTCATGCGCTTCTTTTGCTTTCCGGATGTCCTTCTTCGATACACCATCCAGCCAAGCATCTTGAGCGGCATCGGGATCGTATGCTTTCCTGATGTAGTTTCCCGCTTCGTCGAACCGGCCCTCTTCCTGCTCCGCTTTCATGTTGAAAGCGTCCAGCTTCGGCGCATGCTTCTTCTTGCTGCCAGCTCCAAGCTCTTCATCCATGCCAGGTTCTAGCCTAGCCCGCTCTTCATCCCCGCCACTCTCACTGCTGGTCTCTTCATCATTAGATCCGCCATCATGCCTGCCTCCAAAGTCCACGGCCACGTGGCCTCCTGCTTTGCTTGTTTCTTCCTGACCTTCAATCTCATCATCGTTCAAGAAGCGGACCGGTTTCTTTTTGATACCGCCACGACATGTATCTTCCGCCTCCTCGTCCGCAGACTCTGCAAACATATCGTCGTCTTCTGCATCCGCTGCGGCGTTTTTGGCCTTCGCCCTGGCTTCCGCACGCGCGTCAAAGTTCTCTGTCGAGCTGTCCGAGTCGTAGCCGTCAATGTTGACTGCATTGCGTTTGACGCCTGCGCGTTTCCCAATTTCATCAGCGTCCAGAATAGGGTCGTTCTCCTCCTCTTCGACATCCGGTGCCAAGGTCGAGGGAAATCGTGGGTCGAAGCGGGGTTTCTTTACGGATGGCTCGTCCCCTGTAAGATGATGTGTGCGCGTGAAGATATCGGCGGAGCGCTTTGGGCGCGCCGCCGAATAATTGCTAGAGCTCGCCATAAATCCAAGGTGTTACAAGCACCGAAACGAAGTCAACGCGCAAAGCAAGTGAGAATGGTGAGTGAGATGCAATGATGTCCAGGCAAGTGGCGGGACCATCACGCAAGATATGAAGACGGGAGCTTGGGCCACGCGGAGTTTCCAGCGCCAAGGCCTGCGGTGGTACCTAGCGGCCTCCAGATCAACACTTCGTCATTCATACCCATATTCTTATAGAGCACACGGTAAGGCAGTCCCGGTCGCCTTTTGCCTTCACCATACACGCCCCATTTACTTCAGCGTTTCTCTGCCTCCCTGAACCTTCTTCACCTTTCACCCGCACGCTAGTATAGAGTAAACACTCAAGTCAAAATGGTAGGAGCTATCGCGCACCCCGCAGCACCTCCGGACAGCGAAGCTCACATTCTCCAGTTCAACCCAGGTTTCTACGATGAGGACGACCCGATGGCCATGTACCACCAAATACGGCGAGGTGGCGCTCCACGCAGATTCGACGAGTATTTCCGCTGCTATCCCGTTGCCATGCTTCCCGGTCCCGAACGTGAAGAGGCAAACCATGGCGGAAAGGTGTTCCTCCCACCCAGCGCGTTGGACAAGCTCACACGGTTGCATATAACATATCCCATGCTGTTCGAGCTCATAAATGGAGCAAAAGAGAAGAAGACGCATGCTGGTGTGCTGGAGTTCATCGCTGAGGAGGGGAAGATCTACCTACCGTACTGGGTGCGTTAGGTTGTACAGTCCGCTTGCGGCTCTGCTGACACCATTGTAGCTGATGCAAACTCTCGGGGTTGAGCCAGGAGACCTACTTCAGGTCAAATCAACCGATCTACCGCTAGGCACATTCATCAAACTACAACCTCAAGACCCTTCCTTCCTTGAGATCTCCGACCCTAAGGCCGTTCTCGAGAACGCTTTCCGCAACTTCTCCTGCCTTACCACTGGCGATGTCTTCACCTTCGCCTATAACGACAATGTATACAGCATAGCTGTTCTGGAGACGAAACCGAAACACCCAAGTGGAGCAATATGCACGCTGGAGACCGATCTATCAGTCGACTTTGCGCCACCTCTAGGATACGTCGAACCGCAACGTACAAGCGGAACCAGCACACCGAGGAGCGGAGTCGCAGGCCTGGCCGGAAAGGGTGGGACCGTGCATTCGCATGGAAGCATGGCGCAGGCAATCAACTACGCGGCGATCGCACCTTCGTCAACAACAGCCGCTGCGGGAGCGAAAGCCACCTCTTCGAACTTCCTCACTGCAGGCCACAGGCTGAACGCCAAGAAAGGGAGTAAGACCCCGACTCCCCAGGCCTCGACTCCTGTGGGAGGCCAGTCAACGAATCCTCCGGTCCCGATACGGCGCACGAACGGGCCCCAACCGTTGAGACTGCCGCCTGGGAAGTTATTCTTTGGCTATGAGATCAAGCCTCTTAAGAACAAGGAGAATGATGAGAACAAGCCACCAAAGCATTTTGAAGGCTCAGGACAGACACTCCGCAAGAAGAAGGGTGATAAGTAGAGAGAGTTATATTGCGTCACGCTACCTAGGTAGACTCACCCTGTTTCATGGCTACAGGCGGCGTTAGAGCGGACTGGAGTCAAAAGGACTTTGCATCTCACGGCGCGTACAAATGGGCTTGCGGATATGGGACTCGGTGCAATGGGTGCCGGGGGTTGGACGGGTTCAGTTCAGGTCGCAGAGTGGATGGTTCGGTCGGGTCAATATCTCAGTAGACTTCCTAGGAACTACTAACTAAACATATGGTTACGCTCACGTGCTCAACGTGAATATTATCATCATATAAACGTTCATGACAGTCTAATGTGACTAGGTACTTCGAATGTTGGACAAGTAACGTGAGTGATCAAGGTCATGAATGTGTAGTGGAAACCATGTTGTATTGTTCGCAGCCCAGCCTGAAGAGACCTTGAGTTGCCCTAGCAGTGCCGCAACATACTAGGATCGGTTCGAAGCATAGCAAAGCGCCTAGACTTCACAAACAGGAGGAGAATTGCACCACCCAGATTAACCGTCCTGACCCGTCTGGTCCACCTCCTCCACCATTCCTAACGGCACTTGTGGGCCCACACCCCATCCCAAATGCAACGTCTGCAGCCCCGGACGGAACCAGAGACAGGAGCACGAAGCATGTAGCCGACGACTCACAAGCCCTCCTCGTCGTTGACGCCAAAGTCCTCGAGGATTTCGTTTTTGATCTGATAGCCGCAGTCTGCGGACTTCTTGGCCTTCTTGTTCAAGTGCAGATCCTCCTCTTCTTCCTCCTCGATGGCGTCCTTTCCATTGCTGACGTCGTTCAAGCTCTTGGCTCCACGCTTCTTGCCATTGCCGCTACCAGGGACTTTAGTCTTGGTCGGAGTTCCTGCGGGCATGCTACCTCCACCACCACCTGGGTACGTGAGGCCGGCTTCTCCGTAGACGGCGCGCTGTTCGTTACGGATCTTATCGAGCCTGTTGCGGATTGCGCCGGGCGTGGGAGCAGGGCCACCCGCGATATTGCCTGGTGGGTGTTAGCAGGGTTGATGAGTTTTTGACACGGTTGAAGAACTGTTTGAAGTGGACCTACCTATCAGTTTAGCAAGAGTCTCGTACTCGGCGACCGTGACGGTGCGTGGTTGGAACACAAGCAGGGTGAGCTACGAGTCTGTGTTAGTATGTCTTTGAGGCTTGAATTGTTGGGAGCTAGCATCGTGGTCTGGCTCTTGAGCGGACCAGAGCGCATGCGTACCTTTTGGTGGAGCTCGGGTGTCCAGGTGAAGGTGCCCTTTCATTTGTTAGCTTATGACTGGATAACTCCACAGTGGTGTTGGATGCGTACCTTCGAGCCTTTCTCGGCGTTGCCGGTCTTCTCGCCGGAATCCTTCGTTTTCTTGGGAGGCATTGTTGGATACGAAGGATCAAACACGGGTGTGACGGAGAAGACACAGTTGGTAGACGCGTTCCACGTGCGTGGTGTCGAAGTGTTGAAGTAGGTTGGGAGAGGCTTGAGGTGATAGCACAAGAAAAGCTCTGAAGACAGAAAGGCAATGGTTTTGTTTCTGTTTGCCTTGGGTGAGAGGATGACTGGCCGAGGGAGGAAGTGAACCCAGATTGACAGTCAGAGAAATGAAGAGGAAGTGAAGCTCAGCTCGAACATGATGATTTTAAACGAAGCAGCAGGCGGTGAAGCGGTGAAGTCCAAACAATGGACATTATGGTAACAAGTACCAAGTGAGGGCGAAGTGTCGGTGTGAGTGAACACGTAGGGCGTCGCGTCGCGATAGTGAGAGACCGCCAAATGCTCTCGCACCACTCTTTCACCAACCCTTTCTAACTTGTGTGCGAAGCTGTTGTTGGTTTGGCTTCAGTGGCGACCAATGCTGTTAGTGAGAATCATGAAGTAGCTTCTGGCCCTGCCGTTATTCGCTCTTTCTCCCCATAGCTCTCTGACGTTGTGGAATGCCATAACTTTTCACTCCGTTGACATCAAATCCGGTGAAACTGTCAACCACGGTGCTCAAAACCTGAGCTTCAAACGACGTTTGGCCTTATGCGCTTCCAGATGAGGGTCCATGTCGGCCAGTGGTTGATCGCACAGTGTACCGTGAACCAGAAACAAAAAACCCCCTAACTCAAAGCTAGCTAAGAAGAGTTACTATGTACATGTGTTGACGTACTGTAGGGTAGGCAGATTGAAAAAGGAGGCCGTGAGAATGGCGGCCGTGAGAATGGAGGCCGTGACAGTGCCTTTCCTTTGGTATGTCGTCACTTTTCTGTGTTAAGCAGCCGGTGGCAGCGCACATTGGTATTGATTCCTGCTTGTCAACCCGCCGGACAAGACGTTGCTACATGAGATGTTAAGGTCAAGCAAAATTGGGCGCCGAGGTTATTGGATATTCGAGAAGAACATCCAGACGAGAAGAACATCCAGACGAGAAGAACATCCAGACGAGAAGAACATCCAGAAATACCAACCGCTGTGCATGTGATCTGTGAAAACTGCGGGTACTGTATTGATCGCTGCAGCCAAGGAGTAGGGCTGACGGTTGGGTCCGGGGTTGACATGCAGACAGATTCAGCTCCGTTAACGTTAGAACACTACGAATAGAGCACAGCCAGGGCTGTACTTCCAGCAAAACACCCCCATCTCACAAAGCTAGCAGCTGTATCATCTTACTGTCCTTTGGCGGACACCTCTGATATCATCTTCCGAGCGTGGTCGATGCGTGGCAGCAATCATGTCCCAGATCGGTGCTGACATCCTGCGGCCTTGAATGCCCAGCTTGCTTAGACTAGCAGTCATAGATCGTGTACGCGATCCGATGACTGACCATGGGATGCACTGCACCGCCACAATTGCCTGACGCGCCCGCTTCGTGCCATATCGCCGTTAAGAATTCTGATTAGCTGTCCTTCCGTAGGTCATTTTATTCTTAGAGCATGTTGTTCTTGAAGCCTCCCAAGGATCCTGGCATATCCCATGAATCTCCATGTTGGTTCGAATGCTGCCCCTGGTACGTATGACGACATGAAGCCAGTTGGTGTGTGAGGCTTCACCTGTCGGAGGTTTACTGGAGTCGAGTACAGTGGTCGTCGCTGCCTGCCGCTCAATCTTTCCTCGCCAGGAAACAGCCCATGGGGTATAAAGCCTTCCCGCAGCTTGTGTTTATGTGGGATAATCGCTGTGAACCGGCCCGTCTCTTTTGACTTTGCATCGTCAAGGTAATACAAGGGGATCCAAACACTAGCCTTTTTCGGGTCGCGACGATTCAAATCAACCTGATCACCTAGTCTATGGGCAGTATGTGTATTCAAATTGTTGAGAAGTTTCCCTGCTGCGGTTCCATATACTTCGTCCATGCCGTGCAGCCCTGTGCAAACGTCGGCAGGCATGAGGTTTCCGTGAGAGTCGTCGCCGTTGGAGGCACATGTTCAAGATGCGCCTGAGCAACCCTTTTCCATAAGAGAATGTGCCGAGAACGACGCGTCACTCTTGTACGACGGATATTCTTTCAGTTTGAGCCAGCTGACGGAAATAGGGGAAGAAATCTTCCATGACGAAGACCAAACTTTGATTTCAAAAATGTAAGAGAAAGAAGTGGACACAAGAAATGAATAAACCAGAGATGATAGGGCAGGAAGCGGACGATTGTGCTTTGAAGAGAAGGAAGCGATGGAGATATGACCATTTCGTTAATACCAACGATTATCAGAAGTTCGCACGTTCGAAGTGTATGCCCTCTTCCCTCGGACCGTCGCATATCCACCCATGGAACCATTCACCGGTCCTAAAAATATATGGAAGACGCATTCCATGCGACTCCAGCAAGTACATCATGGACGAGAGCCGCGGAGCAGTGGTCACAATATACGGGGTACCCAGCCAGCCTTGGAAAAAGGGTGGCGGGAGAGCTAACGAGCTAAACCAAATGTAGCGACAACCCACTAGCGCGGAAAAACCAACGGCCCGATGGAAATTTACATTCTCAAAGCTCTCCCAAACCTCCAGAAAATCCAACCGGATTGCGACGGCCAGCGACACAGCGAAGTCACGAGCTACGACCACGATGGCCCTCGTTCCCGCTTCCGAACAGATCATCAAGCCGCAGGCTTCGGCCCCGGCGATCGATACCAGCGACTGGCCCCTGTTGTTGAAAAACTACAGTGACCGTATGGGGCTTCCACAATAGCTCCCAAAAGCGCGCCTCAGACTAACATTTTTGCAGTGCTTGTCCGTACTGCGCACTTCACGCCCATTCCGCACGGCTGCGCTCCACATGCTCGCGACCTTAAGTCCTATATCAGCTCTGGTGTGATCAATTTGGACAAGCCCTCGAACCCGTCCAGCCACGAGGTTGTAGCATGGATCAAGAGAATCCTCAGGTACACCTGACTGCCTTCTTAGCGGGAATCTGCCTACTGACAAATCATAAGAGTTGAAAAAACCGGCCACAGTGGTACTCTGGACCCAAAGGTCACCGGGTGCTTGATTGTGTGTATCGACCGGGCGACCCGTCTCGTCAAGTCTCAGCAGGGAGCCGGCAAAGAATACGTGTGCGTGATCCGCCTTCACGACAAACTCCCAGGAGGCGAGGCGCAGTTCGCCCGCGCGCTCGAGACTCTCACTGGTGCGCTGTTTCAGCGACCACCCCTGATCTCCGCTGTCAAGCGCCAGCTGCGCATCAGAACGATCCACGAGAGCAAGCTGTATGAGTTCGATAATGAGAGACAACTTGGTGTGTTCTGGGTCAGCTGCGAGGCTGGTACTTATATCCGAACGCTGTGCGTGCACCTCGGTCTCCTGTTGGGTGTAGGCGCACATATGCAAGAGCTTCGTCGAGTCAGGAGTGGAGCGATGGACGAGTCACAGGGTATGGTTACTCTCCATGATGTGCTGGACGCGCAATGGATGCAGGACAACAACCGAGACGAGTCGTACCTTCGCCAAGTCATCTCCCCTCTCGAGAGCCTTCTTACCAGCTATAAGCGGATCGTTGTCAAGGACAGCTCGGTCAATGCTATCTGCTACGGTGCCAAACTCATGATTCCCGGTCTTCTCCGCTTTGGTAGGTCCAATTTCCCAATCCGTGAAGACAAGAGCTCACCATTTCATAGAGAAGGGAATTGAACTTCATGAGGAAGTCGTTCTTATGACGACGAAGGGCGAGGCCATAGCTCTGGCATACGCTCAAATGTCTGCTGTCGAAATGTCATCCTGCGATCACGGTGTTGTTGCAAGGATTAAGCGTGTGATCATGGAGCGGGACTTGTACCCAAGGCGCTGGGGGTTGGGCCCTGTTGCAACCGAAAAGAAGAAGATGAAGGAGAATGGCCAGCTCGACGTAAGTACGCTCATGCGTGGAGATGTAACAAATGCTAATCTTCTTGACAGAAATTTGGCAGGCCAAATGAGAAGACTCCAGCCAAGTGGAACAGTGAATACAAAGACTATAGCGGAAATGGCGATGCACCAGCAGCCATCACCATGGGTGAAACCACCTCCACTGCTGAGGTCCTCGCTGCTCCCCCCATTCCTCCTACCGGTGTTGAGAACGGTGAACTCGCTGTGACCGAAACCCCCGAGAAGTCCAAGAAACGCAAGTCAAGAGACGATGACGAAACTGCCGAAGACAAGGCAGAGAGAAAGAGAAAGAAGCAGGAGAAGAAGGAGAAGAAGGAGAAAAAGAAGGAGAAGAAAGAGAAGAAGCGCAAGGACGATGGCTCCGATTCCGATTGAAAAATCTCTATCAAGACTGTGCTTGTCTGAAGCTACCTGAAGGTTGTCGACGAAGCTGTACAAAATCGGGATCCCGGAGGCGGATTATGCTTGTTGCTAGCTCTGTATTTTACTACATGGCATGGCGTGTTGGCGGAGTTAATGGCAATGGAACGGGCACGGTGGAGTTTGGGCGCGATCTTTTGCGAATACCTGTTGGTATGACCTCATACATGGTTCATTGGAGAAGTCTGGAGAAATGATCCTGTCTGTAGTTTGAAATGCTACGAAAACTCGGTTTATCCCAAAGCTTTCGTCTTGTCGGCGTGAAACTCGGAGTTAATAACTCTTTATTCCTGCGACTTTCCACATCCGATTAAATGGCCATGAGTGGCATAGAAGAACACGGTCCTTCCCCTTGGCTTCACCGAGTCTCTTCCCAGATATGATAAACCTATGAAGCTAGCTTTTTAGGATGGTAGCTATAATACTGTGTGGACTTGCGATTAACAGGTAACCAAACCTGCAGAGGAGGTAGGCAGTGTCGTTCAGCTGGACGGGAGGAGCGGCACTATTTTGTATGTTGCGAGATCTACCACAGTATCTGGTGATGGTGTTGTGAATGTTCTCGAAGCTTCCATAAACGATGCATCGTCTGACGTATCCATCGGCGCTCGGACCCTCACAGCCTCTCCACACGCAGCACGATACCTTGAAAGGACCCTCGCAGCCTCTCTCCAACACGCAACACGACACTGTGAAACTGTTATCGAATAAAGGACTCACTTTGACCTCTGTTTCTGCCTTTCAACATGGTAGCAGAGACCAAGCTATACGACCAATTAGGTAAGCCCTTCTTCACCTACCCCTCCATCCATCGATGCTTGGACATGGAGACCTTAACCAAGAACCAAGACTAAAACTTTCTTCAGGTGTCTCGCCATCCGCGTCTCAGGATGAGATCAAGAAAGCATACCGCAAGCAGGCGTTGAGATACCATCCCGACAAGAACAAGGACAATGCGTCCGCTGCCGAGAAGTTCAAAGGTAGGCATGCTCCCAATCGCCTCAGATGCCATTCGAATACTGATCCATTCGCCTACAGAGGTATCACAAGCCTACGAAATCCTCTCCGATCCCGAAAAACGCAAGACCTATGACCAGTTTGGGCTCGAGTTCCTTTTACGCGGCGGGGCACCGCCGCCCGAGGGAGGAGCTGGTCCGGGCGGTATGCCGTTCGAAGCCGGAGGATTCCCATTCACAGCTGCAGGAGGCATGCCGGGAGGGACACGCACATTCCACTTCTCCACTGGTGGTGGTGGCGCTGGAGGATTCCACTTCTCAAACCCCGAGAACATATTCGCCGAATTCCTGCGGCATGGCGGCGCTGGCATGGGCGACGACGATGATATGGGCGGATTTGGTGGCTTTGGAATGGGAGGTATGCCTGGTGGAATGGGCGGTATGGGCGGCATGGGAGGCATGGGCTCGAGGGGCGCGAAGAGAGGACCCGGCGGGTCACGGTTCGAAGGTGGAAGGAGAGCACCCACGCCAGAAGTTACCGTGGTAGAGCGGCCACTGCCAGTATCACTGGAGGAGTTGTTCAATGGCACAACCAAGAAGATGAAGATCAAGAGGAAGACATATGATCCTACGACCGGCAAGCAGAACATGCAAGATAGAATCCTGGAAGTACCGATCAAGGCAGGCCTGAAAGCGGGAAGTAAGATCAAGTTTTCGGACGTGGGCGACCAAGTAGAAGGTGGAACGCAGGACCTACATTTCATCGTCACAGAGGTAAGTTGACACCGGTTAAGCCACTGTTATGTTGGCGAAGCTAACAATCAACAGAAACCACATCCTCTGTTCACACGAGAAGGCGATGACATCAAGCACACCATCGAGCTCGACCTCAAAGAGGCATTGACCGGATGGCGGCGGACAGTCCAAACCATCGACGGCAAGCAGCTATCCGTCAGCAGTGCTGGCCCCACAGGTCCGAACTTCACAGAACGCTTCCCGCACCTTGGTATGCCGAAGAGCAAGAAACCTGGCGAGCGCGGAGACTTTGTCGTTGGCGTCAAGATCAAGTTCCCCACGAGTTTGACCGCATCGCAAAAGGAGCAGCTCAAGAAGATCCTGTGAGCGACTTGTCGATAGCCCGGTGTTTGGCGACACCTCTACTTCATTTTTTCTCGTTTTCTATTGATTCGGCAGCTCCTTCTCGATTTCCACATATGCGGGTTATACGTATCTTTTGGTGCAAGGCGTTAAGACGGGGGTCAGGACATTTGCATTGGATTCCTTTTACCGTTCCTGAGGGGAGGGTTTACGTATGATGGATGATGGACGCACGAGGACATGACGGAATGACGCGGGATGGTCTCACAGGGAAGGCCGAGTCATGAATACGACAATCTGCGCTCTATCAATGGAAACGTTAGGGCCTTCTGTGTTGAATGGTGCAGTTGATGATAGGTGCGCCACCGTCACTTCACCTTGTGCCTCTTGATACCGGTTGTTCGAACCCACCGAAAACTCCTATTCATCCGATGCACCCACCGGTCGACCCCCACCCATATTAGCACAGGACGACGGGATGCACCTCTGTATAATATACGACGTCCTGGAATAGATCTCGACAGACTTGTATAGACGACTACTTGGAATTAATCCTAATGGTATGCAAACATACTGGTTCCACATCGCACAACCTCTGCATGAAGTGAAGCTCAGAGTCCAGTCCCAATACTACTGTGGCTTTTCCACGACCGACTGAACGAACCCGGAGGGTTCACTGAGACGTTCAAAGCCGCAGTATATGTTAATCATTCGTGAAAATAGAGATTGATACAATGATCAGTTGTTTTGTAAGAAGGGGTATAGTCGCCTAATGCGAGCTCCAAACTTCTATATATATACACCTACAACTCATTCCCTAACCACTTTCACGCTACATAGATAACCACAGCACATACACCTACACCTAATCTATCATTCATCTTAAATTCAGATCCGCATCCCCTCCGCCACAACTTTATACACCTTCCTCGTCTTCCTGCCCCCAGGATGAACTCTATCCCTCACCCTTCCCACCCACCTCGCCAGCGCCGGGAAAACATACCGCTCCCCCAACCAGGCAAGCGCGAAATTCCCCAAACCCAACGACAAAATGAAGAACCTGAACCCATAATCCATATACGTCAGCTCCATGAACCGCATGACCCACGGCGCGGGGTCAAACAGCAGGTACGCCGTGACGGCCAACGTGGTGAACATGGTGATGACGAACGGCAGGTTCTGGCTCATGGGCTGGCGGAAGGGGCGCCCGACGCTGAGGACCACGGCCGAGAGGATGTACTGGAAGCACGAGACGAGGAAGAGGGTCGTGTTTTGCGAGTTGAGGCTGTTGGAGTGGTTCTTGTCGAGGATGGGGGGCTGGTACCACGGCTGCTTCTGTACGGCTTTGAAGCCAATGAGTTGGATCATCACGCAGATGAGGATTTGGCCGAGGAGCGGTGTGAGGACTTTGCGGGAGACGAGGCTGGCCGTGGGACGTTTGCGGCTGAGGATGGGGTAGGCGCCGGACCAGCCCATGAAGATGGCAATGGGAAGGATGAGGAGGAGGTCGATGAAGAGGAATTGGAAGTCGCCGAGGTTGGACGCAGAGGCGTAGAGGAAGCTGACGGAGGTGAATTGGATGGCGGAGTAGAGACTCATATACTTGAAGCAGCTGAAGCTCGTGACGAGCGCGGCTCTGCCTTCCTTGATGACTGTCGGAACGCAGCTGATGTCGAAGACACGGCTGGTGAAGGGGGCTGCTACTGAGGCTTCGGCTTCTGAGAGAGATATACCGACATCGGCTGCCTTCAGCGCGCCGCAATCATTCGCTCCGTCCCCACAGAACCCGCAGCAATAATCGATACTTTGTAGCTTCTCGACGAGCTCGTGCTTCTCGTCTGGCGACATTCGTGCAAACACCTGACCGCAGACGAGCATTTCCCGCAGCACGCTTTCCGAGGCGAAATCGACTATCCAGCGAAATACATCGCCGCTCACAGCCAAAGAGTAGTTCTTGAGATTGGAAATATCGTAGGGTAGTGAGGCATCCGCCTCTGGCGGGGGCGGTATTGGCCTCAGTGTGTTCTCGTCCAACGTAAAGAGCGGATCATCCACACTCTTCCACGCGAGTTTGGCCAGGGCCGTCCGTGAGTCACCTTCGACAAAATGCGGAACGAAGCAATGTGCTGTCTTGTTGATCAGCCCGCATTCCCTAGCGACGCTGATTGCCGTCAGGATGTTATCGCCAGTACACATGACGTTGCGAATGTTTGCTCGCTGAAGCTCGTTGATGATTGGTGTGGTGCTGGGTTTGAGCTTGTTTTCGAAGATGATGAAGCCCACGAATGTGAGGTCGCTCTCTGCTTCCTCGCGCTTCATTTTCTGTATCTTGAGCCAATTGAGCTTCTTGATAGTCTTGGTGGCGCAGGCAATGACCCGGAAGCCCTTGTGCGTGTAGTATGCCAATAGTTCCTCATATTCTGCTGGGAAGCTGTCAGCACGGCAGATGTCCTTCATACATTCCGGTGCGCCCTTGACATAGATCTGGCCGTCTTTCGATCCAAACTGCCGAACAATCACGCTTGCCCTTCGGAGTTGCGATACGAACTCGAATGCCTTGAGAACTCCCAGCTCAAGAGGATGTCTATGTTCATCACCGTCCGCATTGTCGATGTCATACTCGCGACCTGGAGGTGGTCGTGCAACGGAAGGAGACAATTTCTGATCAGGGTCTGCATCTTCCGCTCCCCGCCTATGTTCCCCTTCCTGAAAGCTCCAACCGGTGAAGTTGAACATCTTCACATCAAGTGGGTCTCCAACTAGCTCGTCATCAATGACGCGTAAGGAATGGCAAGTAGCCATTGTATAAAGCGCCGCTTTGTGGGTGGAGTAATCGATGGTCGGGTCACGATCGTACGCGGACTCAGGGAGGATCTTGCTGGCCTCCGTAAGTAACTCACTGAAGCGGTTATCAGATCGGTGCACTAGGCGGACACCTAGCACATCCAGGCCGTCCTCGGTCAATGTTCCGGTCTTGTCAAAGCAGACAACATCGAGTTTGCCGCCAACATTGACTCTCTGAGGGCTGATGCAAAATATCTGCTTTTTCTTCAACCTCGACAACGCAAAATTGGTACCGATGGTGAGTGTAGCCGGTAGTGCAGGTGGCACAACGATGGTGATCAGGTCCAGTGCGCGGACAATGATCAGATGCCACTCAAGGCCAATGCGGACAAAGTTGATAAAGGAGGCGATGAATCCCAGCATGGCGATCAACGCCATGACAGAGATGTACCGAAACGAGTCTCGATAGAACTTGAAACCTGACGGCTTAGGGAAGAGCATTGATCGTACCAGAGCACCTTTGGTGGTATTAAACCCTGTACGAACCACCATGGCAAGCGCCGCAGCCTCGTCTTCTCCGCCGTGATGCGGTCTCCTTGCGCGGATGATCTTGGTCCCGCAGAAGAGCATATGTCGAGCCACCTCGGGGTGCATTGATGACTGGCTCAGATCCAAAATCTCCAAGGATTCATTCGTGACAGGAATCTTGGACACAGGAACAGATTCGCCTGTGAGCATACTCTCATTGACAATGCAGTCCCCCGATAGTAGCAGACTATCGCAAGGCAGTTGGGTCAGGGACGGGTCAGTGACCTCGTAGACGTCACCCGGGACAAGTTCGCCGGATTTGATGGGCCTCCAGAATCCGTTCCGCAAGACCCTTACATCGCATTCAAATCTTGAAACTTCTCGTAGACGCTTCATGGTGGCCTTTGTCTCGATGAGCGTGGTGGTAATGCTGACCACCGAGATGACGAAGATACACGCAGCATAGTAGTAATACTCATCCAGCGACCAGAGGATCAAACTTGCCACCTGGAAGACATAAAAAGGGTGGAAGGCCTCGTCCACCAGAAGTTGCGAAGTCGACTTCTCTTCGATATCAATATTGTTCCTCCCAAAGACCAGCTCTCTATAATCCCGTTCTTCAGTATCAAGGCCATCCCGGAGCGCCGAAACGTCGGTCCATGATGGATCTTTCCAGGTATTCGCTAGGACAAATTTGTCTTTGAGCGGATGGTAGGAGAAGCGGATATATCTGTAATCGAGAGAGCGTAAATGGTTGATGACTGGGTCGAAATCCTCATCAAAATCCAGCCTGGGTATCTTCTCATCGTCGCCGAAGACTGTGGACAGCGACCGCCCATATGTTTGCTGGCTGACCGGCTGTACAGCGAACTCCCCCCATTGGTTCTCTATGACCACCCATTCGCACTCTTTCAACGGCGCTGCCCTTCCAACCAAGGCCACCCGCCATCGAGGGAGCCATCTCAACAGGAGCCATGCTAGGCCAGCCGTACAGATGCACAAGATCAAGTATATAAGGAAACCTAGTTTCGACGTGTTGAAGCCGGCGATGACGATTGTTAGATCCTCCATGGAAATGTATATCTTTTGATTCGTCCTCCTTCCCCTCGTGCCTTCATGTGAAGCCGCACTGGAGATTGATGAGCGTGTCCGGAGCAGCGGCGCATGTTGTGATACCGCCGATTCGGTAGATCTCCGTCTCCTTTCTGAAGACTTCCGTCTGTGCCGGCTGGGTGGCCTTCCTTCCTCCAGTTCCTCCAGACTAGGAGATTCGAATATCTCTCCGTAGTCTATATCTCCATATTCGTCAGCAATCGCTTCCTCCCTGGCATCATCCTCCGACTCCCGATCCTCATCGTAGAACGCGAAGCTGGTGACACTGGCGGTGGAATCGGCGCGGGGTCGACGGTGGTGGAAGGACGATATGCTGGTTGGCACGCTTTCGGACGTCGGTCCTGAAAAGATCTGGACTCCCGTCAGTTGTCGTCTTGGTGGTGCGCGCACGGCGACTCTATGTATGGGCTGGAGTTCGATCACCTCGTCGTGGGCCATTTCCACCTCTGACAAGAAGCTCGTTCTACCATCGTGTTAGATGTGCCTCAGCCGCTCATGGAACTTGGAATACGGGGTCTTGGAGTTTTTAAAGGCTTGCTTCAGGTGTCCGATGCACCGTCTAGCAGACACACAAGGTATGTGCAGGAGTCGGCGGCTTGCAGTACTCACTGGGACAAGTTCGACCCCCGCCGGTACATGCCGCTGCGGCGGCGCCCATCTGGGGTGCCATTCGCGTCCATTAGTTATACTTGGTAGCAATTTGAGACCTCTGTCAAGGCATCTTCTCTATTTATGTGACGCGTAGAAAGAGCGAAAGTGTTTTAACATCGAGGTCGGGTCGTGTGTCAAGCGATAGTCCAACTTTGCGATACAGATGACGCAGGGTGTTCATGGATAACAAGTGCGCTAAACCTTTTGTGGAATATAAATTCTCCGCAGCCTCAAAATTATACCAGATGCAAATAAATGTATACATCCACAGGGCTTTAGGACATTCTCTTAGGTAGCTCGGAGGCTACATTGGTATCAGGAGACCGTATTGGGTCCAGAAAATAGATATGGCAGCATCTCAATTACGGAATTCTTCCAGTGTACTGATCAGAAATTGTTATACACTCATGTGAATGACAATAGATGCGTTACTCCTACCTAGGGAGATGATCTCCCTCGACCTCTTTTAAATAAAAGAATGACAGTCGTCCTTCTCATAACCACCGTACAAAACGAAGTGTAGCCAACTCGTTGGCTCCTCACACAGAACGGACAACAACCCTCACCTCCAAACTCAAATTCCCAAGCGAAGCCCCCGGCCAACCCGCCGCAGAGTGCAAATTCGCCAATCTCGCGTTGCGATCAACAGGCGTCCACGCATTTCCTATTTTGACGGCTACCTGCTGTATAGAGAGCGGATATATCGAGGGCGTTAGCACTTGCCGGATGACGCTTTGGAGTCTCCGATTGCCCGCCACTGCGACGCGCAGTGCTTGTCTCTGATGGAGCGCTTCGCCTCTGAGAGTGATGCTGAGCCGGAAGATCTGTTGTGGCAGGACAAGTGCTTCGTTAGGTTCGACATGTATCTGCGGGTACACCAGACGATGGGCGGCAGCATGAAGGTATTCCATGTGGCGGGGAACTTGTTGAGCTTCTGAGCGGGGATGAGTTCACAACGAGGTTTTGGAAATAGCCTTTGCAGTCAGTGCCTGCGGTTCTCTTCTCTCCAGACTGAAGGAAGTATTTGATTCCGCGAGTACGGCAAGAATGAAGAGATATGTACCGAATATGGCGCAATTGCTGTGAAGCACGAGATGCGACAAACCTCATTGCTGCTCTGGTTTAGCTTGCCCTGACGGGGATACGAGTAGAATCTGCTCTTCACGTGATGGATGTGACTGCCAGTGCATAAAAGCACAGTCCAAATGTACTGAAGATGGTTGAAGAAATGGATTGGGGATATCTAGTGGCTGGCAACAGGAGAACCGTACGTCTTCAAGTACTCTTTCCGATACTGATTTTGATCAGTTTCGCTACCGCGATTCAGCGGCGTCCATTTGGGATCCTCTTTGAACAATCTCATGGCCTTGGTATACTACGAAACGTTAGCAAATTTGCCAGTCCATATCTCAGCCATAACTTACATTCTGGGTGTCCGTAGTAAACCGATGATAAATGCCAGCCGGCATGATCATCAGATCATTCTTCTCCAGCCTGATCCTCACCCACTCGTCTCCCTCACTCCGCACGTCGAAGTATCCCGCTCCATCCAAGATGTATCGAATCTCCTCGTCCTCATGTAGATGCTCATTGAAGAACGTCTTCACCTTGTCCTCGTAGACATCGCCCATGGCCTGAGGGGATATCGTGACCTCATCTCGGTTTTTGTAATTTCTCTGGGACGCTAAGGCGTTCACATCTTCGAGATTGGGGTAGTGGAAGTGGAGGATGCCAAGCTTGGAGAGGTATTCCGGGCTGACTTCGCGGCCGGAATCGTGGGGTTCGCGTTGATCGCCCTGCTTCTATGTAAGTCTGGTAGTTTGGTGGAGTAGATGTTGACCATACCGGGAGATTATCAAACCAGTATGCTTTCATCGTGCGAGGTCTTTGCGTGAGAGATATACTGTGTACGATGCCTTCGAGGTGGAATCTGGAGGTTGCAAAACAACATGCGGGGCTGGATGGCGTCATATAATAAATACCGCTGCCAAGCCTAGGAAAGACGAACGTCTTTTAGATAAGGTTATTATAGGATTGCTCTCATGTTTCCTAAAGTTCAGTTCGCATACCGATGAAATATCAAGGTGCGGGACTCTCTTCATAGGAAATGTCTTGATTGCACCGCTAGGCAAACCTTTCCATTAACGCAGCGAACCGAACTCGAGCCTTCGGACATTTACAAGGCGGCGCACGACTGCGAGATATCTTCCTAGACGATACGCAGCACGGAATCTCGTAAGCAGAAGAGTAAACGTCCACGAGTGTCTCGTGTGCCCGCTCACAGCAGAAACAAAATCCTACTTCAGTAGTCTTCATCATGGCACCTATGGAGGCTCTGCAGGTAGGTTAGGAGCCCGTTGGTTCTGTCCCAAAGGAAGGATGAGTGAGTTGAGCATTCTGGGACGAAACTGGGACTTGGGAAGAAGGCGCCGATGGATCGTGAGTAGGTAGGTCCGTGACCAGCTACGAGTGACTATGTCGGACGTATGGATGTTGCATATTTCGGACACGTTCAGGGAGCGCACTACGATTTCACCGAACCCGTCACGCACATCCTTTGAAATATCTATCCACCAGAACAGCAATATCCGTTCTACTCTCAATCCTTCCCCCTAATACTCCCCTCTCACCGCACACCCCCACTCCCCCTCCGCCACCTTCTCCATAAACTCCTCCACATCTTCCCCCCTCTCGTCCAGCACCCACTGCAACGTCTGCCCCCACGTCTCCCCGTTATTTTCAAACCACTCGCCCAACTCCCTTACATACGCCTCCACCATGCCTTTGAAGGGCGCATGCTCCTTCAACCACATGATCTGCTCCGGGTCCAGCTTCAGCATGTCTTCGACGACGTAGTAGTGTACAATGTCGTCGCCCCAGCCCTCGGCGCCGACATTGTACTGTGCACGCATGCTGAATTTAGAGGAAGCGTAGCGATCGGTGTAGGTTTGGGTGGTGGTGAAGTGCGTTTGCAATGGGGAGCAAGTGGTGTGGTACGGCGCGAAGAACGGGCTGTTGGATGAGAGCGGCGGCGCTAATGAGGGATAGTTGAGGTGGAGGTTGAAGAGGAGATGGTGTTCGTTGCTGTCCGGATATCGCTTTTTGAATTTGCGGATAATGGTGCCGTTGGAAGGGCAGATGTTGTTCTGGACAACGTCGCGCATCACCGCATGGACGTCGGCGATCTCGGCAAGCTCATCAGTGCTCCAGTTGTGGAGAAGTGCTGACCGTTTCTGCACTACTGGCAGTATAGTCCTCTGCCCGCGAGGATGGTCGGCGTTGTGAAAGGCGCGAGAGTAGAGCCAGATGCGGTATATTGCGCGCCTAACACGGTAGCGCTCTTCGGGTGTCAGGAGTCGCCGGTTTTCATAGTTGTCCTTCCACTTCTTGAACGGGTATATGTAGCACCATTTGCTTGCGACGCGACCGGCGTGCACGATCTGCTTGAGGATAGCAACCGAGAAGGGAACATTCCGGATCAAATGGGCCGGCTGGCTGGCGTTATGAGTCAAGAGCTGGGTGAGGTCCCGGAGAGGACCGTATTGAGTTTCGGCGACGTTCTCAAGAATGGCGAGCTTCTGGGACGAGGAGTAAATGTTGTGGAAGCGGTGGCAGGTGGACGCGAGGGCGAGAACGTCAGTGACTTCGGAAACAGAGTAGAATATATGGAGGACGAGCTCCGTTGCGAGGTCCTGAAACAGCATCTTGCAGTGAGGACACGGAGATAGGGATGTCTGGGAGTATGCACAATATTGCTTCTTCTTCTATCGTCTTCTCAGCGTTTACGTCCGCCTTCTTCAAGATGTTTGTAGAGGTTGAGGAGTGCTCGAGGCGAGGCAATTGGTTCCAATGCGTCGGAGATGGTAGTGACTCCGACGCTGGGGAGAGGGACAGGGTTCAAATGGTTGAGACCCCTCCGTTGGGGCTATACAAATGACGCGAGGCATGTAGACGGCAATCGAGCGCAAATGCCAGCCAACTCGGGCTGATGGCAGCGACGCGTATCATGATGGCTGGTTGAGGTGGAAAGGGATGTGTATGACGCCGACTGGGAAATATATCATGCCAAGCCCCGAGCTATTGACCAGAATGAAACCGTCCCGATTAAGAAGCATGTTTTTAAAACCGCTGAACACTCATTTCCTACTAGACTACGAAGAAACCTGCAACAGAGATGGTGAAAGCTGTGAGTCTGTTGAATGAGACATTAGTCCCCTTCTTCTCCTGCAATCTATGAACGGAAGATGCAAACCTGTCCGTACCCAATCCACTTGCGCCGTAGTCCAGGGGGTGTATCCATCTAACACAATGCATATGAACCAGCCAAAACGCCGCACCCATTGCCTTCCAGACCATTAGCACTTAAGCAAACAGAACACTATCACTCAAAGGATCCTTCTCCTTTTTCCTTCCACCATGAGTGTTCAAACCCAGTTCTCCACGCTTCAACTTGTTCTCCAGCTGTGCCTCGGTCCGCTGGTTGTACCTGCCGGCCTTCGCCTTTCTCAAATCTGCTCTGATCTGGTTGGGCGATACGAATTGCTTGTTCTCGTAGATGATGGGACCGCCGAAACTCGACTCCTGGATCACGATAGGCGTCATGACGAACCGAGGACCGATCTCCACAAGCTCGACATCGTATTCACCACCCTTCTTCTTCTTGGGCGCAGGCGCGGTTTCCTCGGCCTCTCCGTTCGCGGCGGGCTTCTTTTTGCCCGGCTCGGACTCGCTGATCTGATACACGCGAACCCATACCTTTCCGTCGGCGATGGTGAAGCCCATCACGTGATCTACAAAAGGCTTGACTTTTCTCGACGTCTTGGGGACGCCGAACATCTGCGTGAAAAGCTCCTTGATGACGCGCAGGTGGGCCTGCTTCTCGAAGGCGGCGTCGAAGGAGAGGATGGGGCGGGAGCCTTTGAGGCAGTTGCCAATGAAGTTAAGCTCCTCCATGGTGTGGACTGAGCAGCGGTTAGTCTTGGAGCATGGAAGATTGTGAAATACAAGGGTGAACGTACTGTTTTGGATGTACATCTTGACGGTTGGGCCGTTGGGAGGTTTGCTCATCCAAGCATAGAGATCCTTGCCTTTGCGGGCTTCGAAGAAGAGGACGTTGTTGCAGTTGTAGAGTTCTAGAGGATTTAGTAACTGGGTGGAAAATACCAGAGAAGTCAACCTACCAGCGAGTTCGTTCAGCTGGTAGAGCTTGGTCTTGGTGTCTAGCTTTGCCTCTTTCCGAGAATGTGGCCTGGGAAAAATATCAGAAACTGTAAAGTCCTCAAAATGCATCAGCCGAACTCACATGAGATTGTACAAGTCCTGGAGCAAGTGGCGATGGCGATATGTGACGCCTCTTGAACTCTGTACCATGGTAAGCATCAATCCCGAAATTGTCCACAGAAGAAACCCACCAAAATGAGGACTCGCTGCCTGTTCTTGCGTCCTTCGGTCCCTTTCTCATGTTTGTTGCTGTCACCCGACAAGGTTTTATATACGGCGGCCATGTCTTCGGCAGCTTGTCAATGTGGGTGTAGAATGGCTGGTTCCGTATGATTTTCCTGTGTATGCTCACAGGTGGAGGTTCGAGAACTTTTGATACCAAGATTTCCGCCAAGGGATCTAGCGCGACAAGGCGGACAAGGGCTGTTTGGGCACGGGCCACAACTCTACCCACATCATCCGACATCTGGAAAGCTCACAGGTTCACAAGAGGGAGCGCAGTCGGCCAATCACCTGACGATGGAGGAGGAGAAGTGTAAAGGCGGTTGAAAGGAGGAACATGAAAGAAAAGGAGAGCCAAAGGGAAAAAGAGACAACACATCTGCAAACGAATCATGGCAGCTAGCTAGCCTTGAGACCGCACCTGGCAGGTAGGGAAAAGCGCGACTCTCCAATGCCAGCTGCCACCTCCCTTCTCCATGACAGGGCACATCGAACCACCAAAGACCAACAAGTAGGTTTATCATCGCGCAACACGCAGTGGAAGCATTGAAATCAAGGAAGACCGACTGTGCATCCTGCAGTGTGTGCGCTCACCGTCTCATCAGACTTTGTGTGTGCCCATCCATCTGCTTGTTCACGGCCCAGGTCGGGGAATTCCCCACACCATCACCATTTCCTCTCACGCCTCCGTGTCCCCGTGCCTGCCGGCCTGCCCTTCCAAGCTTTCCTCCTTCATAACCCAATTGCACCTCGCCCTACACATCGTCCCCATCATTCCCTCATCCTCCCCAATCGCCCCGCTAGTGTCGTCCGCACCCACGCCCTCTCTGGGGCGCTGCCATCGCATCACCACTACGGCGAGCTTCTCCACGCAGGGCAGAAGGGCAGACCCGCGACCCACGACCCGCGCCCAGAGTTGCCGCCGCTCCCGCCGCCCTGCCCTCCCTCCAACAAACAGCCTCTTCCAAGTCCGGTGCAAAAGGCCTCTTGCGCCCACCCCATGGCCTGAACACCACGCCCTCCGACTTTTCCTTTTCGCCGTGTTGCTGCTGTCTTGCGACGCGCCCGCGCCGCCCCCAGGTCCAGCTCGACAAAATGTCAGGGGAACGACAAGCTTACCACAGACCCCAATCGCCGCAATACTCTCCCTCCGCGAATCGACCACCACATCACTCGCCGCTTCACTTGCATCACTCAACCCACCCCTCCTACAACTCCCATCACCACCATCTCCCACCCGCATCGCCGCCCACCGAGCTGCCGCCCATCACCGCCGCCGTCTACCAGCCGCGCCCGAACCCGAAATACTACGACCCTACATCTGACCACGCCGACCGCCGTCCAAGCCAAGGCACCACGCGCTATGATGGTCATTATCCCCCTGTGGTATGCTCCCATCAGCCCCGGCAGTCATTGATACGCCCTTCATCAGACCAGCATCTCCGAGCTGACTTTCCATCTTCCCAGACGCGCGACACCCACACCTACCCGGAAGCTCGTCCACCCGACGGCCTCTACGACAACGCATTCCATTCGCCTGGAGCTGCCTCCTTCACACATCACTCACCCCTCCAGCGACCCCCTTCGCAGCGCCGCACCTCGGCCGGCATGGAGACCATGTCACATTCGCCCGTCTCCCCCTCAGCATACCCTCCGCTGAGTCGGGGGGCCCCCCAACACTATCCGGCGAGGTCGTCGGTAAAGGACGAGGTACGTGACACGCTCTGTGTTCCCTTATCTGACCTTGCACTAACAACATTCGCAAACAGGCTCCGCCACCAACCAGAGCCGACCCCATGTCCCTCTCCAGCATCATGTCATCAGGCAATGACGCCCCTCCTCTGGCCAAGCACCAACCTCTCTCTTCCATCAACTCCGAGCCTCCGAAAGTGAAACTCCCGTCTGTTACGCCCCACTACAACAAGCAAGAGCCATTGACCTCACCCGCTCCGTTAGAGCACATGCCGCCGGACCCGACCATGATGAATAGGAGATATGACAGCATTCCACCTGTTGCCCTGCCACCGCCACAGCGGACTGAGCCTCGCGAGATTCCAGTCCCAGATGAAGCTCAGGTGGAAGCCGAGCTGGCACACATTGAGACCCATGAGATGGGTGACGTAGATGGACCGGGCTTCGAGATCGACAGGGAGGAATTTCTGCAACGTGGTCGCAAACGCGCTCTTGAGGTCGAGCAGGTAGAATCCCAGAAGCGCAAGGTAAGCCGTCATCCATGAAAGAGCTCACAGACATCAGCTCACTGACACCTCGCAGCGTCGCCGGACCGTCACGCTTAACCGCTTCATCGATGTCTTTTCCGCCCATCGCGAGTATCTCAAGAAGAACTACGAGGAGGAGCATGGACAGGAGGCATGGCAAGTGGTGCAAAACCAGGAGATTGCCGAGGAGAAGGAGCGCAAAAAGGACATGCAACGCAAGCGTCGGCGCGAAAAGACGATTCAGAACGAAGAGGCCAAGCGTGCCGAAGCCCTCGCAAGGGCCGGCCAGGCCGAGAACGAGGAGGAGAAGGAGCGACATCTGCGTGAGGCGCAGAGGGCCGAGAAGAAGGCGAAGACGACCAGCCAACTTCTGCAAGGGAATGCGCCCAGTAAGGATATTCGAGAGGTCACGCCCCACGCGCCCAATCTCGAGGGTGGTACGATGAGTTCTTTCCAGGCGTCCGACGACCTTCTTGGAGTGGCTGGCAAGCGTAGAGGCCGTGGCGCCGGCGGCAGACTCAAGAAGAGCAAAGAGCAGAAGCAGGCGGAGAAGGACGCCGCGGCTGCTGGCCAAGCTGCTCTCGACCGAGGAGATGAACTTCCGCCCATTGCACCCCGGGAAGAAGCTCGCTTGGAAGCGCTCAAGAGTCGTAGCCAGACCGAGGACCTCGCCCCGACTGTGCTCACCTCGTATAACTCACAGGCTTATATCAACCTCTTCAATCAGATCTGGAAGGACATTGCTAGGAAGGATGTTCCCAAAGTGGTCCGTATCAAGGAGAACTCGTTGTCCACCAAGCAGTCCAATCTGCGTAAGACGGCACAGCTTGCTTCAAAGGAGGCCCGACGATGGCAGATGCGGACGAACAAGAGCATGAAGGATATCCAGGCTAGAGCGAAGAGGAGCATGCGCGAGATGCTCAACTTCTGGAAGAAGAATGAGCGCGATGAGCGCGACCAGCGCAAGATGGCCGAACGTCAAGAGCTGGAGAATGCCAGGAGGGCGGAAGCGGAACGAGAAGCGAACCGACAAAAGCGGAAACTCAACTTCCTCATCTCGCAGACCGAACTGTACTCGCACTTTATCGGCAAGAAGGCCAGAACACATGAGATTGAGCGGTCTACCGACGACAAGGACGCGGCAGTCGAAGCGCAAACCGAAGGACCGTCTCAGCCCCTCGTCAACCCGGAACAGGTTCATTCTGGGGGTGCGAAGTTGAATATCGAGGACATTGACTTCGACAACGCTGACCAGAGCGTCATTGACGCCATCGCCGCGAACAATGCCAGGAATGCCGTACAACTTGCCCAAGATCGCGCACGCGAGTTCGATAATATCGACAACAAGATGGACGAGGAGGGCGAGATGAACTTCCAGAACCCGACCAGTCTGCCGGAGCATCTCGAAGTGCCGCAACCGAAGTTGCTCAACTGCACCCTCAAAGAATACCAAATGAAGGGTCTGAACTGGCTGGTCAACCTGTACGAGCAAGGCATCAATGGTATTTTGGCAGACGAAATGGGTTTGGGCAAGACAGTGCAGTCCATCTCCGTCATGGCCTACCTCGCTGAGAAATACAACGTATGGGGTCCCTTCCTGGTCATCGCACCTGCCAGCACGCTCCACAATTGGCAGCAGGAAATCACCAAATTCGTTCCGGATCTCAAGGTGCTGCCGTACTGGGGCAGTGGCAAGGACCGAAAGGTTCTGCGAAAATTCTGGGATCGGAAGCATCCAACCTACACCCGAGAGTCGTCGTTCCATGTTCTGGTCACGTCGTATCAGCTCGTGGTCAAGGACGCCCAATATTTCCAGAAGATCAGGTGGCAGTACATGATCCTTGACGAAGCGCAAGCCATCAAGTCCTCTGAGAGTTCGCGATGGAAGAGTCTGTTGGGCTTCCACTGCCGCAACCGTCTCCTACTCACTGGTACACCCATCCAGAACAATATGCAGGAATTATGGGCGCTCTTGCACTTCATCATGCCAAGCTTGTTCGACTCTCATGACGAGTTCAGCGACTGGTTCTCCAAGGACATCGAAAGCCACGCCCAGAGCAATACGAAGCTCAATGAGGATCAGCTCAAACGTCTGCACATGATTCTTAAGCCGTTCATGTTGCGCCGTGTCAAGAAGCATGTGCAGAAGGAGTTGGGCGACAAGATCGAACTCGACGTCTTCTGTGACCTCACCTATCGCCAACGAGCATACTATACGAGCCTGCGGAACAAGATCAGCTTCATGGACCTTATCGAGAAGGCGGTCGGCGACGAGCAAGACAGTGCCACGCTTATGAACCTGGTCATGCAGTTCCGAAAGGTTTGCAATCATCCAGATCTGTTTGAGCGGGCAGACACCTGGTCCCCATTTTCCTTTGCGCATTTTGCGGAGACTGCCTCCTTCCTGCGCGAAGGGCAAAACGTTCAAGTCGCCTATTCGACGCGCAACTTCATCGAGTACCGCTTGCCACGTCTCATCTGCCGTAACGGTGGCCGCTTGGACATTCCTGGATCCGAGAATCCGAAGGCCGGCTTCAGAGGGCGCTATCTATACCATCTCATGAACGTTTGGGGAGCAGATCATATTCAAGAATCATCAAGGAACAATGGCGCCTTCTCATGGCTTCGATTTGTCGACCATTCGGCCACAGAGGTGTCGCGAATTGCCAGGAAAGATGTGTTCCAACGTGCTGTGGACTTGGGCGACAGGCAGGATCGTCTTGGGAGATTCAGCGTCCTCTATGACGAGGAGAACGGCCCTTATACTCCGAAGCAGTCCTTGTTCAACATCGCGGAACGCCACGATCGTAAGCCCCTGGCCGAGATCACCACTGAAGGATATATGCGCAACCTCCTGAATGTTTCACAGTCCGCATTCGAAGATACAGGGCTTGATCTGATTGAAAGGTGTGCCAAACCAGCTGCTTCCGCACCGCCTATCGAGCTGTACTGCTCCAGCCAGGGCGTCATTGCTGAAAAACAGCGGGTTTTCTTCAATGTCCCGATGCGGGCTGCCTTGTTTGGCACGTCTGAAAAGACGGAACAAGCAATGTTGGACGCCAAGCTTGACCTTGCAGCACTGCCCAATCGGAGCCGGCTGCCACCCCCTACGAACAAGAGGGCCAGGTACACCTACGTCGAAGTTCCTTCGATGCACCGCTTTGTTAGCGACTCTGGCAAGCTTGCTCGACTGGACTCGTTGCTCAAGGAGCTCAAGGCGAACGGTCACCGTGTATTGTTGTACTTCCAGATGACCAAGATGATCGACCTGATGGAGGAGTACCTCACCTACCGCAACTACAAGTACTGCCGGCTGGACGGCTCAACCAAGCTCGAGGACCGCCGCGATACCGTCGCCGACTTCCAGAACGACCCAAGCATCTTCGTCTTCCTTCTATCCACCCGAGCTGGTGGTCTCGGCATCAACCTCACGTCCGCCGACACCGTCATCTTCTACGACTCGGACTGGAACCCGACCATCGACTCCCAAGCCATGGATCGCGCCCATCGTCTCGGCCAAACCAAGCAAGTCACCGTCTACCGCCTCATTACACGCGGCACCATTGAGGAGCGGATCCGCAAGCGCGCGCTGCAAAAGGAAGAAGTGCAGCGCGTGGTCATCTCGGGTGGGGCGGGCGCCCAAGTCGACTTCAACACGCGGTCTCGCGAGAATCGCACCAAGGATATCGCCATGTGGCTTGCGGACGACGACCAGGCGGCGGAGATTGAGAAGAAGGAAGCAGAGCTTGCGGAGGCGGAGAAGAATGCGCCGCCGGGGAGGAAGAGGAAGAGGAAGAGGGTAGAGGCGAGCTTGGATGAGATGTACCATGAGGGTAAGTTTGACGTTTCCCTGGCACCCTTGCCCAAAGAGCAGAACAGGATGCTAACGGCTTCACAGGCGAAGGACACTTTGATACGAGTAATAAGCCCAGCGGAGCGGCGACGCCCGTGTCTGCTATGGAAGGTGGTGGGCCCGGATCCGGGAAGAGGCGCAAGGGCGGCATGTCGAAGAAGGCGAAGACGGCGAGGCAGCGGCTCGCTGTTGCGGATGGGCAGATTTAGACGATGGGGAAGGGAAGAAGAGAAGAAGAGGAGTTGAAAGGAAGAGAGCAGGGGGACCGTGGAACCCTATGTAACAACACTATCTCACCTTGTTAGTGTGAGTGCATGCACTTGCATCTGCAGGCTGCTCTTTCTTTTGTTCTGTTTGGCCGGCGTAGAAAGGGGTGGTTGGTGAGCAGGACCCGATGGGAAAGGAAGGGAAGGGGAATTGCATGGGAGGACTTATTCCGCCTCCGTCCTCGATTATTGACATGTGCGGATCGGGTTGTTTGGCGGCGTGGGGTGTATTGGATAAAATGGGATACAGTGCAGTAGTGCAGCAGTGCGCGTGTGTGTAATACTAGACTATCATTCACACTTTTCTGGGAGACTGAGTCTTTGAAGGGTCTAGTGAAGTAACACCCTGCATTGGAGCTTTTGCTATGTGTGAACAATCGTAAGCTAGCTACAAGAGGACGATTATGGAACAGACGTAGATGCTGTGTAGAGGGGATGAGAATGAACAGACGAAGCCGAGCATTGGGGAAACTTGTAGGTATCGCGGACACGACACATGACGCAGAGGCGACGAAGCGTACATTAGCAATTCGAAGAATCATGACGAACTTAGTCATCCCTGTGAGACGAAACGCCAACTCACGCTCGCCAGGGCAAAGAATACCAAGTTCCCAGGGTTCCCTTCATGACATTTGACAATGACGCATTGGACGCCGCTTATGCCGACCCATTGAATTGGGAAACATACGACACCACATTGGAACAATTGGACCTCTCTAAAGAAATTCGCCGCCACCGTAAAGCAGAAACGTACAAACAATGAAGGCCAACTCACCTGCCGGCTCTCCTCCGCCGGATACAGCATGGGCGGCCTACACATCCTGCGGCAGCTCCAATTCAGCGATGGAACCAGCTGGATAGCACGGCTGCAACTCCAGAGACCTACGTCGGACTCGATTCAGCGCGTGCCATCGCACTGAACACGCGAAGTGGAAGTACTGTACTATCGATGGTCCTGTAATTCGATACTGTTACACATCTAGCGCGCCTGACATATCCGTCCGGTATACATGTAGAGAAAAATAGACGACCATAAACGCCGTGCGCCAACTTGTAGAACTGCGGGAAGATCGAGGAAGAAAATTCTCGAATAATAGGAAAGCCGAGATGTAAATAGGTATGTTGCAATACAACAAGGCCAAGCAAGAGAAGAGGAGACGCACATGTGGAGAGGAAACCGCACACACACATGGTCTTCTTCGAACCTGGACACCAGGAACGAATCCCTTCAATCAGAAGGAGATAAGATAATAGAAGAAGGGAACCCAAAAATCCCATATGAAAAAAAGGGAAAACTTGCGCCCTCTATGCAATACCGACGAATTTCCAACACCCACCTCCATTCCCCTGTGGTTTCTCCCCACTCTCTTCTTTTACCCCCTATGACTTCAGTCCATCCCTCATGCTCTGGCTACTAGCCGACACGGGCATCATCGGCATATTATGCGTAGGCAGCGTATCCTTCGGTTTCCTCGACTGCCTCACCTTGGCCAACGCGTACACAATCCCCGACACGAACCCCACAAAGATGGCACTCACACTCCCGAACGTGACCGGCGCGTCGAAGAAGATCAACCCGCTAATCGCAATGGGGAGCTTATTCAGGGCGCCCACCATGCTGTAGGTCGTCGACGAGGTGACGCGGACGCACCAGGCGGAGGTGTAGGAGATGAAGACGGAGGAGAGGCCGGAGATGACCATGGCGAGGATGATGGAGTTGCGTTGGTCGGGGGGGAAGTTTTTGAGGATGTTGGCCGAGGACCAGTCCTCGATGAAGAGCGAGGCGACGAGGAGGATGGGGATGGTGAGGAGGTTGTTGTAGTACATTGCTGCGGAATCGTTAGAGGGATCTTTTATGTATATGGGAGAGCGGGCATACTGTCAAAGTCTTTGAAGTTGGTCAGCTTGATGCGCTTGCGCATGCCGAGGACGTAGGAGGCGGTGCAGAAGCAATTGAACAGCATCCAGAGGTATCCGGCATTGAGGGTTGATATGGCGTCGGTCGCTTGGGTAGTGGCTTCCCCAATGGTGCCCAGCGCATGGCGGATGTCTGCCCATGCAGCAATGATGGAGCTTATGACCATGAGACCAAAGGAGAAAAGCGTCATGGGCGTGACGGAGCCGCCGAACCAGAGGACCTCGCCGTATGCGATTAGGATGATAGTAAGGTTCTTGAAGATGGTGTAGACGGGAATGGAGAGGAATTTGAGGGCCTTGGTGCCGGTGTAGATCATGCCGATAAGGAGGAGGGAGATGGGGAACCCTGGGACGAGTTAGCATTCGTCCTGATACCAGTATGTCCATATCAAGTACATTTCTTCGCCTCGTCGCTGTTGAAGTCCCGATATGTGATTACGCCAGCAGTCTTACACGTCTGGATCGCAACGACGCACACGACAGACTACAGCGGGGTCAGCCAAAGGCCACGTCCGATCCAACCTCCAGAGGTAACACCAGGCTTACCTGAACGCAGAGCAGGAAAAAATTCAGGTTGAAGTCCACGCCCGACAGAACGTATTTGTTGGTCACGGTCATCAATATCGAGGAGCCGCAGTACGAGAGGATGGCGATCATTGAGTTCTCGGTCAAGGAATGCGATCGCGAGTTGCGCATGACGGGTGAAGGGGCGCGGGCATAGGCGTCGCTCCGCTCGGGGATGTCTATCTTGTAGTCGTCCCTTTTCTTGTCGTCGGCCATGGTGGAGAGGCTCGCGGGAGTGCGATGAGGAGGCTGCGACTTGGGTGGATTCCGGGGGTCAAAGGAGCGTACGGAGGGAGATGAACGAGTGACGAAGAGGCGCTACCACAGTACTCGAACCGTCTACCGGAGGGGAAGTGGAAGAGAAAGGAGCCGCACCGAACAATCGACGGGTTTTGTCAGACACGGAATCCTATGATGTGCACGGAGCTGACAATGAGGGTCCAACGGTCGATGTTAATTTTACAATGATGGACGGGTGCCAAGCCACCCCTTGCCCGCAAATCCCTGGGCTCCACTGCATGTGCCCCTGCCGGCGACGCGTCGGCGAGTACGTGTTAAGGGGGCGCATGGTGGGTTAGAAAAGATTAGGAGTACGATTCCGATATTAACTCCTGCCGTCGGCCCTTATTCTCAAACATACGTTCTGACATTGGGGAAACTAGTTTTTCGACTTCAACTTCACGGTCACGTGATCGAAGATTTGACCTCACTCCCTTCCCCTTCCCCTATACCTGGCCCAACGCTCCTATCCAAACTCAACCAGTCTTCCCAATAATGGCGTCTCTAGACTCCAAAGTCGCCGCCATTGTCGATAACGCCACAAAAGATAACCATGACTCAGACGACGAAGATGCTCTGATAGCTGCGCTCGAAAACGACGACAGCGAGCTGGATGCGTTTCGCGAGCAGCGTCTGCAGCAGCTCCATGCCGAATACAATCGGGCGAAGCAGTTGAGGGCGAGCGATCATGGGACGTATGCTGAGATCAAAGATGAGAAAGTCCTATTGGATATCACGACCAGTACCAAGAAGTGCGTGGTGCACTTTTTCAAGCCGGATTTCGGGAGATGTAGGGTGATGGATGGACATTTGGAGGTGAGTGCCATAATCGAAAACAAATATCACTTAATCTCTCTGTTCATGTTGTTATCTCTCTTCTTCATTTCTTTTTTTTTTTTTTTTTTTTTTTTTTTCCTACTCTGATATTGTCCCGCATCCCTCTCAATTCCCATCTCATACCTATCAGTCCCTCGCCCCCTCGCACTACGAAGCCCGCCTCCTAAAAATAAATGTCGACAACTGTCCCTTCCTCGTCACCAAACTCAAGATCCAAGTCCTCCCCTGCGTCATCGCCTTCATAGACGGCATAAGCGTAGACCGCATCATTGGATTCGAAGGCCTGGGCCGCACGCCAGACAGCTTCACCACGCGCGATCTGGAAGCCCGGTTGATTCGTGCGGGCGTGTTCGAAAGGCAGAAAGTGGGTGAAGAGGAGGAGACGCAGGCCGGGTGGAACGTCAGGAGGGGAAAGGCGAAGGAGGAGGAGGATGACGACGATGATTGGGATTGAGCGAGTCATACGGTGATCCTGCATTTATCTATAGCTCACTGAGGGTTTCGAAGCGCATCAAGCCACATCTTCCCTCTTCGCAGATGGGAAGAGGACGGCAGTAAACGGAACACCATTCCCCGGCCGCAAGAGCGCTCAAAAAACGGTGCTGCGAATGCCGGTAGTTTGTACCACACAAAGCAAGTCAGCAAAGCCATGATGAGGCGAAACTACTGGGGTGGATGGAAAGACACCTCAGAATTGTCCATGCAGGTACCTTGCTGTGGCTGCACAGGAACTTACAAAGAAGCAGTATTCTCACAGCAATGATCAATGTCCTATGTTCCAAATTCCCTTGCTTTGTTCAATTGTTTCCTGTTGTCACGTTCGTCAGTGCCTCCCAGCAATACAATGCCAATCTCCTGGCCTTTGACAGCAGCAGACCGGCAGCCCAGGACAAACGCATTGTTCTCCTTGTCCTAATTTTACACTGGCCAAATCACTCGACGGTTGCTTGGATCATTTATATTGCCATGCCTCTGCTATTTGATAAAGTAGCTCTTGGAATCTTCGGTCTATCGAGATATCGCTTTTTATCATTCGACTTCACATATCATACCCGCCAGGTTGAAGTCTCTACACTTGTCTTACTCGTTCTCGTCCCATCCTTGGTACAAACAAAACCAAAATCAATGCACTGTAGCACACACTACCCCTTAACAAACCCACACTACTAGGGATCGAGCACCGCACCAACAGCCACAATGCCGCCCAAAAAGCCCGAACCCAAGAAAAGAACCACCACCCGTCCCATCGAACCCTCAGCGGGTCAGATGCTCCGCCAAACCCAAGCTCCCCATTTCACGGTCGCTCCGCCTGAGCAGTTGCCACGACCCCGTGTCGAGAGCTGGGAAGAAATTTCCGCCCGGCTCCAACGCGAGGAGGCTGCCGAAGTGAAAAAGAAGAAGGAGAAGGAAATCCAAGAGAAGTATGCCAAACAAAAGCAAGCAGCTAATCCTAACTTACGCACCTTGGAAATGAAAGGCAGCGCTCTTGGGCCGTTGGAAACTGACGAGGAAGTGGCAGAGCGTGAGCAGAGGGAGAGGGAGGAGGCCAGGAAGAAGAAGATACCACCGAGAAAACAGGGAGAGGTGTTCATGGGACTGTTGGCGGAAACTGAGCGGGATGCACGTGATTCTATTCAGCGTGATGCTGAGAAACGTGCTGCTGCAGCTGCTTATAATAGTAGGGTAGCGCGTCCTTCTTGTTCTCCTCCTCCTGCTACGAACCTAAGGGAGGTTGAGGAGTATGATCCCACGCAGCCTCTCCTGAAAACGCGCGACACCGGACGGCGCGACACGTTCCGGACGTGCAGTCGATGCACTAGGGATACCCCATGCGACCTACATTGCAGACGATGCACCAAAGACCGACAATGTGGACTGCATTGTTGGCGATGTTCTAGAGATCGACCATGCGAGCGCCACTGCAGACGATGTACTGAGGAATGGCTATGCGAACAGCACTGCAGGCGGTGTACCTGGAATCGCCCCTGCGACCAACACTGTCGAAGATGCTATAGGGGCCGTCCGTGTGAGCGACACTGCAGGCGGTGCAATGCGGACAAACGCTGTGAGCAACACTGCACACGATGCAGTCAGAACCGACAGTGCCACTACCACGGCGCAGCCCCTCGACGCATGGTAGACTTCAATATCTGTTTCTGTGCTCTTAGAAGAATGGAGCTTCATTGGGATCTTGACGACCCCGACAACGCTCGTGGGACCTGGGAAATCCGGTTAAGGGATATGCTGCGTCCAGGCCAAACCAGGCTAGAGCACGATCAAGAGTGCAAAGATGTATGCATTTCTCCTTATCGCATCGGTAGGTTAGCGGACCGTCTGATGGCGGAGTTCGAGAATGAGAATAGGCGGATGGAAGAGTTAGGACGGAATCGATCGCAGTTGCCTAGATGGTGGAGACCCCTGAAAGCGTCTCGATCGAGGGTTACTGAGGAGATTCAAAGGCTTGCCTTGCCCCATGATCAGCGCATTCGGAAGGAATTCAGGGAGGCGCAGCGCCTGAAGGAGGAGGAGGAACAAAAGCAGAAGCAGGCAAAGAAGAGAGAGGAAGATCGGAAGCGGGCAGAGAGGAGAGAGGCGAGGGAGGAGAAGAAGAGGCACGAGGAGGAGCAGAAGAAGAGGGCCGAGGAAGAGCAAATGGAGGAGGAAGATACAGCAGCCGAGAAGAAGCAGCAAGAGGAAAACAGCCAGGAAGGGGAGGATTCGAGCGGCCGAAATGGTCGCTCTTCATTCCCGCCTGAAGATATCTCACGGAAGCGAAAGCGATCCGCATCCTTCTCCTCCTCCTCTCCCACCCCTTCCAAGCGTAGACGCACATCTGCATCTCCTGAAGCGGTTGCAGCATCCCATTCGGCTCCAGAGGACCCAGTTCGTGAGACCCCTTCAGCAAAGCGTAAACGGTCTGCATCTCCGCCTTCCCCTGATGCACCGTCCAAGCGTACCCGCAAATCGGTCTCTTCTGAACCCGTCGCTGTATCACCATCCGGAGCCCCAGAAGACCCAGTCCCTAAAGCCGCTTCGCCGAAGCGGAAGCGCGCGGAAGCGTCAGATTCATCCAGCTCGAAACGGGCACGCACTTTCAGCCCCTCTCCTGTGTCAGAGAAACCCATGTCTCCGAAGCCCAGCCGGGGAGCTTCGCCAAAACCAGCTTCCGAGGCCACTAAGGCCGCTACGCCAGAGCCTACAACTGGAGAAGTTTCTCCGCCGCTCAGTGCGAGGAGGGAAACCGGGTCACAGCAGCGTCTGCGATCATCAATCAAACCATCATCATCGAGAAGGAAAAAGGTACACTTCACTCCAGAACTTGAGGCTGCGCCAGAAATGGACCGTCCGAGGCTGAAGTCTTTGCCTGAGGCTTCCCAGTTCGTCCAGGACACGGTGGAGGTTGAGGAAGACGAGGTGGTAGGAGAGTCTGTAGAGACTGACGAAGAGGATGCGGAAGAGATTGCCTCTGCGTCTGAGGAAGAGGAAGCGGAAGCTGATGCGACCGACCATCCGTCATCATCGGAGACAGACTCGGTCCTTGGCGATGAAGATGATGCCTCCCTTTTTGGGGACGATGATGACGACTCGCTCTTTGGGGATGGCGAATAGGCCAGGCCAGGCTTCAAGAAGGTGAGTGTGTACGTGATAGGTAAGTTCTGAAGACCGATTAGAATATGAGATTTTGTTTCTGGATTCGCAATGTATGAGAATACGTATAATATAGAGATTGAGCTTGTAGTGGCCAGCGGTCCGTGAAGAACATCTCTTAAAGGAATTCGGTTGATAGATTCTACGTACCAGTCAATCTGTGGCCCCAGAGTTGTACCGCGAGAGTTAGGCCACGTGTGCTGAGTCCCCGCAGACTTGACATGACTTTCAGGATCTCTCAGGCACAAATAACAACTCTCAGCGCAGAAGACATGTTTATTAGCGGCTGCGGCTCCGTAGGATTGGTTAAGGGCTGTTTTGACTCTTGTCAAATCCGACTGAACTACCCTGCACTTACTCCACACTACGGGTGACTAAGTCTAGCAACCCCAAGGCCAACGGTCACAATACACCCGTGTAAGTCTCAAAGAGACACTAATAACTGTATTAGATCTTAATCAACCTCAGACATCTACGCTTCTTTCAAGTTAGTGAAGCCTACCGTGAATCGTTTTATTTACTGTAAGCTAAGCTATAGCGGAATGCAGTCCTACAGATCCTTATATAATGCGATCTTTTCGTTTTGCAACGAAACAGGTCCCAATTCTTTGCTAGAACTGGTAATATTCTGTCACCCCCGGGGGGCTATCAGGCGAGCCTTCACGGAGGAGCAGACATCACGATTTTTACTTTGCCATTGATCCTGGATTCCGATGACGAGAAGACTACATTGTTGCACTGGACTGTACCACTAAATCCCTCTCATCCATGTCCATGCCCGTCACCGCGAAGTATGCTTGTCCATTGAGATCATGTCCACTAGAGATTCGCGACCCAAGCATCCAAGGCATCCCCCCTCTTTTGAGGCGCAATCAGTAATCCTCCAGCATCTCCTCTATCTCCTTCATCCTCTGAGCATCCAAATTCAACGGCCGCACCTTCAGCGCCCCCCTATCCCTCTCCTCACTCGTCATCTCAATCGGCCTATCCAGCACCACCGCCCACCCCTCCCACACCGCTCCCCTATCCGTCTCCGCCATCATCCCCGGAGAGACGCGCCACCGCTTCGACAGCAATTCCTCCCTGTCTGTAGAGCCAGCGTGCTGGTACATGAACGAAAGCGCTTGCATCAACTTGTCGTACGCGCTACCATGGCCGCTATGACCCCGTGGCATCGGAGCTTTACCCTTGCCCTTGCTGGTGTATGTCCTGGGAGGGCATCCGAAACGGGGAATGTACCTCTCGATGAGCTGGTAACTGCCGTCGATCATTTTGCGGCGGAAGATGGAGCCGATGTTTGCGGAGAGGAAGATGGCGCGGGAGAGTTCAATTGTGCCCGTGTTCATGTCTTCGATGCCGAGCATGAGGGCATCGGTTCGTTCTCCTGAGTTATCCTTGGGCCTGTCCGTGTCCATGGCATCGTTGTCTTGGTCACCGTCCTCGCCACCTGGAAGGGTGTTGCGAGGGAGGAGGATGGAGGGAAAGTGAATGCAGATGGTGCGCGGCTGTGAACTCTCTGGAGACCTGACACGGTAAGGGTGTATGATACTGCAGGCATGAGCTCTACCGGAGCTCGTGGCCATGGTTGAGGAGGTTCTAAGAGGAGAAGGGAGGCTACCTCGCTGGATACCTGGACGAGGAGGCGGGAAACCTATGCTCGGAGGGGGTGGAAGAGGGAGATTCTGACTTGAAGGGCCGGCGGCAGTCGAAGGTGAAGGGGTCGTTGCGATTACGGGAGAGGTGAAGCTATTGGCAGCAGCACTGTTGGCAGAAGGGCCGCGTAAACCCGGAGTCAGATGTGGACGGTTCGGGGTCGCTGTTGGCGAAAGACTACCTGACGGGGTGCCACTGAACGACAGCCCCTGCAAACCTGGTGTCAACAGTGAGTGGTTCGGAATCGGTGAAACGGCCGAACGCTGCTGATGATGCTGATGCACTTGTGTAGCCGGCAAGCTATTGTGTTGCAGGGACTGCTGCTGCGACACAGTGGGAAATGGGCCCTGGGCTCTCAAAGTGGGCGGCGCTGTGACAGTGATGCCGGGATTGTTTGCCATGACTACAGGTGGAAGCAGTTGTGGGCCTTGTGCTCCAGTATTTGCAGCTACGGGCTGCATGAGGGCGGATATCTGTAGCATTGCGTTTGTTGGTGCTGCGAGAGGAGCAATATCTGCCACCGCTGCACTCGATGCAGCCTGGGCCGGCGGCAGTGAAGCGACCCCTGCATGAGATGGTCCAACATGCGTCCCAGCAGGAGATATTCCAGCAGAAGTACCTACAGAATCACGAGCTTGGGCTTGTGCAGCAGCCCGAGCGGCCTGGTGGCGCGCCAACACCAGCCTAAGGTGATTGAGCAACGAAGGGGCTAGACGAGCCGCCTGCGCAGGCGTGAGCTGCTGTAAATACGTTGCGAGGTTCGAATTCGATGCGGATGCCAATGTCGCAGTTGTGGGACTAATGGCGGTAACGGAGGTGTGTGGAGTGACATCCATAGGGTCACTGCTCCCACCAAAGCTGGTGTCACCGTCTGCATATCCTTCCTCGTCCTCTGACATTTCATCATCGCCATCAACATCCTCTTCTGTACGCACGTTGAGCTGAGATACTGCGGCGGAGAAAAGCCTGGATTTGAGGTAGGGGGCCAACTCTCCCGGTACTTCCGTGATGGGGTCCACGGCCTCCGGGAACTCGAAAGCTTCATTATTTCTCCTGGGACTTATACTGTGCGTGTTTCCTCGAAATGCGGATGAAGCCGTGTGGGGTATTAGCGGAGCAGGTACCTGGAGTGTACTTGACGAACCCTCGGTGGCCGTATTGAGGTCCATAGCTTCCACTTCTGCGCGATGTGCCGCTTGCTGTGCTTGATAATCCAGCCTTGCATTCATCAGTGCCTCCACAGACTTATCAAGCTTTGTAACCTGGCCCCGCATCTCAAGTAGTTCTCGATGAAACCACTTGTCAGTCCTGTAGTGCTTGAAGCCTCCACCTAGCCCGTCCTCAGGCGTATCCATCGGATGGTCTTTTTGCCCGACGACGTAATTGTCAATCTGTCTTTCCGACATACCGGCCTCCTTGAGCAGACTGAGCGCCAGCTCGCGCGATTTGAAGCAGGCAGCGTGGTACCTGGTGCGCGCTAGATGATCCCCCGCGGGCGGCATGTTGATGACCACCGACATTGGCAAATCCACTTTCGGCGCCTGAAGACCAAACCTCTTCTCTCCGTATTGTCGACGCTCACTAAACTCTTCGTCATCCTCCCCTGGCACCGGGTCCCGCACCGCGTTATTGTGTGTTTTGGGATGTCCGTGGGGCAGAACAACCGGAGGGCGTTCAAACGCCCAAAGGTTGGGGATCTCCTTCTGCATAGCGCATTTCAAGGCATAACCGTCTCCCTCGTAATAATCCAGAAACTCGTACAGAATCTCGATGATACTCGGTACTTTGTTCGGCTCCGCCTGGAAGATGTCGAGCAAAACTCTCAAGACTTCCTCGTATTTGGCTAGCTCGGGATCGAATCGCCGACGTCCGAGGGGTTTGTAGAATTTCTTATCTTCACGCTGGAGCCTCGGTGACGGGCTTGAAGCTGATGGAGCGGGCGGTACTGTTAATCTGTCCGTCCACAACCGGGGTCTCTTGAAAGCCAAGCTGCGATCGCCGTCCTCTGACTTGTCGACTTTCCACTGTACTAGCCAGCTCCACAGTTCCTCGCCGGTTTCCATAGAGTATCGATCCGTAAAGTCTTGTATTAGTGCGGTGAAGATATCGAGCGGGATGCCTATCGCATACACGGTGATGTACTGCTCATAATCCTCGTGAGGCACGGGTATTGGAAACGGCTCGACGTTGCCTGCGACATCTTGGAGCTGCAGGTAGCGATCGTCAAACAGATCCGGGACGACCCCGTGTGACGCCATAGTATTGCAAGGGAGATTCGCTGGAAATAACGAAGGAAAGAGAAGGAAGGTTGGAAAACACAGTGTATTGTGATAGGTTCAAAATGAAAGAGTTTTTCTGAAGGTGAAGTTGAGGTCGCAGAAAGGGCTTGGTCCGTGCATTGTTGATGTAGCGATGACAATAGAAAGTTGAGTGGGTGTGATGAAAGTGAAGATGAAAGGTGCGGGCAAGTCAGGAGAAGAGAGAAGAATAGGGCACCACCAAATGACAGTGAGAAGCGCTGGTGCGTGCCTTTTTGGGTTCGATCGTAGCAGTCCGGAGACGGGCCCCGACACGCAGTCTCCGGGTCTTCATATACTGCATCTCTCGCACCGACCTGCATCCACAAAGCTAAATGGGTATCTCCGCACGAGAAAAGCCACCAGTTCCACTTCTTACAGCAATCCACGCTCGTGGCCGTACCTATTTCGTCTCTCTTATCTTCTCCAGAATCCCACTGACCTTGTCCTCCGCATCTTCTCTTACTCTCCTCCAGTCGGTCTCATACATTGTTCGCACTGCTCCCTCCAGTTTCCTATTCCACATGTCCTTCAATGTTTCTGTCAATCCTACCGGGGTTTCCCTGGGCGTCGGCTCCAGCGCGGGTGGTTGTGGTTCGACAAGTGTGGAGAGGACGAGCCGCTGTTGGCGGAGCAGCGAAGCTTGCGTGGCGCGGTTCTTCTGGTGGAGCGCGACAGTCAGGTACAGGACGGCAGAGGTGAGCGTAAATCCGCCGAGCTAATTTACGAGTTAACAAAGCGAAATCATGGCATTCAAGCTGTGCGACTCACAAAACCCGTGGTGAAGCCCATGACGGCCTGGATTTGTTCGGCGGAGAGGGATGATGGTGGCCTATAAGCTGGAATTGGGGTATGGATCTGTAGTAGTGAATGATGGGATGTGGTCAGGTCCAAGAAAGACTTGTGATACGGGCCGGGCCGAGGCTCCAGCGGATACGGAGCAGGCAGGCCCCGACTACGCGGCTTTCTCCATCCAACTGAGCGCTTCCCTGCACTTCCTGTACCACCACAGGTTTCCAAGTCCAACTGAGCAGCCAGGAGACGCAGGATATAACAGGCGTTGCCATGAGCTGTGTAGCGCCTCCACTAGTGTAGATAGAATAAGCATCAGACGAAGCTCTACCAATGGCCAAGATCAGATGGTTGACAGTTGAGTTGCGCTGACTAGGTAACCTAGCCTACGGGAGTTCAATCGCACGTGAAAATGTTTCTAGCCTTTGCAGCTTCTAAACAGGAGTTGCACTACTTTTCCCAACGACATGTTTGGTGTGAGGTCGTTTACCTGATAACTCGTCAGGGAGAATGGAGTGTATTCGGCCCAGGAATGTGAGCAAGAAGCTAGAACCAAAGCTTCACAAACACAAAGGAGCCGCTGCAGTTCCCATCGTTTCAGAAATGCGTACGGAGTAAAAGCCTCAATATGGTGCTGGGAGGCCTCTTCCTATGTGCTCGCTGTATAGCTGATGGGACAAAACAAGTCGATGACGCGCTCCACCAGGTCGATCTCTGCTGGCGACGGATCTGGGTCTGATAAAAGTGGCGCATCTGGCCGTGCCATCCCGCTGGAAAAAAGTCGGTCAGCCTGGTAGCAAAGTTCAAACGTCTCATCATTGCGCAGTTGTTGTAGGCAAAGTCGGATGAAAAAGAGCATCTCCATTGTAGAGAAGATCCGCGCACCCATACAGCACCAGTCCCTTTTTGCTACAGAGTACACAGTACTTCGTATATCAGAGAATATAGCTATAAATATGCTCGATAACGGAGCCAAAAATGGGATGGCGCGGGGCCGGAACGTGCTCAGCCCTGAGACGGCGAAGGAGCGCCAAGACTGCTCCCTTTCGCTCGCAACATTTCCGCTTTTGGCCGTTGCTCCCTTTCCCTTGGCAAGTCACTTCTCCTTCCCCTCGCAGACCTCTGCACCCCATCAGCAAAGCGCCCGTACGCCTTGTGTGTCGCGAACGCCTAGGCCTGCGACCTCGCTCGTTACCACCCACCTGTCCTTTCCTCCTTAGCATGCCCGCATAGCCAACCCACATTCACCAGAAGTCGCTCGCTCATCAACACCACCTTAGAATGGGTAAGCCGTTGTCAGTAGACGCGCTCAACTACGCTTGGCTGACAGCCTGCAGCAGAGAAACGTCCCTCTATCGAGGGCCTCGTCGACAATGTTGACCCTCGAGAATCCCACGAACTGCAGGAACTCCCAAAGTATGAGCACGAGAGCGAGCCTGCGCCAATCCCCCTCAAGGAGAAGCTCATCACCTGCTTCTGGATTGCGCTCAACACCTTCTCCACGCTCGGCCTCATCTTCTTAAGCAAGCGGTAGGCTCAATGCATTGTACTCGGGGTATGCGGGCACTAACCATCATGTAGGGTATTCAGCGATGAGCAATTGCACGCATGCCAGCTCATGGTTGTCATGTGGCACTTCACGGCGACCGGCCTCGTCCTCTACATTTCGACCAAAGGTCCGTTCCGCGCCTTTAAGGCCCTTCGCCTCAATCCGTGGGATATGCTTCCCGTCTGCGCCTTCTTCGCTGGATACGTTGTGCTTGGGAACCTCAGCTTGACATACAACTCGATTGGTTTCTATCAGCTATCCAAGGTCATGACGACGCCGTGCGTTGTCTTGATCAACTTCGTGCTGTTCCGCAAGACCGTTACGCGCTACATGCTCGCTGCCATTCTGGCGACATGCATTGGAGTTTCCTTCACCATCAACGAGGCCGCAAAGACACAGCTGTTTGGTGTCATCATTGCGACTCTGGCTTTCTGTTCCACGGCCCTGTACCAAATCTGGATCGGCAAGAAGATCGAGGATTTTGGTGTTTCCGCTCCTCAGCTCCTTTTGAACCAGGCTCCTATTTCGGTCCTCCTCCTCGTTCCTTTTGTCCCATTCTTCGACAAGATCCCTGACCTAAGTATCGTTCCGACTAATATCCTCTACTCCGTTTGCGCATCCGGTATCATGGCATCGTTGTACAACCTTTCGCAGTTCCTCATCATCGGCCGAACTTCCGCATTGACGTTCAACATTGTCAGCCATCTCAAGACCATTCTGATTCTCTCCATTGGGTGGTATAGTGAGGGCAAGGTCCTCAGCACAAGAGAATGGTTCGGAGTCCTGCTGGCTCTTGGTGGTGGCTGGGTGTACTCGCACCTGGCGCTTAAGGCGAAATCTCAGCAGCGCAAGTAGGGATAAGCGCTCGCGGGCTACGGGTTGCGTTGCTACATCATATATGTGGGCACTCTAGAGCAGTTGGATAGCTCAATGCGACTGTAGGATGACCACTATTTCCTCAATTCGGTTTCCTTTTTTGGGGGTCTCTTGCTTATAGATGATGATGATAGGTTATAGGGGGTTTTCAAGAACGGTCTGCTTTGCTCTGGTTGCTTTGGTAGGGTAGACGACATGGTTTCCAGACGGTCACCCATTTCATTTTACGCATCTCGAGTTATGGGGCGTTCAGGACTTGTTCGTTTGAGCAGAGGCAGGCTATTGAACAGCATCTAGGGATATTTGATGTGCAACCTCTCGGTCATGTTGACATTTGGACTCATCGCAAGCCACAAATCATCGGAATCCGCCTTCTCCCGCTGGTGAGCGACTTGCCGCTGGCATCCGCGGGAGGGCGAAGTCGATCATTGTGGTCAGTTGGACATGCATATTCACAGCCGTATATCGCATTCTCAGCTGTACTGTACAGCAGCGCCTCCACCAATAGGATGCGTGGATTTTATCACGTTCGTGTCATGTGATACGCCTATACACCGGTCATGTAGAAGCTAAGCCTCGCTGTAGGGCAGACTAGGCTACTTGGTAATTCCAACTAGGGAGAGATGGTAATGAGGCTGTGGCTCTGTCTGGCTCGGTGATGTTGAATGTGATCTCACTGATGCCTGCCAGGTTTACGAGATCTGCCTCGGTTCGCACTTCGTATCAAGCGTTTGAGGCTGTGCATTGCAGTGAGTATATAGAGTGGTGGATACGTGCTATGTTCTCTTTCAGCCTATCTTATATTCTTCGTTTGGAAGGATATCACCCATCTCAAAGGCGAATCTTACAGACTCCAGGCATGCTATTGGCTTGACATCAAGGCGACGACGACTTTCGATACCACGACTCCGAAAGTCCAGCTCTGCTGAAAGAAATTGCGCCCGTAACGACTGAGCCCGAAATCCACATCTCCCCGATCCGGGGCTTCGAGCCCTCTTCCCGCTCAACGAACAATCCCCAAACGTTGCTTTCGTCTGCGAGAACACCCCCTTACCGGTATCCACCATGGGCTGCCTCCCCAGCAAAACGCGCGTCTCCAAGGAGCGAAAAGCGGAGTTCGATGCCTTCGATGCCGAAACGAGGGCCATGGAAGCGGCCGCCGTCTCCAACTACCCGTATCTCCAACCGGAACCCCCTCCCAATCCCACCACTGATCCTACGGAACCCAAACCCGTGCAAATTGAGGCGAGGAGCAGCAGGGAGGAATTCATAGCGGAGTGGAAAGAGCGGGAGCGGGCGGCCAAGGAGCGCGAGAAGCAGCAGGCGGCGGTGAGGAAGGCGTATGCTACCCGTACGTCGGCGACGACGACGGGAGCGAGTAGGTATCCTAGGGGTTATTATTATAGTACGAAGACGGCGAGTAGGTATGGGGGTGGAGGTGGAGGATGGGATGGTGGTGGTGGGGAAGGAGGAGGGTGTGGAGACGGGGGAGGAGGGAGTGGCGGGGGAGGAGACGGTGGTGGTGGAGGAGATGGCGGAGGAGGAGGAGGTGGTGGTGGTGGTGGTGGTGATTGAGTACGGAGTGGGTTATAAGGGTAGGGGCAGATTATAGGGCAGGGCAAGCACTTTAAACCTTTGGTAACTGTCGTTAGACACCCCCGGGCCTTCTAAAGGTCTCTGGTAGCTAGGCAGCTGCGAGCGATTTCGTTCCAATTCTGCCATTCACCTACCCACTCTCGAGTTCCGCCATGGGGCGCTGCTATGCCCGCCTAACAAGGCGAATCATATTTATATATGTTACTTGCTCTCTTCTACGATTATATAACGAATGTAAACCTTGAATCTTATTAAGTTTGAGTGGAGAAGGCAGTAGTCAGACTGCCCATCCGCTGCAGGTTAACAAGCCTGCCCAGCACATCTTCATACGTACTTGCGTTGGGGAGGCGGTAGGATGCCAGCCGTTTTGCGGTCTTAGAGCTTGGCCCCCCCTTAAGAGCAGATCTTTTACACGTTTGTATACGTTTAGGTGGCGGTAGCATTCTCGCAGTCTCGCCAGTCTCGGAGTTTGCCTGTCTCATGGGTAGATCTTTTACACGTTTGTATACGTTTAGGAGGCGGTAGCATTCCCGCAGTCTTGGACTTTGCCCGCCTGAAGGGCGGTGGATTAATAGGCCGACTTGCCCTAAGCTCAGTCGATGCTGATATTGACGTTGCTGCCCCAGGGTGTAGTTGAACGAGTGGCACCGGCAGTGACGACACTTGTACCCGGGACAGCACCTGCGTCAAATACACGATTGCTTACCGGGTGATTCTTCCATGGCGGCTCACGGGAGCATCGAGGGCCTTGAAGAGGTTGCTGGCCGCTCACGACAGCACCAAGGGCCTGGAAGACGTCAGGGTTGCTTGGTGGTTCCTGCATAACCGCTGACGGGAGTAAAAATGGATAGCAAACCCTTGAGGGCATTTGGCTTGTCCTCCAGATCAAAGACTTCATAATAACTGATCGATTTTTACTCAATAAGCGGCAGGCGGTATGTTGTAGTAAAAGAAAGAACAAAAGTGAAAAATCAAAAAGAGAATCATTGGTCACTACGAGGGTCGAACTCGCGACCTTGGCGTGTCACGCGATTGTCACATTATTAGCACCACGCTCTAACCAACTGAGCTAAGCGACCGATTTATGGTTTTGTTGTATGATAAAATCGTTGAAAGCAATACTTATATCGTAAAATATTTTTCTTTTGTATACCGCACTTCATGTACCCCTGGAGAGTGTCACCCAAACGGATTAACGTCATTGCCAAGCCAACGTCAAGTCAGATCAGGAATCTTGAGAAAAATAACCATGGATCCAATCTCACGGGTTAAATTTCCCGATCTACTACTACTCCTATAATCACTTCTACTCCTTTTGGTCGCTGCTGCGACATTTATCATTTTTCGTTGTGACTGTCGGCAACACTTGCCAGGACGAGCTTGTAGGGACAGCTCTGGTAGCCTCCTCCTATCCCCTATCGCGATTCCACCAAGGTCGCAGGGTGACGTGATCGGCGATCTCGCAAACAGCCATTCCGAATCCACTCTTCGGCATTATCGCACGCCGCGGATACAATTCCTCTCCACGCAGCCTTCAGAGCGTACCGAGTTATCACCCAGCACCGCAGCTGAAGCTCTGTACCTGATGCCCCCTAAACGCAAGCGGTCCCTCACTCTGTCCTCTACCACCACACGCTCCGCTATGAATATCCCGCAGCCTTCCTCGCGGGACGCATCAAGCGAAGATGCCGAGGATCTCGTTCTCCAGGAAGTCATGTCCGAAAAGGAGCGTCGAGGCGATTCACACGTCCCCTCGAAACGTGCGCGTCCGGCGAAAGCTAGTGGCGAGGATGCCGACGACAACGATAGCAGTGCAGATGAAGGCGTAGCAAGAAAGAGCAGGCGTACATCCAATGGAGGTAAAAACGAGAAGGAAGCTGCATACGAACGAGCAGAACATGGAGAGAACGGTGAAGCCGGAAGCATGCGGATGCCCGATCCACCCAGGGCTGGGTTGGTCGACCCCAAGGGCTACAAAACCAACCCTCCGCCTGTTGGACGACCAGTTCGAGTATATGCTGATGGCGTTTTTGACCTGTTCCATCTTGGCCACATGCGTGCGCTGCAGCAGGCAAAAACGGCGTTTCCGGATACCTATCTCATTGTTGGAGTCACAGGAGACAAGGAGACGCATCGCAGGAAAGGTTTAACTGTGCTCTCGGCTAAGGAGCGAGCGGAGAGCGTACGCCACTGCAAATGGGTAGATGAGGTGGTGGAAGATTGTCCCTGGATCATCTCGGATGCCCCTGAGTTCATCGAGAAGCACAAGATCGACTATGTTGCACACGACGATATTCCATATGGTGCAGAAGAAGGCGATGACATTTATGCCCCAATCAAAGAAAGGGGCATGTTCTTGGTAACGCAAAGAACGGAGGGGTTGAGCACCACGGGCATCATTACAAAGTGGGTTCCTTTACCAACGCTCAAAACGATGCTGACACGTATAGGATCGTCCGAGACTACGATCAATATATTGACCGTCAATTGAAACGTGGCGCCTCGCGTAAGGAGTTGAACGTGTCGTGGCTCAAGAAGAATGAACTTGAGATCAAGCGTAACATGGCCGAGCTGCGTGACAGCATCAAGAACAACTGGGCTACCACCGGCCAGGAACTTAGCCGAGACTTTAAACATTTCTGGCAAAGCAGCCGACCCGCGAGCCCGGCTAGGACTCCCATTCACGAGAAGGAGGATAACGGCCTGTCTCCGACTGGTAGATTATCTCCGACGCATGCATCTGCTGCTTCTCCTGTATCACGTCTCAGTCATCTTGACATTCCTCGCCACAATCAGGAGAGAGGATCTTCTGAATTTGCCGCTGGTTATAGTCTAGGATTGATAGGGGGTGTCCGCGCCTGGGTATGTACCACTGATCCCTACGAATTGCGAAGCCTCCTGACCACATACAGATGGCCCGAAGTCGGAGGAATCTGAACGACAGTAGGCCGGAGAGCCCATCTGAAGAGGAAAGCTCTGATGAGAAGAGCCTCAAAGATGCGCCACGAGGTCGCAGTGGCAAACAAGGAGCGTCTGAGAAGATGGAGGTTGGCGCCTGAGTTAGGTGACCAGGCCGTGTTCCCTCTTCTCCACACACCCACCGTGTCTGAGGGTTTCTAGAATTACACATCCACCTGCTTGATCGCCTCTAGTCCAGGGCCTGATCAACGATGGTAGTATTGGCGTTGGGAGTTTTCATTTCTTTGGCTCGCCTCAACCCTTTGTACACCCATTAGGCAAACGACAAATGCCGTAACCCTTTCCAGCACACTGGTTGCCAACGAAGTGAAGTGCATTTCCGCCTTCAGGTTCGCCTTGCCAACTTCATTTGTACCATCATCGTCATCTTTCGTTTCGCTCCGTTGCTCACTCCACATTTAACACACATTTTGTCATATCTGTGGGCAGCCACATGGATTGCCCCCTGCCCTACGCGTAACTGTCTAATAAACACCACGATGTCTTTTCAGATTGCTGTCTGCTTCTACTGCTGGCCCCAAACGCTCAACGTCTGTTCACATGCGAAGCTGATTGTTAGGCTTGAGATCACGCAGTTCCGTTACTTGTGTGGGCGCAACAATCCGTTCGCTTCTTTATCTGGAGCTTGCTGGAGGATTGCTCACTGCCACATAACCAGTTGCCCCAAATGTAGAAGTGTCTGCGTTGGACTGCTTGTGAGTTTGGAATCCAACAACACTTACTACTGTTAGACCTGTGTATACCTACTTGGATTGACGGGGCTGGATCTCTTTCGGATCGTTCCCATACATTATCGTTGATTTGGTCGATCTTCAACACTGTCAAAGTTCAATTAGCATCTTCTAGACTGCAACAAGGGAAGCAGCACTGACACAAAGCTCCTTACATCCTCAATATCAGAGACTTCCAACAACGGGAGGGAACTCAACAACATCCCCCTTCTCTACTACGGTCCTCGATCCCCCGCCCACGTCCTACTCCTGGGCCTGACAACAGGAACAGCAACCCAGCACCAGAGTCACCACCTCCTGTAGAGAATATGTGTCACAGCGTCTACTACTTCCCCATCTGTGGCTGCCCGTCCTACCCCACCGACCCTTACATCCTCTTCTGCGCCCGCGCCGGCGCAGGGAAAAGAAAGCAGGCTTGCGGCGAAGACGTGCGTTACATCCGGACCTTTTATACAGGCCGGCCATGTCCGATGTGTAGAGAGGCGGAGAAGGGAAGGGCGAGGGATGAGAGGAGGGCCGAGATGAGGTTGGCGGCCGTTAGGAGTTGGAGGCTTAGGAATGAGGGCGGGAGTTGGAGTGGATCGGGCGTAGTGGGAAGGACTTGGGAGGGAGAGGATGAGGGAAGGCCGAAGAGGCAGGGGTGGGAGAGGGGGTGCGATTTGAGTGGGTTTACGTTGCCCAGGTATTGGCGGTAGGGCAGGGAGGGAGGGGTGAGGGAGAGGGTAGATGGTTGCGAGGGCTGGGGGTGCGAATGGTGATAGGGATCGAGGATGAGTTAGGTATGGCAGACCTAGTAGGATCAATGGCTCCTTCCTAAGGAGAGCAAGGGGGGAAGAGTGAGGTCGGGCGAGTGTCATGAAGGTTGGCGTGTCTGGTTAGATCGTTAGAGCACTTTGTAGTATCACTGATCCACTGTTGAAGGCCATTTCAGTTTGAGAAGGGCATCTCGGAACCCCGGTCATATTAGTCTAGCAGCGCTTCAATTGGAAGGCATTTCACGTCGATATAGAAGAAGCTATGATTGCCAACGAGTTAAAAAGAGGTATGGCTTTCGCTACCTACCCTTAGCCTTCTGGTAACTTGGTGCAGAAGAGGATACTGGAATGTTATGAGGTTTTACGTAGTCAACCTTTGAAAGCAAAGCATACTTTCGAAGTCCAAAATCAGAACTTCCCCTAGCTCGGAATATTGCGTCATCCTGATATTCGACCCAAAGGGCATATATCAGTTTCCGAGTGGAATTACTGCTGTCTCACCCTGCTGAATCTACGTACCTAACAGAATTGCATCGGAAGTCGTGGCCCCGCGTCACCCCTTCCTGCATCTTTTGTGCACACAACACCAACCACAACCATTCCTCACCTATCCAATGCAGCTGACGTCCCCAACCTGCCCGTGAGTCGCTGCTCTGTTTTCTGCACGACGCTTCTCCTGCACATCGAGAATCGGTTCTTTTCTTGTATGGTGAGTTCTCCTTTTCTAGCCCCGATGCTCAGGCTCGCTGATTTGACACAGAAGGGTTCGCCTCATGTTGAGATGCGGATTCTCTGCCTGGCCGTTCAAGTGTCATCAGTTCAGCTCATGTCGACCTATCGACCTACGTCCTCCAGGCTCCATTGCACGACGCGGATGTGTGTTGGCGGGGCGATGCTTTCTGCGTTCGTGCAGTTGATCAGCCTCCACCCTCAGTCTCCTGCTCCTCGCTCTCTTCGCGAACTGCTTAGAGCCTGAGCAGCTCGGACCCGAATACAGCTTGGTTGCACCCGAGAATTTTTTTCCCATCTATCGCAGACTGCGTGCTGGAAGCTTTTCCATAGTCGTTCAGCAATCAGCGACCGGTACGTCAAGCATTGTGCGTGGCATCGAGTGGTCTACGGAATACCAGCGCGGACGCTCGCAGTCTGATGCTGGAGGTCATTTGTACAGGCACGAGGCACGGAGTAGCTCAGCACACATTATTCATCTCCGGGCTTTCACTGTGTGCGTCGCCGACTTGGCGGTGGCTCCCACCGATGTAATGGCCCGCGTCACTCGATGGTTGGCCGCGGTCGGTGCGTTCGCCCTACCATGCAATGCATTCTTGGAACCCTTTTGACGACTGACGACTACAGCCTCACTTTTTGCAGCTGGCTGCTGGTGGCCCTGACATGTCAAGCGAGATTAGCCACCGCCCAGCATCGTGTTCCCGGAACATTTCGATTCGAGGCCTTGGGGCAGGCCGTTCTTCCACTCTGCCAACCCTCTACCCCCGTGATAGTGCCCCTTTTCCCTTTCAGGGCACCCTAGGGGCCGCGTTGATGTGCGTTACTACCATGTCGATGCTGCGAATTGAGAGGCGGTGTGACTGTGAACCACACATGCGCCTTGTGCGAGACGGGCAATGAGCTCCCATCCAAGGGCCGCTTCACAACGCAATGGCTGCCCGCAAAAAAGCATCCAGTACCAGCACCGATGCGCCATCCCCCACTCCTTGTCAGTGGCTAAGGACATTTACGGCTCAATAAAAGGAAAGCTGCAGGGCCAATGCTTTTCCTTTTATAATAAGACACAATGCAAGGACCCCGAGTTGGAACTTGGTGATCGAACTTCTCACTTCAGACCATTGCACAAAACCAAACGCCGTCTGTTTGAATTCCACAGACGCCGTAACCCGACCGCCTTGCAGCAGCGATTTCTTTTCTTTGCGTCTTGCATATAGCAAGATATCTGTCCTTTTTGTGGCAAGAGTTGCAACTTCACCATCTCTTGTTCGGCTCTCCGCTTTGTTTTTCCTTGTCCGTCTTCTCCTTTCGAGAAGCAACTTGCATTTCCGCAAACGGTCATTACATTCTTTTGAGCGCGATTGAACACATTGTCGTCCACCCCAACCATGTTAAGCAGATCCGAGACCTGATATTTCCGTCTCAACCGTCACGATCTCGCAGTCAATGTGAGCACATGAGAAAGGTACCCATCCGAAAGCGCGACCCATCTCCCGTCACACCTTCGGGCTTGTCTGACTCGGATGTCTGGCTCAACCTGCCGACACCCGCTACACACAGTCAAACAGCCCTGAACACGTTTTCGGCTTGTGTTTCTGCAAACCGCCCTGTCTCTGTAGTGTTTGAGAGCTAACCAGTCACAGAGCACGGTTGTCGCGACTCAGCGTGTTGGCCTTCTTCCCGCTTATTAGAGGCCCACAACACCCTCTGCATGCCTGGCTCTCGAATCTCCTCTTTGGAACCCTCACGTGCGGCGCCCTCTAGGCTCTGGCCCCGGTACATGACAGCTCGCCATCCAGTGCAGAGAGACTGCTGTCGCTGCGGTCGGATGGACAAGATGCCGCATCAAGCTCCCGGAAGCAGTGCATCGTTGCGGTCTGCCGACCACAAATTTGGGTCGTTGACTCCAACTCCAGTGGACGTCGACCGCACTTCCTGCATTGCAGAGACACCTGAGCCGTCGTACAGGAAGACCAAAAGTCAGCAAGATTCGCAACCCCAGCTTCACTCCTGCGCTAAAGACAAGCGAAGGAGAGAACAAGACAACCATGTGTTTGGTCAAGGCTTCAAGAGTCCTTCAGAATCCCTTCTGCAAAGCATACCCGAACAGCTGGCCGAGCTGATAGCCACAGTGGTAGGGGGTTTGGAAGGTGAAGAACTGGGTTCCGCTTTCAGAGACGCTGCAGACTTTCCCCCGATCACCAAACAGTCACTTAGCGAGCTGGACCTCGACAAAATCATCGCCAATATCAAGTTACGACACGACATAAACTTCGATAGAGATCTTAGCTTCAGACCAAACCTGGACGGCCCTAGAGGCGAGAAGAAACGAAGGCAAGCATCGATGTACTGGAAGGCGCTGATTGCAGAGTTGAGACTATACGTTTGCATATTCGAGTGTGGTCCGACCCTTCTCACTAAGGAGCCGGAAATGCATTTCAAGATTGTGCAGAATGCGAAGAGGCGGATACCGAAGATGTTCCAAACCATACAGGAGGTGTTGAAGGGTCTAGTGCCGGCGCGAGATCATCCGGGAATAGAAGAGCACTTGGACGTTGAAAAATTGATGCAAGAGATTGAGCGAGGGGTGTGTGACTTGGTACGACTGGCTGAATGGCTGGCACTTCTCTTGAAAGAGCATTGCGCGCCGATGCGGGATGAGCTCGTTGATAGGATGGTGAAAGCGACTGAGGTTGGCGTGGCTCGAAACAGTTCGGAACATATCATAGGAGGCCTACGGGACTTGTTCGGGATTTTGGAAGCCATGAAACTGGTGAGTCTCTCATCCCGATTGACGCTCTTTTTGATGCTGACCTTTTGAAGGACGTCGCAAATCACCAAGTCCGCAATCTGAAGACGATGTTGATAGAGGATACGATCCACTTCGAGCGTCATTATCATCTTGAACGAATCGTCCACGGGCAAGCACGTGTCAATGTCGAAGCTGCCCATCGTTGGTACAGGTCACAGTTCAGGGGATCGCAAGATTTACCCATCCCCGCACAAAAAGGAACTTTGCGGTTTCCCTTCGAGGTCTTCTTGCGTGCAATGGCGTCGTCCCTTGTGCCTGGCAACTCATATGCCGACCTGCCAGAGACTTTCTACCTCGACTATGACCGACTCCGTACGATAAGATTGGAATTGACTGACCTCATCCACTTTGAGATGTGCTTCGATTTGTTCTCTCAACTTCTCCAAGAGCTCGGTTTCCAAGGGCATATTCCTGTTTCTACGCGCCATCAGCTTCGTGCATCGCTTTGGGCAATCATCACGGAGACTTCCGACTTCGGCCCCTTCCAATGGTTCTCTCCGAACAGCGAGCACATAGCCATTGAGCTCGTGCGCCAGGCCGCTGAACTCACTCGCTCTCCGCACCTGTACAACCATGAACTCATCGACCATACCAATCATGGACTACAAGCGTTCTTCCTTTCACACTACGAATCACGCGCTCAAACCATACTGATGTCGCATCTTCTTCCCAAGATCCTCGACACAGTGTCCCACCACATGCACTCCTCACCCATCGAGCTTTTCAACAACCTCACCGCATCCCCGGGTCCGCCTATTGCTCCTGCGCTGTCCACGTTGGCTGCTGCGCCACCGCCGCATTCGGTGGAGGTTGAGGTGGACGATATGCTTGCAACGGCCCTTTTATCCCCGACTGCTCCCGACCAGATTGCGGATATCGCGAAACGGGTTGCGCATGTTGCGCTTTTGCATTGGCGGATTTGGGGCCCTATCGCGTATGTGCTGGAAGAGGAGACGCATAAAGATGGAAGGGATGGAGATGTGCACATGCAAGGATAGAGATGTGGAGATGAAGCTAGGAACGGTCAAGGAGTGTTGGGTAAGAAAGGAAAAAGGAGGACTTTGTATGAGGGGGGAAAAGATGCGAAAACTTCTAATCGAAGGCGAAAGAGGCATTATTGGGAATAAAGGGGTAATGGTTCGGAAGGTCTCATTGCCAGGGATTTGAAGGCGAGTATGGCGTACCTTCGTTGTATCTATGTTAGGCATGTACGCATCTGTGGCGTAGGGATAGATGGATTGAGTATTGCATATTGGGACAGTTGATTAGGTTGGTACTGTAGAAATCAGACTAATACTCGGCATTCAACATCCATGCTTGACATTTTGCTTTGAGATCGGACGGCGCTTTCTTAGCGGAAGGTGACCGAGCGGGCAGAGACAGAATCGTTCTGTTATGCGACTGTTAACGATCTGTTCCCATCGTGCCGGATGGCTGTCGACAGAGCGGAAGCAGATGAATGAAGACGCTGTAGCTTCATTTCAATGCTGGGACAAGACCTGCTATAGATGCACTGTGATAGGAACTGAAGTATTGTGTATTGTAGTTGATGAGCCTGAGTGCCAACCTTCCGGCAGGTCTATGACCTGCCGGCAGGGAACCACCTGCCCTGCCCTGCTATCTACCACTCCACCGATGAACCACTGTGTCCGGTGACAAGACCTCTTCAAAGCGTCACACAAATGCCCGCACCCCTCCCATCAGAGAACTCAATGAACAGATACTTGTTTTCATTAAATTCCTACCACTCCATACCCTACTGATACCCACTGGCGGCACATCAAATACGTATCCATACCCTCCCAAACTCCACCAGCAAAATCCCAGAAAGAACAGTCTCCCCTATGCCCGCCAGAGAAAGGCACCATTACCCAGAAAGCAAGGAAAGACTCCTAGAACATGCAAGTACCAGCTATGATAATGTTACCCGAAACCACACCGCCCGACATCAACGTACCGGACAGGACGCCGTCATTAATGTCCACCAAGGGAGCGATGCTAATGAAAGAACCGTCGCAATGCAAGGGGCCGTACTGTTCGCCTAAAGTCATAAGCATCATGATTGATTTCCATTCGCGCCATTGGGACTATTGTTGCCACTGCCGTTGCCGCTGCCATCATTGTTGTTGCTACCCTTGTTGCTGCTACCGTTATTGTCGTTTGTATTTCCCGTATTCTCAGTCGTTTGCCCAGTTCCTCCTCTCATCGTCACCGTAGTAGTGGAGTGCGCAGGTGGTATGTTCGCTGCAAGCCGAGGCAGCGAATTAGCGTTCGTCCCCGTGATTGCAAATCTGGACGACGAGTTTTGTGCTGGCGCAGGAGGTTTTGGTGGGAGATGGGACGGGGTACCATATTTGGCAATACTGCTCTGCGCCGGGATCGAGCCTGATCCCCCCCGCCCAGACGGAGTTCGATGCATAGCGGAAGACAGATTGGCAGTCAGGGATGGTGCCATGTGGTTAGATTTTGGTGGCGTGATGTTGTTGCTCAAGTGGTTTGTCGGCGAGCCGTACATGGGTGGATGTACCACGGGAGGGCTGGCATTTAGCATCTGGTTATTGGCTTGGTTTGAGATTGGCATCTGGTAGTTGGCGAAGCCGTTCATTCCTTGACCGGGCACTGGGCCCATATTCGCCTGCATTTGATACGGCGCATGACGGCCACCGGGGATGAATGCCTGGCTTTGCGGGTTGAACTGTTGTCGATTGAAGCTCCCGGGTGGGGGATGTTGATTACGGTTTGACATGCCGTTATGTGATGAGGGAGAGAATTGTCCGTACGAATGGTGACCGAAGTTGCCCTGCATCGGAGTACACAACGGACGAGGAGCAGGAGAGCCCTGGGAGTAAGCAGGCTGCCCATTGGGGTAGGTTGGTGGTTGATTCATCTGCATCCAGTCACCATTCATAGGCATAGGCTGGGATTGATAGGTGTCTTGGTAAGGAGCCACGGGCACATTGGCCATTTTGGGAGTCATCTGCGAGGACATGCCGGCCGTTTGGAACGATTGCATTCCGCGCTGGAAGTCGGCGGACAGGTCATAACCATTAGCAGCGCCATAGTTGGGGTAGGCCATTGGTGCGTTTGGAGAAGGGTACTGCTGTCCCGTCCATCCATACTGAGTTTGTGCATCCTGGGACACCATGACTGAATAGCCAGTGTTGTAGTTCGATGACGGCGTGATGTTGGGGTTCATCCCGGGATATTGTGCACCATGCATTGGTCCCGGTAAGCCACCATAGTACATAGTTTGATCGCCGCCAAATGCTGGAATGGGGTAGGGCTGGGGGTAGTACGCGCTGAAGCGGGATCGTGCCTCAAAATCGTCTTCATAGTTGCGCTGCTTCCTGCTCTTCTTCTTTCCTGACGCGGAGCTGGATCTGGACATATCCTTTCCCTCTCCGATCCCAGCAGACTCGCTCGATTCGCCCTCCCCGGGTTCCGCATTGCCGAAAATGCGCTGTCGAGCTTCGCGGTAGCGAGCCTCGCGCTCTTCTCGAGTCAGAGCAGATTTTTCTTTACTCTCAGGCTCATTGCCACCGTCGCTGCCACTTCCACCGCCGGCTTCAGAAGTGGTCTGGGAGGGTCCTTCGGAATTGGCTGTGGTGTTCGTCCCGGACTTTCCATCTTCGCCGCGCCGCATGATCTTGCGAGCTGGAAGATCAACCGGCGGGGTATTGGCAGATTTAGAGGAGACAGGAAGCCCAGAGAGCGGCGGAGGGCTGGATAAGAGGTCAGATATTGATGCACGAGTCAACTCAGAGTGGGTACATACATTCTGCAATAAGAAGTCCTCGAGATCTTAACCCCTGTCATAGTGTCATCGACAATATGCCCGAGTAGATAATAATCTGCAAGACGATGCGCTAACATCCTGTAGAATGCATTGCAGTGAGGCAACGCAAGCTCCGTTTCTCTATTGACTAGTGCTCAGTAATGGATCGGATATAGGTTGCAATACGAGACTCACCGTGAGTCCTTTATGAAGTCAATGAAGTCCTGCTCCAGCTTCAGTACGAACAATCGATCTCTGGGAGACTCTAACGCCTCCATGAGCTTCTCATCCGGAATCGCAGGCAGTGACTGTGGTAGGCCCATAGTGGCCATCCCGTTAGCTATTGGTTGTGACATAGGCCGTCCGATGCCATTAGGTGCCTGATTTGGGTCATAGAGTGTGTGGCCATGGTGGTGGGAGACAGCATTGGGAAAGCGTCCAGGAGGCGCCGCTCGCTGAGAAATCGCTATCTCATGGAGCTGGTCCCGAAACGCACGGGCGCCACCGCTATCAGACCCAACACGAGAACCGGCGGCAATAGAGTCGGGAGGCGACATGACATCCTCTTCCTCAACGGCCCTCAGGCTTGCGCTGTCATCTGGCCGAAGGGACTCCTTCTCATCCAACGCGAATGTCGTTCCAGATGCAACGCTCTTGCCATCAAGACTGGGTGGCTTGCCCGAGCCATCGGAGGATGAAAGTTGTGTGCCATTGTCCTCGCTCCCAGGTGGTTTCACCAGGGTAATGGACGGATTTCGCCTCTGCGCTTCTTCCTCCTTCAATCCTAACTGGGCGGCATTTTGCTGATCAGCGACCTGAGCCCATTGAGAACTGTGAGCAGCTGTGTTACCAGCGGCTCCGTTTGCTTGGTCGTCTGCGACATTGTCTTTGCGAGTTGTTGGTGCATCGTTATGGTAGGAGACGGATCGCTCCGAGTTGATTATTTGAACGGGAGATTTCTCGCTAGTAGCATCAATCATTCCATTCTGTGGGGGGTTCGTGTCATCTTTAGGTGCGTAGGAAGATGCCGCGACCTAATATAATATTGTTAGATGCCATGTTCGTGGAGTACAGGGAACACCTGCAACACACCTTTGCAAAAGACAGTTTACCCTTTCCTTGTTCAAGAGACGCAGGACTTGTGGGCGCCATTATATATAATGAAGAGCCCAAATAAGGAGTGGGAAATAAAAGGGACTGCGAGTCAAGCCGCTCCGTGAAATAGGAGTGACTGGCGCCTCTGCGTGAGGATTATCCCACGCAAAATTTAGAGCAAGGGGCGAGAGCGATCCTTGTAGTCGAATCTGGGATGTTGAAGAAGGATATTCTCAGCTCAACTCTGCAAAGCCGCAATCCTCGAATATGGATAGTTGGGCTATCCCAAAGGAAGGAATCGAATGGAAGTGATGGACAATGTCTCAGGAAACAGGTTGCTCAAGGAAAGTCGAGGATGCCAGGGCCAGAGAGCTGGACATGATGGATTTTCGACATTCGCATGTGTGAAGCGGAAAAAGAGTAGGGGGACACGAAGTTGGCACAGGGTTGGAGGGGGTGCGGTCGTCCGCGTGCGGCAGCGTTTAACAGCCTCAGGCACCAGAAGGAGGGTGCGCAGAGGCAACGAAGAGACGAAGAGGTGTCCTGCGTATCGACGAAGGGAGGAGCCGTAGGGGTGCGGCGGGCTTAAACGAGGCTGGTGGGGGTGAAAGATGGAGTTGATGAGGGAGCAGTCTTGCTTGCGGTGGGTTCGGGCCGATAGATTTTCCGCGGTGGTCTTGGCGGGCATCATCGGTGCTGCAAAAGTCTGGTCACGTGACACCTACAGTTGTGGATATTTGTAGCTCTCCAGCCTGTGGAGCGTCACAGTTCAACACTAACACCCCGTGCTTTGTATCTGCGCCCAATGTGAAATATCTACAGCGAGGCTTCCTCTCTATTGATTGCTGTATCCTTCGCGCTCTCCGTATATCAAACCGCCATCGACGAACCTCGCAGCTGCAAACCCGTCCGCTCCCCGACTTCCAGAGAGACTTTCATAACCTCGCACCACCACAATACCTGCGATAGTACCTTCTAAGTGGGCGATATGCTTCGTAGACCTCCATATGCAGGCCGCTCGAAGGCGACACCGACCACGCAATGCCAGAAGTGTCTAAAACGAGATAAGTCCTCCCTTCTACCGGAATTGTAACATGTTTGCTGATTTCGAATTACGGCACTACAGCTACGAGTGCACAGTTTCTGCACAGGAAAGGCCTTACAAAGCTCGTCCGTCCCGCACACAGCAACTTCTGAACCCTAATCTTAGGCCTAAACCGACAGAAGATGTTCCCGTTGAACTCCTCCATAAGTAAGCAGGTCAAATATGTCGCCGATGGAGTAGTGCTAACAGCACGTAGAAAAGGCATTGCAGACGAACTTTTAGCGAAGAAAGAACAGGAGCGCGGTAGAGGAACCAGCCATGAAGGAGGCAGCCGCAAGCGTTCGTACTCCACATCATCATCCGACTCTGTTTCCACCATATCGACGAACCGATCCCGCTCAAGATCCCCTCCTACAAGAGGCCGAAGACGGTCCCGGCAAGCTTCTCTGCGCGACCATGATATATTGAGAAAACGAGAGCGGTCGCGGTCGTTTTCCTCATATGGGTCAGAGGATGGTGAAGGTCGTAACGTTCGTCGCAGATTAAGTTCATTCAGTCCTCCTCGGCGGGGCCGGACATTAAGTGTTGGGTCTAATCGGTCGAGTTTCCGTCGTGAGGAGAATCGATCACAGCGCACCAACCGCAGGCGTGCATCTCGGAGCCGAAGCGACGACAGAGGACGCGGAAGACGCCGGTTCCGCAGTAGGAGCATGTCCCGAGGCGGTAAACGGCCAGGCCGGGATCTCTCCATGTCACGGTCCCCTTACAGAAGCCCTGATCGCATGGACTTTTCCCAAGACCTCAACCCTCAAAACATCCGGGGTGGCGCAGTGGACGGGTTTTCCGGCAGAGGTTCTCGCTCGAAGCATTACTCCTCTCTTTCACGGTCACGGTCATGCTCAAGATCGCGGCATCGCAAAAGGAAAGCGACCACGCCTTCGCGCGACTCGCGAAGCCCAAGCCCCTATTCTAAAAGACGGGAAACCGGACGGTCACCGAGCCCTTTCTATTCTAAGAGGGATGGGTCGTCTGTGGACAATCGTCGCGGCGACAGAGTGTGTTCCACCCAGGAAGGTCGACCTGGCCGAGGTGCATCACCTCCAATCCCGCCTCGCCAGAGGAGCCTGAGCCCGTACAGTAAACGTGTGGCGATGACCAGGGCAATGCAAGGTCGCTAAGATGGGTTTGATGATAAAGGTCGTGGACGTCGGGCGGCTACGGCCAAGCATATATCAAGCCATCGGAACCTGATAATCAATGAAGCCAGCAAAGTTGTGTTCCGCTGCATAGATCACATAGTGGGTGAAGGAGCAATTTGGTGTGATTTGCAGGAGTTCAATTGGGCTTTCCATTGGAGTAGTTGCCTGATACGAAAGGAACTGTATGTACAGTTCCACCGAATGAGACATCGGAGGACAGCACGAGTGCTATATATACATAGTGGGAACGGGTGCCTGGATGCCGCTCACATTAGGGCCTCCCGTGTAATTGTTACCAATATCTTAACAGCCCAATGATTGCAGCCTTCTGGCCGGGTGGCCTTCCGTATTGCTTCCATGCGAGGCTGTTGCTCGGATGCCTTTGCTCATCACATGGATTGTCGGATTTGGTCGCCGTTGGCACCTGTTTTACGGCCCGGGGGGGGGGGGGGGGCACAGACCTGCTGATTATGGCCCGGTGATATTCTTCGAGCCAAAAACAAGGGGAGGCCTCTTCAGCTTACGTCTTCTTCTTCGTCCCGCTTTTGGTCGGCCTCGCCCTCCTTTTCCATCAAATGCATTGCTTCCACGAGCTCCCTCCCTTCCATACCGACTTCTTCACTCTCTTTATTCTCTTCATTCTGCTTTAACGTGGCAGTCTTCCTTTGCGTCTCTATCCTCTCCCTGACCATCCGCGCAATTGCGTTGTCCGTCCGTACATTCAGAGGCCTCATTTTCTCTTCCAAATCTCGCTTTAGATCCCAGTTGGGCTTCTTCGGCTGCAGCTTAAACAAATCCAACGGCTTATCCTCCTTTTCCTCTGCGGATTGTTGTTGCTTGGTCTGTAGCGCAAGTTGTTCGGCTTTGTACTCTAGGGTTTGCGTCGGGTCTGCTATGGGCGGTGCTCCAAAGCCGAGCTTCACATTGCGCGTCTCTGGGTCGTAGTTTCTTCCGCTGAGAATAGATTTGGTGACAGGCTCCTCCTCCGGTCCCGTACGAATGAGTGCATTAGAGGGTTCTTGGTCCGAGGGCGCGGTTTCGTCTTCGGCGGGTGCTTGTTTGCGCTTTAGAGATCTAAGATGCGCCAGACGAGACTTGCGGTCGTTCGCCGCGGCAGCGAGAGTCTCATGAGACGACATGATTGAATATATCTCCTTAGGTAAGGTTTCCGGTGGGCCGTGAAGGTTGTAAATAAGGCAATGCGGAGTGCAGAGGAAGATAATGTTGCTGTGTTGAGAAGCTCGGGCCAACAAGATCTCCCGAAAAAATCACTCCAGCCGACCGCGCATGCTTCTATCATCTCAACCAACACTCCGATGGCATGGCTTGATGAGTTGCTATAGTCCTTTACGCCGATGCCACGCGCCCTCATTCCCGATGCCAGGACTTTCGCCCCCTCCGACTGTTCTCTACTCCCGTTCCTTGCGCCTCGAGTCTTCGCTGAGCCATCCAAACGCCGCGTCCGAGGATATACTTCACATACCCATGCGAGTTTACGGCAAGAGCTGGAGTTAAAAGACGATGTCGCAAGCGTGGGCTCGAGTAAATCTGGCGCTACTTTCGAATGCAGGCAAGAGGCCAGCGAGGTCCAACATAGCTGTCTATACGCAGACAAGGCACCGAGCCGAACCGCCAGTCCTTTCGTGCGCAAACTCCGCAGTTCGCCCCTTCACAAGAGTCAACCGCTGGGACTGCAATTGAGTTCTATGACCTGGAGGTATGCGGACATCTACACCTTGGCCAGGTGCCAGCTGGCTGGCTATTCTTCGATTTCAGCCCCGACCTCCATGGTTTCCGATCGACCGGATCCTCGCAATTTGAAACTGGATGAGGATGCAGAAGGGGAGCAGCCGCAACCGACAGAGGTTTTTGAGGGTAATATCCTTACTGGCCGCTATAAACGCAAAAGAAGACGTGTTCCATCTCCTAGACCCGCTGTCTACAGGTCACTGGTGGATAGACGGCGTCAGAAGTTGCTTCGGAAGGAGCAAGAACGTTATAGGAACTTTTTGTCCCATCTCCCATCGATATTCTTCCTGGGCCCGCGAAATACGACCCGTTCCGTGGATCAGGGGAAGCTGATGCGTCAAGGGCGATACAGATCCTTAGTGCGACGCATATATGCACTGAGGCGTTCTCGGCCCACACTTGTGGACCTGGAGACAGTGCAGTCCCCTATTCTTCGGAATATTATAGGCTTTTCAGCGTTGGATCGGAAGGCGTTTCCTGACAGAAGAAAGAAGGCCCATCCTATCACAATCAAGCATAACCCGCGAGTGGAGGCCTGGGCCGACATACTACTTCATGGTGTAGAATCCGATAAGGGAGACAAAGTGCTGCAGAATTGGGCGGCGTTTGCCGAAGAAGATCGTAATACCTGGTGGGACCACCTGCTTTTCTACTTTCTGGCCAAACGGCCAGATATGGCATTGCCCTTTGTTTACGCCCTTGCACATGGGCCAGAAATTACGACCATGCGGCCCGAGTTTCTAGCCGACGCTCTGGAGCATATTGCAAGGCTTTGTCTTATTGGTGCGAAGCGACCACACGCCCCGGAGGCCACAGACTTCGTACCTATTTTCTCTTCCGTATTCCGCAAGACCTTAGCGAGATACCCTTCTATCTGTTCGCAAAATCTGCTTTGGACCCTTTCCCGTATATCAACGCCCGACGATCTGGAGCATGTCTTCAACTTGCTTATAGAAAGTAAAGCTTACATGGGATTTGATACCGTTCTTCACTTTGCGAATGCTTTCAGCGCGTCCGGCAATGCTCAGCACGCCCTCCGCTGTCTTCATAGGATCACGGAAGTTGCGTCGAGCAAGTCGGCTTGGGCAACAATGGTCAACCGACGAAGGTTCAAGTGGAGCTGTGCTCTACTCCTTCGTAAAAGCGTTCGCAATGGCAAAAACTATCATCTAACGAATGACATAGTTGCGAAATTTCCCGACCTCGGCGTTAAATTTGATATCACGTTGTACAATGTCATTATGCACAACGCTATGGAAGCCGGGGACTATAAGACCGCGTTCCAGGTATACAGCCTTCTTGGTGAAAATGGGGTAGAGCCTGACAAATACACGTACTCGATCCTCCTCCACGGATGTACTATGACGAAACTAGCCATGTTTGACGACTTTGCAGAGCACTGTGCAAAGGTTGCAGTCGAGTTGAAAGATCCATGGCTAGCTACCGAATACCTCTTCTATCTCTATATTCGACGTCAGGAGATGGCCCCCGAACAGTTGCTCTCTGTCTTATACCTGGCATACTCTCGGTTCTTTACCCAAGAACCATTACAGCCTTTCCAAGATCCGGCGGCAAGGGCCCAAACGGCAGCTACCGTAGGTGGCGAGGCTGATGCGGCCAGAATGTCCCCTCCTCCCGCTGCACTGTTTATAATGCTCCAGGGAAAGATCAAAAGCGCCTTTGGATCCGGCCACACCCACGTCGCGAAACTTTATCTCTACTTTGTCCGCCTCATCAAGGATCAAAATCACCCCCTTCTGAATGAGCTTGCCAAAGAACCGATCATATGGAATGCCTTTCTGGTCGCCTTCTGTCGGCAACAGCAATTTCATCAGGCCTCTGATCTGATCAAGACCATGACGGATAGCAAAGATGATTCCATCCCACAGCCAAACGTCTACACTTGGAATATTTTCATGCGAGCTTTCTTTCAAACCAAGCAAGTCCGGGCTGCCGAACGTGTTTTCGATATCATGAAGAGCCGTGGGATCGAGCCTAATCAGGACACGTATGAAGTTCTGGTCAAGGGATATGCAAAAGCGCAGCACATTGAGAAGATAGGGGAGTTCATGGGACATGTCTCCGAAGAGAAGCAACTTGATCCTAAGTTGTTGCGGACTTTGATGAATATCCATGATAGGGAGAGGCTGATGCGTGCGTTGGATGAGTCGAGGATGGCCAAGGAGAGAGAAGAGAAGCAGAAACGGGAAGCGGAGAAGTTGGAAAGGGAACGGCGCTGGAACCTTCCACAACTGGGATCGCTCCTTTCTGGAACCCGGCTAGCTCTGCCGAAGGCGTCTTCAAAAGCTACTTCAAAGGTCAAAGCACCCAAGGACGACGATTCTGCTCCGCCAGTGCGGCGGGTGGCAGAGGGTTGACGAATGAGGGTGAGGACTGCGAGTCATATGGTCACCTAGATGAAGGTCTGGTGTCGATGTTTGTCGTATCCGGCCTTTTCAGTCGACGTGATTTGGCGTCAAAGGAGGAACAGGCATCACTTGGAAGCTCAAACCGAAACCGATGACCAGACGTAATTTAGAAGTTAGCCCCTTTCGAATCGCTGAGGCAGCGTTCTCATATTCCGAGGCTCGGATTCGAGGCCCTGTTCAGGTACGGCAACCAAAAAATACCGTGCAATACCGTGCAGACAGCAGTCTTGACAGGTAATAGGTTCCCAGCACTGCTGTAAATCATACCTCTCACAAATATCATACAGACATCACGGAGCCTATCATGATCTTCATACATACCCACACTCATGACAAAGTCAAAGCATCCATGTCATTTCCATGTTTCATGCCACTTCCTCCGCATATCGTTTCTCTCTGCCCCTATACATCCTTCGCTTCACTGTTCCTGGACTTCCAACAGTCATTAAAGAGTTCTTGCCACGAAAGCTACAGGTTTCAATCAGCGCCGTGTCAGAAACATTTCTACGAAACACATACCATTCAATGCACTTCCATAATCTTCTGCCTGGAGCTGCGGCCACACCGTAGCCGCCGTACTCGCCAACCTCGACTTAATCAACGACAACCGCCTGCTCGACCCCGACACTTCGCTTTTCGTCGATGAACGCCCGGGTTCCAAGCCCTTTGCCGGAATCTTGCTTTTACCAGCCGCCGTCTCCCCAACCCTGCGGCTCGCACCTCTTGACTCTTTCCGCTCTGTCGCCTTCACTTTCCCCGTATCCGCAATGGAGTTACTCCCCACAAACGGACCAAAACCTGTAGGTATAGAAGTAGCTTCCGGTCGCGCCGGGGCAGCACGTTTACGGGACGAGGACTTCAATTCTTCGTCTGTGGGCACGGACAAGGCGGCTTTGACGCCCTTCCATAGGGCTTTGCGGACCTTTGAGGGCTTGGATGGGGTCTTTTGTTTCGGCGGGGCGGGTCTTGATGTCCGTTGCGGTGCTGCTGGTTGTGCGGTCTCCTGGTCCTGTGTTGGGTTGATTGCCGTGGGGGGCGCGGAATTCGATGCAGGAAGATTGTTGTTCAGGGGACGCGGTGCGATCGGCTGCTGTCCGCCCATCGCAACTTGCAACGCCGTTTCGTCGTCAATGTACTAGATTGATCAGTAAAACGGCCCCTACGTCTCAGCATCTGACGTCGAACCCTTAACACCGGAAAAGAAAGATAATAGCACTATCTATATAAAGGGAGAAAAAAAAAAGAACTCACATCGAACCCACACTCCCTCTTCGACCTCAAAATCGCCCTCCTCACATCCTCGTCCACCTGCTTACACGCGCTCACCTTCTCCGCCTGCGTCAACGTTTGCTTTGCTAGGATCGCCTCTCTCTCCACGCTGGCCATCTGATTGATATGCTTGGCGATTTCCTTGAAACGAAGGACTCTCTGGTGATGTTTCCTTTCCGAAAGTCGTGCTAGAGGATCATTGAGGACCAGTCCAGCCATGCTTGCTTCTAAATTCCCGTCGCGAGTATATTGATGATGATAGGAAGGCTGATGAAGAGGAGGAGCAGAAGGAGGAGGATACCCGTAACCCCCTGCATGATATGCAACTGACCCGAACGCCCGCTCCGAGGGCGACGGAAACGAGTATCCCCCAATCGTGGACGCTATACCGCCACCCCAGGTAGAAGCAGGATAGATCTCGTTAGCGGAGTCCGGGTCGCCGAATTGAGAGACGCGGAGTTGATTTGCGTAGGCGAGGGTGCGGTTCAAGCGTGCAGATTGCGGGGGAGGTTGATTATTTGTTAGAGTGTGCAACGGGGTTAAGGGGATGGAGGGTAAGGCCGGGGATTGGAGAGGTGAGCGGCGAGGCGGAGAAGGAAAGAGGGCGTAAGACGTAGGCGAAGGGTTTCGCCGCTGTTGGGATCGGATCTGGAGAGGTTTTGGAAAGAGGCTGGGGCGAGCGGGCCCGGGTGCGGTCGAGAGAAGAGAGCTTGCTGGGTATCTGCTGCTGGAGGGGGAAATGGGCCTGGAGAGATAGCTGCCGCTGCCGCTGCCGCTGCTGCTGCTGTTGCTGCTGAATTTGGATATTAGGTTGGGTATAGGGTTGTCATGACGCCCTCTGTCGAGCTCAGGCCTTCGTTTGTCGGCCACGGGCGGTGCGGTCGGTGGCAGTGGGTACGCCGGGAAGTTATTTCTCCTTGGTTCTTTGTACTTGGAGGCCAATTCCTCGTCACTGTCGCGAGGCCAGGGGATGCGAACGCGTGGTTCCTCCTCCTGCGAAGAGATCGATGTCTTTTCCGCAGCCGTCTCGTTTCTCAACGTCTCTTCCGGCTCCGTCAACATTCGGAGTGTCTTGTTCCTATGCGCAGTACGAGATGTGTCATCTCCAGAAAACGTCGAAGTTGCTGGTACATCACTGGCAGCTTCGAGTTTATAACCCAGCAACTCTCCCAGTTTATCAATCTCAATCCCAAGTCCTCCTTGGTGTCCCAGGTCCAACGGGAGGAAACTCTCGCTGTCCGGGCGTGGATACGTGCCTTTCGGGTAGTATTTCCCGTCCCACATTCGCAGGGCGCGGAGGGAAGTTTTGGGGGGCGGTGTTGGCGGGTTGTCATTTTCTTCTGCTTCGGCTGCTGATCCCGGGATGTCGATGTCGATGTCGATGTCGGTCGGTTTCTTGATGACTTTTTCAGGGGAAGGTAAATCTGCTTTAGCGCCATGTTTTCTCTGTGGGTTCTTCGTTCCGGGGATCCCAGGCAGTGGAGTTGGGGTACCAGAGGAGAGTTCAGGGGAAGGCAGTAATGCAACCTTCTCCTTCTTGTTACCTTTCTTCACCATCTCCCTCTCTTTCTCCTCTACCTTCCCATACTGTCTTCCCAATGATAGACCATCATCGTTCCTAACAACAGCACTGGAAACCAGGGACTCACCACCTATCCTCCCCATCGCAACGCCCAACGTCGTACTCTCCGGCCTGGCGCACTCAGTCTCCCCCATCACGCTCGCACCTGTAGCTGTCGTGCCCTTGCCATCCCAGTCGATGGTCCCGCCGCTGAGTACGCTGTCCCATTCGCGGTCTCGCGGTCCGTCCCAGTAGGAGCTTCCTAGGCTGGAGATGGTGGAGATGGTGGGGTGGGGTTGATGAGGTGGTGGCATGGGATTTGAATAGGAAGGGGATTCTTGAGGGATGCGATTGGAATGGTGAGGTGTGTGAGTGGAGGTGCTAATTTCGTGTAGAAGGGAGGTGTATGGTAGTGTAGTTTGAGAGGGAGGGTTGTGGAGAGGTGTGCACTACAGCTTGATCTGCTATTCCTAGAGGGAGGATGGAAGTAGCCCGGGAAAAGGCATGGTCGGTCCCTAGGAATCTGGGTCCGTTTGACGCCGTTGTGCGGATATGGACCATGGTCATGTACACGTTCCCCTATCCTTGACATATAGTCACATAGTGTGTTCTTCATCCTTGAGCACGCGATTCGATGACAGCTGTTTGAATTCCCGCGTATTTACGCCGAGGCATTCATATCTCGACACCGACAGCGAAGACCTGTCAGTTCAAGCACAAATTTCGCTGACCTTGCAGTCCCCGAGATAGACCGGCGTTTTCGACATGAATGCTTGAGAAGTCTTCCGTCACCGATCTACTCCCCGAACCTCACAATTCTCTTTTGATAACGACGAAGTCACTTCTCCCAATCGTTTGCAACGCCATCTGCGCCCCTGGCCCCGACATCCCCCAACATCGCTATCCAGCTCCAAGTGAAGTCCCTTCACCACCTTGCTAATCACGTATACTCCATCCCTATCTTTGGAAGCACGCGACTTCCAACCGGAATCAACACTTACAAACGCTATATATCAGTGAACTCCTCGTCCTGTGAAGCGGAAGTACGTACGCACATGATCATGCAATCACTTATCACCCACCCCTCACCGAGTCTTGAAGGATCCAGTGTACCCCTCTCGAGCGTTTGCTTGTCCCCACGGAATGCACCATTACCCAGGGGTATAGGCCGGTCACTGCGTCCGTTCTTATTCGAAGGATTTGACGGGTTGTGCTCTGCCAATGGCAGTTCCTCCTCAGCACGACGTTTGTTAAGATGTAATTGGAGGCGCTGAGAGGGACCCTTGTGATCTACAGGGTGCCGAGCGGAGAGCCAGAGTGAGAGAGTGAGGGAGTCTCCAAACACAGCAGACCAACGCTGTTCCACGACACCCGCGAACATTGTCGAGAGAGGGGGCTGAAAGAGAATATTTTTGCATTGATGATGATGTAATAAAAGGCATCAAGGCCCCACTGTCACGGTCAAAATCTTCAGTGCACAAGGTAAGTGCCCCTGCTCCTGAAGAACACAGATATGTGACCGACAAAGACATTTCCAAATGAACTTGCATTATATAGAGGGGTACTATACATATACTCAACGTTAGCCGGCCAGAGGACAAAAACGACCCGGTATTGTAAAGAAATAGACGCCCAAGAACACCTGCGCTTGCTGTGCTGACAGACCGCTCGATCGATCATCAACAAGAACCCTAGACCCGAACCAATGCCGCCCAACCCTGTCCCACCCTGCCCCGTTCCCCGAGAAAGATGCTTTGTTTATGTACAGATGAGCTGATCCAAGGGAAAAAGCCCCGATGAAGCCGGACGGAGTATTAACGCCAGTGTATGGAACTGCGTCGCAAACGCCAACCATTCGGGTATTATGCTGCCATTGCTCGTTCTATCTCTTCACCTTCCCTCTTCAACCTCTTGTGGAGCGACCGCAGTGACTCGTATGTCAACATGGTGGTGGCAGCAGCAGGCACCGCGCGGACCATATTGGTACCCATCCCGTTGTAAAAGGCTCTCCAACCCTCTTCCCGGAGGATGATTTTGCAGGTCGTAATGACGCCGCGGTACCTTGGGACATTGACCATCCCGTCGGAGGATGACGTCCCCGGTGGACGCGTGTGGTGGAACACACCTTGTAGCCCGCCGCGGAAGGACACCTCATTATGCGAAGCCGAGGGCAAGGAGCGTTGCTGTGTCTGAAGCCTCGTGCGAAGGACCTCGTGAGGATACGTAGCCGAAGTTGCACATATTTTGCTGAGAACTGTCGCTGCTAGCACCCCAGGCCAGTGTACCACGTTGTGATCCTCGTCTGTCGCCTCACCCATAGGCGAGCCTGTGAATGTCTCCTTCAAGAATTCGTAGAGTGGAAATTGTATTGCCACGTGCGTAAGCCCGAGAAGGGCGGGTGCAAGACCAGAGTAGAAGGCTAATATCCCCTCACTCTTGTACATTTTCCAAAATGCATCAAATGTACCTTTGTATTGCCACGGCGGTCTGTGGGCGTCTGATGCTCGCGCGCTCACTTGCGACATCAGTCTGGTTTTCACCACCCATATAGGGTTTGAAACGAGCGTTGAGCAGGCTCCTGCAGAGAGTGCGGAGCATAGATGAGAGGCCCACTTGTTACCTAGCCATCATCAGATCCATGTCACAATAGGCACTCTCCAATACATACTAGTTCGCTTCTTCGTCGCTTCCTTCACGATGTCGTAGACGCTCATGTAGGTGGCCCAGGTGGGTACGTAGCCGAGCAACATCGGGCCGAGCCCCCTATACATGCCGCGGAAGCCATCATGACTCCAAATCACGCGAGCCGTGCCCAAAAGACCGTTGTACACTGCGCGTGTCGGTCTTGGTTGGCTGCGCGGTCGGAAACTGTCCTGCGTCTGAAGGCGCGTCTTTATGACGTCTAGCGGGCAAGTCACGATACCAGAGGCTATACCCGCCGCAGAACCGCAAACGGCGTTTACTGTTGTTTTGGGGAGGTGTGCGCACCGTACAGCGAGGTTAGGGAATAATGCACCTAGTTTCGACTCTGGACGACGAGTGTCTGGGGTGCCATGGGAGACAGTCACTGGGGATTGCGTCCGGTAACCAGGTTCGGCGCTGCTTGAACTGGGCGGTAGATCGGGCTCGGCGGTCATGATGGGGGCTGTCCATGATAGGAAAGTCAGTGGAAAATTTCATGGACGGCAGGGAGCAGGAGGTCATACAGGCCGTCGTGCCCGTGGAGGTGCCTCAGTGTGCGGAACCCCGCAGCACTTGAGAGACACAATAGCTAGCGATTAAGCGGCTCCATGGACAGGAGAAGGGGATAGTAGGGTGGCCGGTAAGGGAAGAGTGACGAGTGCGGCGCGGCGACGTCTGGGACAGAGTGAGCGAGCGCGGTGTCGCAGTATAGGTGAGAAGGATGGTTGCGAAGAAGATGGCACGAGAGAAGTGCGAGTGGGGACTCGGAGTAGAGTGGACCTGGCTAGGACCTGCGTGATTTTCTTGGCACGACGACTTTGACCGAACTCAACCTTGGAGCTTGCGACCGACGACCTCATCTCGCCCAATTGCAACCCCCCATCCGCCATCTCCCCTCCACCGACAGCGACACACCGTCACCATGTCTGCGCCCAGTCTTGCGGCCACCGTCTCCAGGCGTCCCTGGTTGAAGAAGTTGTTCACTCCCTTGGCGAACTGGTATGTCAATGCTGCTGGCTACAGGCAGCTCGGCTTGAGGTACGGACGCCCTCCCCTATGCGCCAATTCTTTGTCAAAGGATCGGAAAACACCTCGGTTGCCCTCAATTGGTTTCGAGTTGCCGGGCTGACGCGATCGCCTCCGCAGAGCCGATGATCTTCTTCCGGAGGAGAACGACGTTGTCCAGCTCGCTCTCAAGCGTCTGCCGCCCAAGGAGGCCTACGACCGTGTATTCCGCATGCGCAGGGCTTTCCAGGTATGGAGGAGAGTGCAATAGGGTGCCGGGCGGTTTGCTAAGGCGATGTAGTGCTCCATGTCCCATACGCTTTTGCCCAAGGAGGAATGGACCAAGGATGAGGAGGTATGCCGGATGGCACGACTGACATTTTGCGGTACTGACTCTGCCCAGGACACTCCCTACCTGTCCCAAATAATTCAGCAGATCGAGGCTGAGATGAAGGAGCGCGAGGATCTCGAGGCCATGGTTGTGACAAGGCGGAAGGCGGCGCAGTAAACCAGAATTACGGAAAGCGGCACCTATTGAAGGGGAAAAGAATTTGGCTGTGCGATAGAGTGTATATCAACATGTCATTTCTCTCTGCTCGAGCGCCTCGCAATGCCCTCCCGGCCAGCATTGTTTCGATTGTTAAGTACTTGTACGGCTTTCGACTGTTCCGGCCGAGCCAATCTACCACTGCATCTACGATCTATTGTTATGAACATAGACTGGATATGACCTGTCAATCATGTTTGAGAATGTGTGGTAATGGTTTTCGACTCGGTGTTGCTCCGCATATGTAAAGCATTCACAGAAGCCGTCCACGGCTCAGTGGGAGGGGTCTCAAGAGTGAGTAAGGAACTGAGCGAAGCTCCACTCACCATTGAAAACGCTCCCATTATCAAAGGCCCTATAATATAATTCGCAGCTGCACCAGTGAGCTCGGGGGAGGGGAGCAATTGGAGACTTGGCGCCGGTTCCGGTCGCGGCCAGCCCTGGAGCCCCTCCACTGCACACCATCCCACCTTTGAACATTTTTCTGTTCGCGTGAGTGAAGACGGAGATCGCAGCCCAGCTTTGTTGCAGGAAGCGGATTATATTCTCTCGGAAGTTTCTTCAGAAGTCTCGTCATTCTCCGCGCCGAATCAATTGACTTCGATTTTGCCCGGTTTGGCAAGAATTTGACGTCGGTCTACACAGCGCTCTTTTGAAAACCACCCCAAGGTATTTACATCCCGCCATTTCAAGTCCCGAGAGGCCATGCGTTTTACATACCTCTGCAGTGATTTCTGTCCTTCTCGAGATCTTGCTTTCCTCTTTTCTTCCACTCCGTACTCGCCTTGGATGTCAACTCCTCTGTAGTCGCACTAACCATCGCCAAGCACAATGTCGGCCAACGACACATATCAGGACCCGCTGAACTCGCGGTACTCCAGCAATGAGATGAAGTATCTTTTCAGCCCCCGCAACAGGTTTAGCACCTGGCGGCAACTCTGGATCTGGCTGGCCGAAGCCGAGAAAGAGCTTGGGCTCGACATCAGCGATGAGGCCATTGAACAGATGAAGAAGCACCAGATTATTCAGGATGATGAGTTCAAGATTGCTGCTGAAGAGGAGAAGAAGCGGAGGCATGATGTGATGGCTCATGTGCATACATTTGGCCTCAAGGCACCAGCTGCCGCGGGCATCATCCACTGGGGAGCGACGAGCTGTTATTGCACTGACAATGCGGATTTGGTAGGAATCAATCACCACGCTGGCCTGTATATTTGCTGACCCTCCTAGATCTTCCTGAGGGATGGGTTGGACATTCTGCTTCCTAAACTTGCCACGGTCATTGAGAAGCTTTCATCCTTCGCGAAGGAGCACAAGAGCCTTCCCTGCCTGGCTTACACTCATCTCCAGCCAGCTCAGTTGACCACCGTCGGAAAACGAGCTTGTTTGTGGATTCAAGATTTGTTGAAAGATTTGAAGAACCTCGAGCGGGCACGGGAAGATCTTCGATTCAGGGGTGTCAAGGGTACTACTGGCACCCAGGTTAGTCTAGCTACATTGTGCCTTTCTATTTCCTCTGCTGACACACATAGGCTTCCTTCTTACAGATCTTCGATGGCGACCACTCCAAGGTCGAGCAGCTGGACGAGCTCGTGACCAAGAAGGCCGGTTTCGATTCAGCATATATCATCTCCAGCCAGACCTATCCCCGCAAAGTGGACGCCGATGTCCTGAATGCTTTAAGCTCCTTCGGCGCCACCTGCGAGAACATCGGACAAGCCATCCGTCTCCTTGCCTCTTTCAAAGAGCTCGAAGAGCCCTTCGAGTCAACCCAGATTGGCTCCTCCGCCATGGCCTACAAGCGCAACCCCATGCGCAGCGAGCGTCTCTGCTCTCTGGGCCGCAAACTGCGAAACCTCAGCGCCGATGCCTCTGCAACCTACGCAGCGCAGTGGATGGAGCGTACTCTGGATGACAGCGCCATCCGCCGCATGTGCCTGCCCCAAGCTTTCCTCTCCACTGATGCATCCCTCATCCTGCTCAACAACATCGCTTCCGGTCTGGTTGTGTACCCCGCTGTTATCAAGAAGCGAGTTGAAGCCGAGCTACCCTTCATGGCCACAGAGAACATTATCATGGCTCTCGTAAAGAAGGGCGTCTCCCGCCAGGATGCCCACGAGGAAATTCGCGTTCTGAGCCACCAAGCCGGTGCGGAGGTGAAGCAACACGGCAAAGATAACGACCTGATCGACCGCATTCGGAGAACGGAATTCTTCAAGCCGATCGTCGGCGAGTTGGATGAGTTGCTAAAGCCGGAGACCTTTACGGGAAGGGCGCCGCAACAGGTCGATGCATTTTATACGAGGGAGGTTAGCAAGGCTTTGAAGGCTTATGTGGAGGCTGGGACACTTAAGCTGCAGGAGGCCGCGGAGCTTCACGTTTAAATTGGGCTCGAATGGGGCTTCTGATAGATGGCAATGGGATAGAAAACACTTGTATGAATGTAGTACCTAGTGAGTATTTGCAATTTGACATTTCTCTGGATAAAAGATGAAACTATGGAAAGTATGGGGGATCCCACATAATATGAAAGCGGGCTGCCCGATCTAGACTTAGACACTCAGTGCTGTGAGATGTTCTCCGGTCAGACACCTAACTTCAGGTTTCAAGTTCGATTGATCAGTCATGTCACATGACTTCGCAGAACTTTCGTGAATTGCCAAGGCGCTAAATCTAGACCCGATGACGAACGGGGCAGGCTTGCCACCCATCTCTCACTGTAACTCTAGATCTCCTATACAATACGGAGTACTACGTAGCCTTTCCACTGACTTTCCGGAGGACGGTCCGCGGAGGCCAAATAGAAGATTGGCGTACCTATTCTCTCGACAGATTATTTCCCGATCTAAACTTCCCCAATTGCCACAAAAGTCAATCAACCAACCCTCATCTGAACTATCCTCGATATCCATAGCTCGGACGACGCTTTCAACTTTACTATTGAGTAGCTGTGTACCCTACAGTCAGCAAAATGTTTCCGGCGCCAGAGTCTTCTCTGGATGGTTCGGAGTCTCTCTCAGAACAACGGCTTGCTACACTCCTCACAAGCCGCAAAAGAAAGATAACCAACTATGGCGACTTAGGCGACGAGGAAGAAGACTGGGACCACGTTTCACCAAAGAAGAAGCTAAAGAATGAGCTTGAAGGCGGCGGAGTACAACCAACAGTAACACCCAAGAGCAGGAGGAAGAAAAAGTCAATGGATGCAGACTGCGAGATAAAGCAGGAAGAGAAGAGGCTCAGGCGGTATGTCCAGCAACATCTCACGTCCGTGAACCTGTATTGACTTGGATTTTAGGTTTCGCCAACATCCACCGCAGTCTTACCTACAAGTTAAAGAGCGGGCACTGACGCAGCGACTCATCATTCAAAGTCGTGAGCGATGCGGAACGGATGAGGTACCAGAAGAGAAGGTAACGATCGTCGGCACGACCGGCAACTTGTACACTGTAAAAGTATCTCAAGTGCCCTCCTGCAACTGTCCGCATGCCCGCAAGGGGAATCAGTGCAAGCACATCATCTATGTAAGTGGAGTTCGGAAGGTACATTGACTGTTCATAACTAATACCCTCAGGTCATGCTTCGCGTGTTGAAAGCCCCAGAGCACATAGCATACCAGCTAGCCTTGACATCGTCCGAATTACGCGACTTGTTCAAGCGAGCCCCACCGATTCCGGATGCCGAAAACGACGGGGATGATGCTAATGGTAACCGCAAGCCTATTGAGGGTGACTGCCCTATCTGTAGGTGAATCTCACCAGTTCACCGATTTCCAAGTGCTGACTTCCTCCCCCAGGCTGCACTGAACTCGAGCCAACCAAAGAGGCACTCGTATACTGTAAACAATCTTGCGGCCACAATTTCCATAAGAGTTGCATGTCTCAATGGATCAAGACCAAGGCCGGCAAGGGAACATGTCCTTACTGCCGTGCGACCTGGGAAGAGACCGACATTGATGCGAGAAAAGTGGATATCAAAGCCGTACCGGTGAATGAGGAGGGGTACATCAATGTGGCGTCTCAGCTGGGACTGTCTGGGGAGAGAGGTGAGTGGTGAAGTCGGATCTACGCTTGTGGTTGAGTCGGCTAATGGCTTTGCAGATGTGTCTACCTACCATCAGTACTGGGTCAGGACACATTATCGGCGTCAACAGCGATGGTATGGCGGGGACGATTGAGTATATCCCATGTCCTAAGAGCACATTTTCCTGCGATGTGTCTCGAAGCTCAGTCTCACGGCCATCTTCTGACCGTTGTTCTCTTTATTCTCTTTTTTTCGTCGAGCAGTGGGTGGCTGATCTCCTGTCTATTCATTTGGTTTTTCTCGATACCCAAGGCTCCTTTCGTTATACACTTCCATGACTTCTAGGCCGCCACGGTTACGACAGGATAGTCTGGCGGGGCACTGCGTGCTGGCGGCACAAACACAGGCCACGGGATCTCAGGCGATAATGCGTTTTTTCTATACATGACCTCTACTCTGTGACTATGTGTCAATCCATGCATCTTCTCACACAGCAAAATATACCCGATCTTTTCCCCAACATCGATGGCAGAGCCGTACGTCCACTGCACTGATTGCCCTTATCCTATGTATGTACACGTAATACACGTAATGCACAGTACATGTACGACGTCCATTCGCACGTCTCGGTGCTTGAATAAGCGAAGGAAGGAGCCAACACCGAAGTGTGTGCCTTTGATGTCCGATACCCTTTGCAAGTAAAGTAGAACATTTTCAAGCCCACCGCAGTATCAAAGCAGCAGATTACTTCTTGATTGTAAAACCTGAGCCAGATCCTTGTATATGCTGTGTAAAATGAAGGGAGGTGTTCGATACCACGACTGACATCATCGTCATCGTTTTCCTTTCGACATGCCCTCATTATTCATGGCTGTTCATGGCTGGAAGCTAGGACCCCTCCAATCAAAAGAAATGAGGGTAGGTACCTCGACCACCATAAGCACAAATATCCGACTCGAAATGAGCAAGGGGTTTTCCCTCCATTACTCATCGGAATTCCGGATGCGCACTGTGCTTGTTGCATCGACATTGGCATGCCGGAAATAGGTCTGCTTGGTGAGATGTTGTAAAAGGGGGATGGGTGAGATATGAATGTGAATTTTACGGAGTACTAGTATGTACTCCATTCACTGGGATGGAGAGATACTGTGCTCGGTATGTCGTGCCTACTTCGATGCAGAAATGCAAGTCCAGACTCTCTGCCAGCTGGGAGCTTTTCGTTTCAACAGCAGAAAGAGTTGGACAGGTTTATGAGGCGGTCTCACGTCTCTCTCGAGGCTATTTCTAGGGGCTTGTTCGGCCGCCGGCCACGCACAAGGCCGTTTTTCGCAGGGGTTCCGTTTTCATGAGATGAGATGCCAAGAGATCACCGACAGGGTCCATTTCAGGCACCGCGGTTTGATTCGCCCGTTGCAATACACACTAGGCGGTATGGGGGAAATACATGCAAGCTAGCGGAAAGGCTAGCACGGAGGTCAAGCCATTCTAAGGGAAAACTGCGTGGGGCCAGCTAAAGAAAGACCATAAACCTTGTCCAACAGAATCCCCCTGAGCAAGCCGTTGAATGTTACAGAACAACTGAACAAGTTGAATTGGGCACGGGGACGGAAAGGGACGGACCAAAAGATGAATACTCGACAAGAGATGGGAGAGAAGTAGCAGAGCAGGAAAGCTTCTGTAACTGTCGCTTGGCCGGGGACTTGATGGAATGCATCCACAACAGTGAATCGAGAATTGCCCACCAATTCCCTCGCTGCTCACAACAGCCTTATTTTATTAAAGTAAGAATACCCTCCTGCAAGCAATTAATTAGCAGCCCCTGGCACTTCCTCAGCCATTCGCTGTGGTGCGACGCATCGCCAGTTTGCGCCTGGTCCGGGGTTCGTGGCCAATCAACGCGCTTAGCTGTGATAACTGCTCGATTCCCTCTCCCCCCAGGGCCTGGATGCCTCTTCTTCTCCTCCCGCCCGCCTCGTCTCTCCTTCACCACCACCCATCATTCTTTTGTGGGAGTCGCTCTTTACCGAATCCCTCTCTCCTCGCCTTTGCCGTTGCCCAACTTGCTTCTTCCCACCCCAGTCACTCTTTTTGGGCCGGAGAGCTTTGTTTGTTGTTAACAGTACGATTGTGCCACCTTCACAGCACTCACCGCTAGTCACTCCTTGACCTCCCTCCGCCGCCCACGGTTGATTCCATATATCGAGAACTCCGTCGAGCGCCTCACGACCCCATCACGACCTTACGCCACTAATACTCAACCCACTTCTAATTGCCTCTTTCCCTGAACAATCACGCGGACCATTGCCAACACCGACACCCGCGCGCGAATGGGACAGAAGTTGTAGCCAAACAATATGGACCACCGACACCATGCCCACCGCCATCGCCACTCGAGAAGGGAGACTTTCTATCCTGAGATCCCCGGAATACCGAGCCGTACCACTGCAATGGACATGTCTCCTGTCCAGCTGATGCCACGCTCTACATGCACCGACCCGGATGCCCCTGAGTGTCGAAAGCCCACCCAGATACCCACACTTCCCATTGTGCTAGGCGTAGTGTAATGCAGACCTTTTCCCGCATTGTCCTAAGATGCTGACTTCTTTTAGAATACCCTTGGGCGCAGCCGCAATAGTCCTAATCTACCTCCATCGAAGACATATCCGCAAGTTGAGGGAGGAAGACGCCAAGGACAAGTACAAGTCGCTCGATTTTGGTGTTGACCCTTCATCGGCCCAGCGTAAAAAGGGTGCGAAAGGAATGGAGATGAGCAAGACGGACGGAGAGAAATCCGCCCGGCACGGATATGGCATCTCCCTGGACATGGGAAGCCCATACATCATGCCCGCTGGTCTGAATGCGTCACGGGAATCGTTCCATTCGCTCTCACGGTCAATGCATGACCCCAGCGATCCATACAGCCCCGTGACGATGAGTTTCATGAAGGGAGACAACGCCAGCCTCAGAAGTGTGAGCCGCAATGGAGGATTCCCTGCCCATGACAACGGATCCGTGTACACCACCTCGAGTGGTGCGACTGACAGGATGAACAATGGCCTGTTGAAGAACGCCTCGAGCATGTCCCATTCCGTCCCGCCGCGTGGAGAGCCACTTTCACCCGATCGGGAGGTACCTGAGCTGCGTTTCCCAGAACCGGTTGCACAACCCCGGAGTCCCAGCCCGCTCAACCCAAACGCACAGTCGCCGCCGTCAGCGGTTCTGAGAACCACTGCTGCTTCCCCACCTCCTGCGCAAACACAGTATGTCGCCTTCAACCCGACGGGCTCACCCGCAGTCGCTCCGGCTCCCGCTGAACCGGAACCCGAAGTACAAGAGTCCAAGGCTCAGAGAACCACACCTAGTCCACCTCCTCTACGCATTCAATCCCAGGCAGCGGTGTTACAGAACAACACTGCAAGCTTTATAAGCGACTCCAGCTATGGCGACGCCTTCCAGATTACACCTCCCTCACCCCCTCGGAGCCAAGAACGCGTTCTGTCCCAGGAAGCACCCCTTGTGCCAGAGCCTCTTCATCCTCAGACGAATGCGCCCGTAGGGCTAGGGGTAGAACAGATCGACTACAGTGCCAATCGGTTATCCCTAAGCCTGCGTCCTCTGCCGCCTGATGATCCGAATGACAACCCCGAGCAACGTGCCCTCCGCATTCGCTCCTTTTATAAGGAATATTTCGACGAGAGCAAGCCTGACCCTGCAGGCGGCCATGCCTATCATGACGACTACTACGAGGATAGCTACGGGTCGGAATATCTTGATGGTGCTGTGTACGATCCTCAGAGCAATGCATTTGTGGTGGCACAGCCTCATGCACCTTTCGCACAGCCTGTAACACGTCGCGCCATGACGCCTCCTCCTCGCGCACCTCCCCGGTTCCGCAGTGGTAGCCTTCCTCGGGGACCTCACATGTCCAAGGGGTCAATGTCTTCTGCTGGCCGCCACATGCCGCCGCGAGGAATGTCTTCTATGAGCGGACGTTTCCCGGGAACTCGTCCACCGCCGCCTCCACCGGCTGCCCTAACCTCCTTACCTACGCCATCGAAGCTTAAGGAGGACTCGATGGTGTTCAATCCCATCGACTTTGCCCCTCCAGTCTCCATCCGAGAGAGACAGAACGGAATGCGGCCTGATAGCCCGCTGGGGACGCCTAGGCCATACAGCCCTGCAGTTCGCGCGCACACGCCTTTGGCCAGCGCTTTCGATGATCTGGCTGTAATGCCCAGCCCGTAAGTCTACACTCTGCCCTCTCTCTCATACGTTTCGCTAACACCAGTAGGCACATGCTGCGCAAATCGGGCACATTCACCGCTCTTGACTTCGCTCCCCCGCCCCGTTTCCGAGACCCGGGCTCCGGTGCCTCGGACGCAGGATCCATCCGTTCATATCGCTCGGGCATTTCTGCCGTGGGCCGCATGGCCGTTCGCACTGGAGCTAACCGCGTCAGCCGAATTCCGAAGGGCGTCGTCGGCACCAAGGAGGACATTGTCAGCGCTCTGCGACCGCAGATGAGCCTCGTAGCCCCTGCTTAAAGACTTGTTTTTGAGCTCAGCATTTCTTCTTCCCTTGCCAATCATGACTGGAGCATCTGCATGCGCCTGTAACGACAATCGACAATTTCCGGAAACTGCATCTAACGCTCGCTGGCTGAGTTCTATTCATATACTTGTCACATCCGACCAACCAACCAAACGCCCATATTGGGATTGATATTCACCCTTGACGACAAACGGAATAGACGGCGTGGCGGGCCTGGCCTCGCCCTGATTTGTAGACTTGGCGGGGCCGATATGGGCGACATCAATGTTGTCCATATACGTACATATCAACATCATCACATTTTTCTCGTGGATTCTCATTGGGGTGCCTCTGTGCACGAGCGAAGGTCGGGTCTTTACAGGCGCTTTACAAGCGGTGGGGTTTCTTGCGGATAATTTCTATTTTTTAAATGGAGAGAAGTAGACTTTGAGGTGGAGATCAAGAAGGGAGGAGGGACTTGAGAGGAGGCCGAGGGACTGGGTAGGAAAGGGGCGGGTGTGGTGATTCCGAGTGATAGAGGAAGATAACAGAAAATCTAGGGCAGAATTACTTGTTAGCATTGCATGTTGCCGGCTCGTTAAGTCCTTTATCCCCCTACCGTCCAGTCAAGCTACTCTTGTCTACACGGTAGTGATAGCTTGACAGCGTCTCGGCGCCAAGAGAAGTCAAAATCAACGGCTTCCAACTCCCATGACGATTTCGTTGACATTGGTGAACACCAGGAACACGTATCTGCATGCCCACCAGCAAACAAACATGTGCAAGTCGCTGTTAGAATGTCTCTCGCTCCGGGCCAATCATCACCACCCGGACTTCCACGCACAAATCTAGCAAACAGCAGGCGGGTGCTCAACATCTTGAATGACCCCATGGCCAGCATTGCTGCTGCATGTCATGCCAACTCAGCTGGAATAGAGTTTCCGTTTCCTTCGACCCTTCCTTAGCTGTGGAAACTAAGTCCTCCCATTTCTGAGCAGGAAACGACGTTCCTACCTGCCATTCTTGCTCCAGCAGTACGGCAAAGCCTGGTGTCTCGGTGGACTACGTCATGTCCCCATAAAAAGATTCAACACCTTACTGGGGAACCACGCGTCTCCAGGCCTGGAGTCAAACAACGTCGAGCTGGCTCGCCCAGCAGGCCCACCGTGATTCTTTCGATGTGCCGCTACTGTCGGTCCACTATTTTCAGCGACTTCTTTCCTTTTCCTTTCATATCTTCTCTTGCAAGGCGTTCCCGCCCTATACTATAGCTACTAGCTTTAAGATCCTCACCACCAGCAGTTCACAATGCATTTTAGGACAGGCCGCAGCTCGGACGGCCGCGCTGCACCAGGAACTCGTCCGGTGCCAGAAGGCCTCACCAATGAGCAAATCAAACGTGCCACGAAGCCCCGCCAGCGTTGGGCCAACATCACTATCGTTTTCCTCTTCATCACCGTCGTCTTCCTAATCCTCCTCGAGATCGGAAGCACATACAACAGGCCCGTCCTCAGAGACTGGTACTTCATCCGGATTGATCTCTCTAACATAGTTCCGGCCTCTGTTCCGAATTACAACCTCATTAACACCATTGCACAGTCCCTTGGCCTGCATGATTTCTACCAGGTCGGACTGTGGGGCTTTTGCTCTGGGTACAGAGACCAGGGCGTCACCTATTGCTCGCCACCGCAGACAATGTACTGGTTCAATCCTGTGGAGATCCTAGCCAACGAGCTTCTCGCCGGCGCTTCCAGTACGTCTGCCCTGTTTCCAGCGTAGCAACCCTTGCTAACTATACGTCCAGTCAACCTCCCTTCACACATCAACGACATCCTGGACCTCATCAGGATCGCCTCCCACGTCATGTTCGCGTTCTACCTTACGTCCGCCATCCTCTCGACCGTCCTCCTTTTCTTCGTCCGCCTTGCAACTCGCAGCCGCCTCTACAGCCTTCCCATTGCAACCTTCTGCATCATCAACGCGCTCCTCGTCATCGTCGCATCCGTCATCGCAACCGCCATGTTTGTCATCTTCCGCAACGTCATAAGCGGCGTTGCGGAGCTGAATATCAGCTCTGAACTGGGCCTGTCGATGTTTGTGTTTATGTGGATAGCTAGCGCATTTGCACTTGCGACTGCGCTCATTCACTCGGGACTGTGCTGCTGTGGGACTAGCAGGAGGGACATTCGGACCGGGAGGAAGACGCGGAAGCTTAAGCTGCTCAGCAACACGAATAATGAGAAAGCGGGAAAGGCGGATGACCGGGGAGCAAGAGGCGGCGTCTGCACTGTGGACGAAGAATGCCAAGCGAACGGCACGGCGCAGGAGAGGAGCTTCACATCTACCTCCAACGGTGCATGTGCGCCGAACTTGCCCTCGTCCGAGTCGGTCTGGAAACGCAGTATCCGGCGCGTCTAGTCGGCGCTAAGGCGCGGCCTGGTGTCTAGATTCCTGGAATGGATTGGACGAGTTATCGGCTCCAGCGCGCTGGCTGCAAGGACTTCGATGTCGAAGGTGGTGGAGTGCCTGAGTCTGGTGTATGGAGTCTCGTGTTGGTATCTGGTGTGGCCGGTTTGGGGGTCGTGGGCGTGTTGTGGAGCGAGGGATGGAGGTGGGGATAAGCCGCCTCCTGCGTATGATTTTGGCGAGGATTGCGAGGCTCGTATGGAGAAGGAGAAGATGGAGCCAAAGGAGGAGAAGGAGGAGAATGAAGAAGAGGGATGCATTCATACCCAATCGTGAACTGATGCATGGACGGATGGGAGCATGGGGCAGGCGTCGGAGGGATTTCGAATCAGTGTCCATGGATTTCGAGGCTCTAGGATGGAGTTCTTCTTGAGACATGGAAGTCCAATGTTGAACATTAAAGGCGGTGGATGCTGAAGGCGATGCTGCAACGGGATGATGTGCATATCATGCACTCCAGGTACGTCAAGAGGGATAGACTAATGGTCATGAGAAACGATCAATAAACCAATCGGGGAGTATATACAATAACAAACACAACATCGCTCATGTCACATCAAGAAGACGCATTCCAGGCCTCCTTCTCTAGCTCTCTCCACATGAAATTCAAAACCTCGCCTCCACCTTCTCCTCGGTATCCTGCAACGCCCACTCGCTCCTGGCCTTCTTACTCCTCACGGCATCGACCTGCGCGCGCGTGAATCCCTTGGCTTGAGTAGCTGGGTTATATCCCAGACCCGTCAGTCTCGCAACCTCTTCGTCCGATACATCGCGCGCTGCGGATCCATCGGCACGCTTGTACACGGTACACACAACCGCGCCTCCGAGACCGAGATTGTGCTGAAGCGCGACGGTGGTGTCCTTGACGGAGCGATTGTTGGCCCATCCACGCATATGCCAGACGAGTTCGGCGCACTGGGCCAGGCCCGTAGCGCCGAGCGGGTGGCCCTTTGAAATCAAGCCGCCCGAGGGATTGATAACGACCTTGCAGGCAGGACCGTAAGTGATGCCGCCCGCGCGAACGAGTTCGTGCGCCTTGCCCTTGGGAGCCAGACCGAGGGCTTCAATGGTGACCATTTCGTTCGCCGAGAAGCAGTCGTGCAGCTCGCACACCTTGACGTCTTGCGGGGATACGTTCGCCTCCTGCACCGCGGCTTTCGCGGCGCGCTCGCTCATCGAGTAGCCGACCAGCTCGATGGCGCTCCTGTTGAACAGGTTGGGCGAGTCGGTGGCGAGGCATTGTCCCGCGATGAGGATGGCTTGGGATTTCAGGTGCGGTCTCGCGTCGAGGAAGGCCTGGGAGACGAGGACGGCGGCGGCGGCGCCGTCCGAGGTCGGGCAGCATTGGAGTTTTGTCAAGGGCGAGTGGATCATGGGAGATTGGAGGATTTGGTCCAGGGTGTATTCGTCTTGGAATTGCGAGTAGGGGTTGTTTTTGGAGTGGGCGTGGTTGATGCGGGCGATTTCGGCGAAGTCTTGTGGTTGGGAGCCGTATCTGCATTCAATCTATTAGTAGGGTGATGGTGATGCTGGTGAGGATAGATGTAACTGAACTTACTTCTCCATATGCTCCCTCCCCGCATTCCCAAACATCTGCGCCGCACCGGGGGCCTTGGTAACGCCCCTCGTCTCCTTCATGACCAACCCACTCGTGCCCGTCGGATTCGCGCGATCCTGGAAGAACGTCTGCAACGAACCCGGAAACATCTTCTCGAACCCCACGACGAGGACGCAATCGGCGGCCCCGTGCGCAATCATATTCCTCCCCATGAACAGCCCCGTCGACCCCGTCGAGCAGTTGTTGTTGACGTTGTAGATGGGGATGCCCGTCATGCCGAACTGGTAGAAGACGCGCTGGCCGCACGTGCTGTCGCCGTAGCAGTAGCAGGCGACGCCTTGGTCGACGTCGTCGTAGTTGATGTGGGCGTCTAGGAGCGCTTTGATGCCGGCTTCGAAGCCGAGTTCTGGGTAGTCGACTTTGCCGCGTGGTTTGATGAACTTGGTCATGCCGACGCCGAGGACGTAGACGGGTTGCGTTTGTTTTTGGGGCGCCATTTTTTTGTGGGTGGTGTATGGGTGGGTTGAGGTGAGGTGTGAGATATGGGAGGAGGTGAGGTCTGGCTGGGATAGAGAGGTTAGTTGGATGATGGAGTCGAGGGGAAAAGGATACGACTTACGGATCAGAAGCAGGCAAAGCAGAGGAAGAGTAAGACAGCCAGGTCCTTATACCCTCTCACTCCGCCCCAGGACCTTGGCCATGTTGATGTAGCCGTCGCCCCGGCGCATCCGTCGTCAGCAACTGAATGTGGAGAAGCCGAGGTCCCTTCCCCAAGGGGCATGGCCTAACGCGGGGCCCCAGTACTCCCCTGCCTGTCCTGATCGAATAAAAGCGTCGAAAAGCAGACGTCGAATAATAAGTAAAAGCCAGCACTCTCCTCTTCTGCGGCTACGGAAAACCAAGGCCGTCCTTCCCTGCACAACTGCCTCGTTCTTCTCTAGTCAGAAGCGGTACAACCTTGAAGACCCTACCTGAGTATTCCACTCCAGCCCAAGAGCCGATCCTCGCCTGATTGGCTGGAATGGTCTTACCTATTTCACACGGGGCATGCTGGTGCAAATTCCATTCCCCTGTCTACAATTCCGACCCCGTATTTGCATCACTATGCAAGCCTACCTAACATCAAGGATAGACAAGAACACCCGTGCCATTGTATGCTCCTCAGGCTTGTTTGTCTACAGCATTCACCTAGTCCCATTATGCTTACATTACGGAGCACTTCGAAACCACCACCCCCTCCCAATATCCAAACACCTACCCAAACCCCAAGCCCCGACAACGCCTCTGCTCAATGATAACGACCCTAGAGATAAACGCTTTCGGTCTCCATACCTCATCGACATGCTCGTGACCCTCGGCACCTACCCATCTCACCCCAAAAAGTATCGCTCTTCAGGAGAAGGTACGTCGTGTCTACACACGGACAGGCATAAGAATACAGCCTCGAATGCCCATACCCATGTCTCCTTCCTCTCGGAGCCCCCGAGATGGAATAGCATGGTCCCTCCATTGGTATCTTGATGCAACTCAACTCAAATCCGACAGCAACAACGCATACGACCAATTCATAAATCAGCCAAGGCTGAAGCACGCCAAGCGGACCATCCAACAATGCTCCTCGTCTACTCCTGTCCAAACCCGACAGTCTCCTCCACCGCGATCGTCAGTTTCTGATTCAGCGCTTCATACGTCTTATATGGTGGAAGATCGAGCCGGTTGAAGCTGTGCAAGAGAGTTAGGCATGTGTCCTTTCAAAGGGATAACATGGGAAGAGACATACCAAGTATGTGACTTCGGCAACTGATTGATCTCTCCCGCCTTCTCAATCGTAAACCTTCTCGGTCCGTCGCTACCTTGCAGATCTTTGAAACCATTGACCGGGATTCTGGAGGTACCCGTCGCAAACTGCAGTAATCTCGACTTCTGCTCTGCATCCCAGCTCCGAATGCACTGCAATTGGTCAGCCGGACTTGTCTATGGAAAAGCGTATCCCACAGTCATCTACCTTCCAGAAGTTTTGAATCACTTCATCGTTTTCCGTGTAGCCCCGGTAATCTGTGTGCTTCTTCCAGTCATCCACGTCAATGTCCGCAATACCGCCAATCAGGAGTTCAAGTTCGCGTTCATCGAAAACGTTGATTAGGTCCGGGGGAATCAGTTCGTTGAAGCCAGAGATAAACGCCTGGAACTGTTCCTCCACTCGTTTCTGGATGCGCCACTCGGTGATGAGACTGGACATGTCAGCAAGCGAACATCGACAAGTGGAAAACTCCTCTACTTACTTGACGTATTCCTGCTTATTCTCATTCGTCACCTCAATGTGCTCCCCTCCAGGCTTCAGCTCAATGGTGACAGTCTCGCCAAACCGCTCGTCTTCCGTCGAAAAGGTAAGCTCCAGCGCATCCGTGATGTCATTGTTCAGCATCCACTCTAGATTTCTGTGGAAGTCGGCATCCACACCCTCCATATCCTGCAGTGTGACCTTCTTTCTCAAAATCATCTTGTAGAACGCTCCAATGAAGAATGCATCCAAAAATCTGCGGTGGAAGATGGCTAACCCGACAACGCGCCCAATGAACTTGAAGTAGTTGAGATGCTCGGGATTAATGCCGGAATGCGGGTTGATTTGCAGGGTATAATTGTCGTGTGCCGAGTACTCGAATAAGCAGTAGAATGGGTTAAACATCTCGTGTGAGAGCAGGAAGAAAAATTCGCTGCATCTGCGTTAGCCCAAGATCCAAAACTTCTGTTCCATGGTACATACCGAGAAAGACCGCCATAATCAAGACCATCTTCGCCATCAAACTTGATCATCAACCGTTTTTTCAGATCAGCAGCGCTTTGCCGCATGATCTCATGATATGAATCTTCGAAGATGTGATTTCGTCTAACCTTAACATGACATTGCCCTGAAACGATGCGGAGTGCCGGCTGCGACCGGAAATAAATCAGCTTCCGGCGGAAATCACGCTTATACTGGGGTACATTCTGGTCGAGCGAGGACGGTAAGCGGGGGTCGTCCCAGGTGGTCGTCTTGGTGTTGTGGTCTACAAAGTATACTCTAGCCGTATTGGTAAGACGCATCTCCCATCCCGACGGCAGTGGTCCGAGTTGAGATACCGGTTGTTGCTGAATAGTGCTGCTGCTCGCGTTTTGTCCACCGTACATCCGGATGTACTGTTGGCGGCGAGGGTCAACCCAGGTAGTGGTGCGGGTATTGTGATCCACAAAGTATGGCCTGCCTTCAGGGGTATGTCGTTGCTCCCAACCAGCGGGCAGCTCTCCTGTGCCGGCAGTTGTCGCTCCGGTAGCCATCATAGATACCGCAGTGGAGGAGGCCGCGGGTGAGGGCTGACGTTCTGACAAGGTAGGCGAGTTGGCTCCCGTACGGTCCTCCGGCAACATACGATTTTGGTGCTGCGTGCGCTCGCGTTGGGTTTGAGCAGCCAACGCGGTCCGTTGCTCGCTCTCATTAAAGCTGGCTCCAGGCCGTATCCAAGTTGTTTGTCTGGTATTGTGGTCGACGTAATATGTCCTGCCTAGGTGGTCTTCCCTGCGCTCCCAGCCCGGAGGCAGACGCCCATGAGCATCCTCAAAGGCGCTGTACTGCGCGTTCGGGTTGGTGGTGGAGGTTGTCCCGTTTTGTGTCGGCGCCGTCGGCGCCATCGCGTTTGTCGGTAGAGCAGGTGTAGGCTGACTGAGGCGTTGGGGCGTGGGCTGAGCTGGCAGATGGGGTCGCTGTCCGGGATACACGTCGGAGGGATGAAGGTTCTGGGTGGGTTGTATCGGCGTGGACACAGCTGCCGTACTCGAACTCGAAGCACCGAGACCATTGATGGATGATTGCGCAGAATGTGTAGCGGGAACAGAGGGACGGCCGGAACCAACCCCATTTGGAGCACTCCCAGGCGGCGGAGGCGGGGTGCTTAGATTTGTAGATAGGTTCAGGATCAGTTTCCCATGTACCACCATGTTGTCGTTTGACTTTTTCAGGTCCCGTGTCAGCATTTCTGGAGGTAACGTTAGCGCCCATCCCGCATCTGCGGCGGAGGACATACCATCACCGCCAGCTTCCAGGTCGATAACACTGCCTATGCGGATATTGATGACACCTAGGAACCCCTGGTCCTTCTTTTTGAACTTCTTCTGGTCAAATATCTGTACGGCGAGCACGCTGTCCTCGGTCACTCTCCTAAGCCGATATCAGCAGTTGTACATCTCCCGGAAGTTGGTCGTGACGCACATATCGAAGCTCTCATTCCAATAGGGGTTAAGCGTCTTCTTACAGACATTAGTCGTCCGTGTCTGCTCGCCATTGATCGTGGCAACGGCGAAAGGGTCGGGAAATCCTGCAAGCCCTTGATAAGCAACCGACCGACGTTCCCAAGGGGAGATGGGAGAGCATACTGAAGACATCGCGCTTATAGAGCCCATCGGCGGCAATGACTGCAAAGTGGTGAGTATGAGATGAGGGAGTCCTAGATGGCGGCGCTGGGGCGGTACATACTCGTGACACGAAGGTTGGGCGGTCCCGCATCCATGCTGCGAGAAAGGATGGCAAGCGGAAGCTTGATAAAGAAGCGTTTTTCAGGCCCGGCTCTCTACGTAGAAAGGCGGAGGAAGCGGATAGGGGCGAGCTGCAGCTGTGTCTGCAAGCTCGTGGAGCTCGGCGAGGTCGAATGCGGTCGGGGGTGCGGGCGGGTGAGGCTGTGCTGGTGGTGGTGTGGTGGAGTGCAAGAGAGCGACCGTGCACAAGGCCCTGACGTTACAAAAGGTTCGGCGCGCGGACCTCGAAGGACAGGGGGCGTGAGAATTCACCGCCGCAAACAAGAGCAGGCGACGGGGAGCGTAGCGGTGCGAGAAAGGATTGTGGTGAGGTGTAGCAGAGACACCGAGAGTACTGTGGTAGGACACAGAAGGGGTTTGGGAACGCAGGTTTGGAGTCGGTTTCGTCTCTTGGCACGAGCCCCAACGCTTCCGCATTTCATGCCCCGCTCTGGACCGTGTACGGAGTACTGGCCTGTTAAGGACGGCGGCTACAGTAGCTGCTGATATAAATATCTTCTACATGTTCTACTGTGTAATAAATGGGACCACACAGTGGGGACGAAGACTGATGAAAGAATGATTCTCAATTCGCTCTCCTTCAGACACTTGGCGCCCCTGTTACCGCGCTCTCTCCTGAGTGAGGGATGATATCAAGCACTTTACGGCCCGCGCCACAGCACCTCCACTGCTAAGCCACTTGTTGAAAAGGAGCTGGGTTGGAATTTGTATGAGATTTGGAGACCTCGTTGTGCAAAAACCGCAGTTGACGGTATAGTTTAAACAAGAACAGTTATTCACAAATGCAGGCATATGCTTAATAAGATATGGTTCTCCAGTCAAATGGGTATTCCTTTCAAGTGTAGCTACTGACGCTCCGTCTACCAAGATGATTACTATATTTTACATCCCCATCTCAGATATGTACAATTCCCTCCTCCAAACAGCGCACGCTAGACTACAGCCTCCATTCCCAGCAACGCCCTCAATTTGAGATAACTCTCGTACGCGCTTAGCTTCAGCTCGACGCGCATGTGCCTGCTCCACGCTTTCAGAAAGTCGATCAAGTTGGGCGGCCAAAACAGACTCCCAGACAACTTCTCCAGCTGCTCCTCGTACACGGTGCGAGACGCATACCGGGCCAAGATAAGGAACGTCCTTGCTGGCCCTTGGCGCGTGTGCAGATTCTCGTCGAGCGATCGGGCTATGGAGAACGTCAGTACCGAATTCATATTCGTAACAGAACTAGACCACTCACTCAAATCGTTCGTCTTCAGAATCAGGAGAATCACACGTGGCACACGTCCAAGGAGCTGGATCAGCTGTTCGAGCATGCCCTCCCCCAACGCTTCCGATATCGTTTGCTTCTCCTCCACACTCCGGGGCAAGGCCACGTTCTGCTTGACAACGCTGTAGTCCCTCCCCGTGATGGCGCTGGCAAACAGAGCAAAGTGCTCGTCAGTGATCCCTGCCACCTCATTTGCATACTTGCGCATCCGGGGTTCGTCCGCGTCCAGGACTGCGAGCCAGAGCTTCGCATACGACCTCCTGATATCGACGGGTATATCGCGGTATAAGCCGTGATCGTACATGATGACGTCGAAGTTGCCATTTCCTCGCCGAGACGGGTTGTGCCGAATGGCGATATTACCGCCGTGTGGATCGCAGTGAAGAGGCGCGTTGGTCCCGAAAATCATCTCGTTGAAGATACGCGCCAATGCAGCGGACACCTCATCTCGATCAATGCCACGGGAATCTAGGTATTCCAGATCATCCGGGCGATGACCACTCACATACTCCATGACCAGTATACGTCTCCTTGCCCATATCACCTCCGGGATGATGACCGGCGCATCTGGCACTTCCATGAAATAATTCCGAGCTCGAATCGCGTTCTGTCCTTCACGATGGAAATCCAGCTCCTGCGGCAAGGACATCTCCATCTCTTCCGAAAGCCATGTGAGATCGTACTCGGGGAACCATCTCTTCAGCGTCTCGAACGTGAACCGAGTCAGGGCCAGGTCCAGCTTAGCCCACTCGTCCAGCGCCGGGTGCTGCACCTTGACTGCGACCTTCTGTCCCGTCCCCTTCAGTACGGCGCGGTGCACTTGCGCCAGCGACGCAGCACCAATTGGTAGTTTCTCAAACTCTGAAAAGATGTCCGACAGCGGAATCCCCGTATCCTTCAACACCATCGCTTCAATTGACTCGAACGAGGACACCGGGCATTTATCTTGCAAGGGGATAAAGGTATCGCACCATTCTGTCGGAAGCAGATAGTTCATGCTGCTCAGATGTTGTCCCAGCTTTATGAATATCGACCCGTTCTTCTCGAGGGTACGGAGCGTCCGTTTCGCGCATCGTAAATGGCAGGCTCTAAGGAGTTCTGGGTAGTCCTCTTCCTGGTCGCGCTTTAACGTAGACCGGTAGCTGCACTTGAAATTAACAATGTGTTGGGTACCATTGGAGGTCGTGCGCGCCTACTCATTGATGCATATGAACAACGTCGAGAGCACGCGACCGCTTCTCTGCACCGCAGTGAAAGCATGCCTTGCCTCGTCATTGAAAATGACTGCTGCCGCCGCAATTCCCCCTGCTCCTGCTGCAATTACAATCCTCCTCCTGTGCTTGCTCCTCGGAACAGCCGTAGACTTGGTGGCGCCTTCCGGTATCGTGTTGGTCGCAAACCCGCTTCGGTGCTGCGGAATCGCCTGTCTCCTCAGGCATGCTCGACACGTCCAGGGCCCTGTCCGCCGGGCAAAAAGGGAGGGAAACGAGCTGAAAGAAGACATTATACACGCATCCTTACAAGTATAATAAAAGGGGAGTCTAATATGCTACAATTATGGGGTGGAGTGAGCTGCCGTCCACAATTCCACACTAAAGTTTTTCTGCGGAGGTCGAGGCGAATAGGACCCCTGTCGCTTGGCAGTGAATGTTCGCGATCTCGCTTGGAGATCTCTTCGATCCCGGCTTGGATACATGTACACAGTACACAGAAAGTAATGGTCAGATGCATACATAGTAGACGAGCCACCGCATGAGAAGAGGGCTGTGGTATCCTCCAATATCATCTGCAGAAACGGGTAGAACTCGTAGGCGGACAGATCATACGCGAACATTTGAATATGATCTCATAGAAACTATTATACAGGGGAGAATATAGTACATATCATGGCCTCCTCAGGTCTATGAGTCGTCTATCCGTGATGCTGTCAACGACCAGTGCGTGCTGAGGCGATATATTCATCGAAAGTATGTGAGCACCTGTGCTTGGGGTCTTCCACCTCTGCTGCATCTTGCTAGGGAGAGAGACGAAGGGTGGGTCCCCAATGGCAGGAACATTCTCCATGCGGCTCATGGGAGCTAGAATCGAAGTCGCCATCGTACGGACTTGACGATCTTCGAGAGGTCCTTGGTGAGAGTCCTCATCTAGTTCGACCTCCTAGTGCTCCATGCGAGTGTTATGAAGAGTATCGTGTGACGCTATGCGTGCTCCACATTACCGCATTTCCACTGCGGCAATGATCCGTCGATTACTCGTCGAGGCGCTTCCTGGCTTCGAACTCGTGGCTCGGTAGCAGAGGAGGAGATAGCGAAAGTATGTCAATACGCTTCATCCGCAGCCAGTGCAGTGCACTGTCGACAACCAATGACCCTGCAGGGAATGATAGACGTTCTGTTCTTCATGGAAGCCAACAGAAATGTCGCTATGGCGTTCCCTTGATACCAGTCAGGCCCAACCTCTCTTCAATAACTTCAACAACGTCTCTCCAATCCCTCATTGCCCCACCCCCTACATCCCCGCATGCCAACTCTTTCTCCATAGGCGGCAGCACCTCGAACCAACCCCCGTTTTTGACTCCCCACTCCTCTTCCAGCACGGTGACGTGCTTTTTCGTAATCGGCTGCATCCACATAGCCGTATTCATCGAGGGCGCAACAATGATCCGTTTCTTCGCTTTCCACCCATTTTCTTCGTCCTTGCCATGTATACTCCCGCTCTCCGTCCGTCCCGCCTTCTGCAAACTCTCACGAACCACGTCCCTCACCGAATCCAGCTCCCCCGTCGTATCCCATGCCCGCACCACACTGAGCAACAAGTTGCCGCTCATGCCCCCCACAATCTTTGCTAACGCATCTGCGCTTAAGGGCGCAATAACCATAATATCTGCCCATCTCCTCAACTCAATATGCAAAATCTTGTTACCTCTTACCCAGGGCTCCCGCCATTCATCCTCGTCGAAGTATATGCCGTCAACGTTCGGGGCGGTCGCGAGCGTGTCCAACGAAGGTTGCTCTGAACTCTGCGCCTGCAAGAACTGTGCGGCGGAATGCGTGAAGACCAGGCGGATGGAGAGGTTAGCGTGCCGGGAGAGTGCGGAGATTATGTTGGGGATCTTTATGGTAGCGACCGAGCCGGTAGCACAGAGAAGAAGGTGTAGCTTCTCATCGTTCAAGGGGAGGACGAGCGGGGAGGGAACGCGCGACGGGTGTTCGGAGGGAGGAAACGGGGGACTGGATAGATGTTGATGAGAGACAGGGGCGATGTTGAGGGGGTGAAGATCCGATATTGGAGGATTGCTCATTCCGCGGATTAGCGTACGGGCGTGTTTTGGTGAGGAAGGCAATGTGGTGCTGGTATTCGGGACTGTTAACAAATGGATGCAGGATGACGTTGGGACATGCATAGATTAGTAAGATGACGCAGGGATGCCAAGAGCCCAAACTGAGGAGAACCGAAAACCACCATATTTCTATCTTCGACTTCCCCTTTGGGTAACATTAGGTACAGTTCACGAGACATTAGATTCGGCTTCCCCATAATGATGCCGCATACTGCTATAGTCACGATCCGTCATCTCCAGACATTGTCAATCGACCCCGGATCCATTTTTCATCCCTTCTTAGCCCAACTCAAGTCGTCCTCCTCTCATCTTCCCCAAGTCCATTATCCTCCATCGAACTGAGTCTTGTCAAATGTCCGGTCCTCTATCCCAGTTGCCTCACTCTAAGCTTTGTAGTTCTCCCGTCACTGCTCCGCCTGGTGCACTCTATCCCCCTGTCCAGCCGTGGCGGCTCCAGGATGCATCTGAACGTGGAGCAGACCGCCGAGTCCCTGCATCTCTACAATCATCCTGCACGTATTGTAGAGAGCTGGATCTTGCCGTCGGAGTCTCAAGGCCGCATGCCACTGCAGCAAGCCACGAATAGTGTCTTCCCCGACGTGTATCTCAGGGGCATTCTCAGCAGTCCAGTCGTGAAGTTCTGCGACCTCAACACGGAATTGCTTCAGTACGTTCACGTATGACATCTTCCTGAATCTGGGACTGTTTGGAGCCAGTGCCACTACCGGCAAGCGATCATGGATCTCTACATTTGGACCCTCCACCGGGAGGTATTGTGACCGGATTATATACGTACGGTCGTCCTGGCGCTGCAGAGGGAAATTGATAGGTTCATCATGGAACGTCGTCAGGGCGAAACCGCGGACAGCAGGTTTCGGGCCGCCGGTGGCTTTTCCTCCTAGGGATACGCCAATCTCCGTTATCAGAAACGGCTTTCCGAGGGGTCGTTCGAAGTACGAGTGGTTCTGAGCCTCATTAAGAGCTGGATTTTGGGTCCTCAATGGAAGCCGGTAAACATGACCGACTTTAGGGGTACCGCGCAGTGGTGGGTATCGAGTAAGGTCCTTTGATGATGGCTCCGTTTGAATACAAACCGGGTGCGACGCGATATATTCTATCAACGCTTAGATCTTGCGCAGGCTGTCGTTGGACAGGTACATCCTAGGGTTAGGCAAGCCCTTCGACCTCTGATGAGGTGTAGTGAGGGGATAAGCTTGCAGGAACTTGCCCTCCACTTCCCAAGTCTGCCCTACGCAGATCCAATGTTTGTTGCCGGTACGCATAGAATGGGGACCCAAGAATACTGTCTCGAATGCGATAACATCTGGGTCGGCTCTTGTCACCTCAAGATCGTTCAGGCACCATGCTTCGTTTATAAGGACGTACTGATGCCATACCGATGCAAGTCGGGGAGCGACAGATCTAGCACGCTGCGCAGTTGCACCTTGTAGCTGGACGATTGGTAGGAATTCGACGATCTGAGTGGTAGGATCCGCACGAAGGATAAGGACTGGATGGTCAAAGTAGTTGAAATCCTGTTGCAGTGTGGCGTCAGTTGCCGTAAGATCATGCCACATGGTTCTGGGCACTTACCATGCCTATCTGTCTAAAGATGATCGAATCCATGCGAACCAAACTAGCCGAAGGCAGATATAATATGGTGCCGGGCATTGTGTGCCACAACTGCACCATCGGATCTGCCATCGTTACGTCTACGGGGAGTGTCGATGGTGATTGTTGATTGTGACGCGCCTGTTTATCCCAGAGACATTCTATAAGGTGCCAAACTCTTGGAGCTGTATAGGGCAGTATATAACCGGCGTCGAGGGGACCCAGAAGAGCGAGAGTGCAGACTCCAGAAAAGCCCAAAGCCGAGAAACACACTGAAGAGCTTGACGAAGGGGGAGTCAGAAGATGGTAGTGTGATAACTAAGAACAGAGTTAGCTGACCTGTCTCCTTCAACATCTAGTATAGGGAACTTACGCCACGCTTGCTGTTTATACGGAGTTCGAGATTGAGGTGGGGTGCTGGATCTGGTATACAAACTCGGGCCGTGGAGGGAGGCAGAACTGACGCAGTAAAGTGGCGCAGAAGAAGAGCTGCTAGAGGTAGCGGAGGCAATGGAAAGGATGCAGTTGAGGAGTAAGCCGGAACTTGCTGTAGTGACGGATGCCGTAGTGATCGTTATCGCGAGTCACGATCTTGATGCGGGCTGAGATAGAAGATGGAGACAAGAAACCAACAACATTACTGTCTCAAAAGGACCGTGCTCCTTTGCGCCACAGGAGAGCAGATCTTTTTCTAGGCAAGAGTGGGGTATGGAGAGTGTTGTTGGGGTTGTTGAATTGAAGTAAGGATCAGAGGGCTTTCACCGGCAGGGGAAGTTGCCGTATCGGGGATGTGCCCTCATCCCTTCCAGCTTACTGTCATTTCAGCAACGCCTGGAGAGTCCGTTAATTGAAGCGGATTTTTTGAGGGCCTGTATTTATCCACGTACTCAACTAGAAAGGGCAACCTCGTCAACCCTTAGAAGGCTTGTTCAAGTGCGGGCTGTTCTGTCCCAGCGGGATTGCTAGAGAGAAATCGTGTTCTGTCTCTTCTGATAGTCTGTACACACAAATCTAATTCGGCACATGGAGCAATTGTTGAAGTGACGTCGAGAACGCGGTGCTTTGCGTATGGATTGTGTGACATGTATGTCCTGAAAAACGAGCGATTGTAGACGTTTGATGCCGTCATATGGTAGGTATTAAGGCGGCTTTCGCAGTGAAGAGGATTTCTGACCGGGCGAGACATCGTCCTACTGCATCAGATGTCCGACTTGTATCTTCTAGGTTAACCCTATCAGTGCTTTAAGGCTCAGATTGCTGATGCGGTTTCTTTCGAGGTGTAACTGGTCCGGATTTTGCTTCACGCCAGATGTTAAACCAGTTTAAGCCACACTGTCGGTGTCATGGAGTCGCAACACGTCCAGTCGTTGGGCAGAAGACGTCGCAGAACCTGTGGTGTGGCAGCAAGGCGGACAATTTCTAGGGTTGTTCGAGGTCTTCAAGGCTTTCCTCGCAATCCTCCGTTAACTTATCGATGACATTAATATGCGCTAGAAGATCCATTATGCGGAGCTGAAAACCTGCTGATAATATCTCTGAATTTCCATTGTGGTAATCAATCCTTTCGTTTGGATAGATATACGGAAAAGAAGTGTGCTTGGGTGCCAAACCTTGGAGATAACCTTTATTGATGTATTACTCTGGGTAAAAGTTCCCCAAAGAGAAGGCCATCATTAATCCCTGTGTCCCTTCCGAAAGACCCAAAGAAATCGTATTCTCCGCTCACAACTACGCAGCTATTCCTGACCAACGCATGTGTCTTGCTCGTCGGCTGCATTACAGCAGTGCGTGAACCCGTCTTCACAAGTCTGAACTTGGAAAGGTACATTGAGAAGGCCAGCTAGGCCTTGTTGAGACAGGGAGACGACTCTCATTTTGGTGCCCCAGGGTGATTATTGATTATATACTCCCATAGAGAGGTTGAGTCCAGCTTCCTGAACCTGTTTCATACTCTGAATTGATATTATGCTTCGTCTCCAAATGATTGCGCTTTCACAAAGCTCAAAGGCCTAGCTTTTAGAGTAATCCGTCCGCATCGCCACTTCTGTTCTAGCCATGTTCGGACACTTCCTTTGAATCTTCTGCCTGTGTAGCATCCACGAATCGTGTAACACAGTCGCTTCTTTCGTTTTCCTTCATCTAGTTTCGCCCAATATTCGGCCCCGAGTTGGCGATATCTGCGTGGGCGAGGGTAATTTGAGCAGCTTCACCCTGGACCTGCACATTCAGGAGCCCAGCTAGGCCTTGTTGCTCGAGAACGTGCCTTCGTTCATGGTAGAAACTTGTTCCTGGTCCCATTCTCAGCGCCTGGTGCCATTCAAGGAGGGCGTGAACCGTCTCCTCTTCGAAGTGCACTTCTGGAGCCCCCACGGCCGTCAAGCCTTTCAGCTCATTGACCTCAACGCGGAGTAGCTTCAGTACGTGGATGTACTGTGCCTTCCGGAAGCGCGGACTATCGCGGGCAAGAGTAACAGCCGGCAGTCGGTCATGTAGCTCTGAGTGAGGTCCTTCAATTGGAAGATATTGGGTTCTAATCCTTTCAGAGTTGACACCTCCACGTGGAATCGTGCGATCAATAGAGCCGAATGAGAAGTCCGTGATTAGGAATCCTCGAACAGCTGTCTTCGGTCCGTCATTGGCTACGCCGCCCAAAAGGACGTCGACATGGGTGACGAGAATTGGCCGGCCCAGGGGTTTCTCTGCCGGTGAATATGTCTGAGCTTGAAGCAGATATACGTTCTTTGTCTCTCCTGCTTCGGACAAGCGATAAACATGACCAACTAGTGGAGGTTCCTGGAGCGGTAGTCGAGATACCGGTTCGGTGTACGGCAGATGTGAATGATAGTAGCCAGCTACACTCTGCATTCGGGCCAAACTTTGTGATGACAGATAATACCTTGGGTTTGGAAGCGACTGCGGCCGCTGATTCGCGGGCTCAAAAGGATAGCCATGCAAATATGTAGCTTCAATCTTGAACATAACTTCCGGCATCACCCAGTGTTTCTCTCGAGTACGGAATGAGTGTCTGCCAAGGTAGACCTTTTGAAACGCCTTGACATCAGGATCGGACTCCATAGCCGCAAAGTCGTCATTATTCCAGGCTTGGTGTATAAGTATATACTCATGCCAAATATGGTTCCCAGCGGCGGCGCGAGCTGCATCCAGAGCGGAACCGCGGAGTGTAACCACGGGAACCACATCTACAATCTCGGTGGCGCTGTCGGCATGCAGGATCAAGACCGGGTGACCGAAAAATCGGAATCCCTGCGTTGAATTATTAAGTGAACTGTGAGCTGACTATGCACTTGCACTAACCTCATCCACTTGGTGGTATATTACCGAGTCCATACCAATGGTGCCCGCAGGTGGCAGGTAGAGGATCGTCCCTGGCAACATCTGCCAGAGCGCAAGTAGAGTGGGATTGACCATTGTAGAGGCTTGTATTGCTAGCAAACTAACACAAGCTCCCGATGGGCAATCGTCTTGCTTGTTTATATTCTGCGATAAAGGCTTCGTATATACCCTAAGCGACACGCCAGTTCAGTGCGGCCAGATTCCAAACTCCGGACCGGGGAAAGAGGGCAAATGAGGTAGAATGACTGCTTCAAAACTGAGACTTATTAGTAACTTCTCCTAGAGCTGATAGCAGACACTAACGTTGGCGCGGCTACGTGCCTACTTTGTTGTGAGAGGCGGTTGAGCCACAGGGTCACTCCCCGTTTGCACCGTAACAATCGCCGGAGGAAAAAGGACGCGTATGGAGAAATAGGGTGTGAGGGAAGGACTCGGAAAGTAGCTTGGGATGTAGAGAGGACGGCCTCACGTAGAAACGCGCAGTAACGCGGCGGGGTCTCCACCAAGTTGAGGTTGAAGGAAGGAGAGATAACGGCAACCCAGAGAAATGATTATAATTTTCACAATAGGATACCGTAGTTTTGTGCGTCTCAGGCGAAAATTTTTGCTTCACTCGAGAGCGGGGTTAGTTGTGGTGGCGGAGTGAGTCGAAGGGGGTGTCACCAGGCTTTCACCGACGCTGAGATTTGCCATGTAGGAGATAGACGGCGGCGCACCAACAATTGACTTGGGGTGATGAAGTCTGAGAACTCCGGACGTGTGAGCAGAAATGATCAGTTCTGTAAAATTATCTTCGTATACGTGGGGGTTGAGGAGAATCGTATGCTTTCTTCCTTCCCAAGGGTTTATATCGATATATAAGCTTATAGCGGTGGTCATCTGCATCATGGCATGTAGACTCTTCTGGAAAAACGGTTCGTAAGATACTCCCATGGCTACTTTTCAATGTCACAAGGCTAGAGGAAGTCGATCGGCTGCCGGTGCTGAACTCACGAGAACGCAAGTCGAAGGTTATCTCAATGATATTCTTAACGCTCAGCTTATTGCTCGTGATCATATCAGTTTGTCTACCTCACAAGATCGAGTACATATGGCCAGAAGCGGTCATGGGATAATATCATCCATTCTGCAACAACAGATACAGATCGGGATTGAGACGCTAAACTGTGCCCATCTTCAAGCGAACTTGGAGTGTTCACTGATATGGAAGAACAAAACCAGCGCAAAAAGTCGAAATAGCGGACACATGCACCCTTCTTCGCTTACTTTAACGTCCCTTCAAGGTCTTTCTGGTATCAGTTATCAACGCGCTCACTACACTTCGGAGCTCATTGTTGACACGCACATTTCAGCGAAAAACAAGCACAGTGGAATGGCGGGATAGTGAGTAGAACAAGTATTATCTCAAGTTTATGTATCATATCACACTATTCCGGCATGTCAACTTGACCCATTTCAATCTCCCGCCTTCAAAGCTTGACACTTCTATCTGCGAAGTCTTTACACAGAGACCGGAAACAGGTGTAATCAGTGAGCCTTTCTCAAGTTATGCAAACATAGATATCGCGCTCTTACATCAAATAAAGCCTCATTAATCATGTCCCACGGAGGAAAATCTATTGATATGGACTTAATGTGAACTGGAAGTGCACGAAGGCATTATTGTCCACCTAACTTCGACGCTGACCTGCAACGTCTAATATGCGGGTCATTTCCTAGCACTTAAAGACTACGGTCCCCACTTTTTGATTTGGCTTTATTTGTTATTTGTAATGCATCATTGGCATTTCCACTCTTCTTTCCTCATCTCTATGGACCATATGGATGCATATAATACATCTGTGCATTGATTTCTCCTCCATTCAAATCAAGCGAAGAATCTGACGTCGAACTGCCCTTCATCTTTGCTTCTACTACAAAGTGTAAGATTACATTTATCTACAACTCTTGCTACATGGAGGATTGCACAAGGAATCGAACTGCCCCTCTTGAGCGTGCCATCTACACTGATACACGGCTAGAAGTACTTCTATGCTCAAATAGCTTTGACAATAACTCCATGAGGCACTTGTGCAGTCTCTACGTAGAGATAGCACTTAGGGTTCTTCGCTGGGCCTGAGGAGCAACACAAGACTAAAACATGAGCGGGCAGCATCAGCAAATATTTTCTTAACACCTGCACCATTACATGAACTTTTCGCCCGGTGCATGTCACAAAACAAGCTGGGAAGCCAGATGTGGTCGTGTTCAAGAGAGTTAAACGCTAAAGAAAACACGAAGTAGAGGGATGCAAGAAATCAATCATCATGCTTTGATTGACAGAGGCAAATGCTTTCCACAAGCCAATACGCAATCATTAATTACATCGCCATTCCCGTCTGTGAAAAGTAAGACCTGAAATTCCGGTATTCCGTTGTAGAACCTTGCCTTGCCTCCCAGTACCTGTTGAAGAATCCATCAAACTCCGATCCATGCCACTCATCCATACTGTTACAGTGCCCCGCCTTCTTTGTTAGACTCCATCAGTTCCCCTCATGTTGTTGTTCTGGTCTATCAGCATCTTATCACAAATCGAAGCCGGAAGTCAACGGTGGACTCTCCGAGTCGTCCGACCCACCTTCGGTTGTGCCCTGGAAACTTCCATCTGCCGGAGGACCAACGAGCAGAGGCTGTCCTACCATACCAGAAGCCTGTACGATCCATCGGCGCTCGTCGTAATCTTCCCGGGCTCTTCCGCTCTTGAGAGCTTGGTGCCAGGCGACCAAGCCACGCACCGTCTCTGGAGCCACTCGGACCTCCTCCGCTCCATCCGCCACCCAGCTGAGGATTTCGCCCTCTTCCACGCGGTACTGCTTGAGGACATGCACGTACCAGGTATGGGCAAAGCGTGGGGAACCAGGAGCCAACGGAATCGCAGGCAGATCGTCATGTCGTTCGACACCGGGCCCTTCGATGGGTAGATATTGATACCGGATCCACCTAGTCCGCGCGTCATCAATACCTAGATGCATGCGAATGGGCTGGGTGTGGAAGTTGGTTATCATAAACCCCTTTACCGCACGGACACTGCCATCTGTCGCCTTGCCGCCGATACGGACGTTAACTGCTGTGACCAAGAAAGGTTTACCAAGTGGTCGTTCATAAAAGCTGTAGCTTTGCGCTTGATTGAGGTATATGTTGTTGGTTGCCAAGGGGAGGCGGTAGATGTTACCAACTTGGGGGCGGATCCGAGGAAAAGTGAAGGACTGAGGGCTGATGGGTTCAATACACGGCCGGTGGCTCTCGTAGTAGAGTATGTATGACCGGATGGCATCCAGGGACTCCCGTCGCAGAAAACAGCGAGGGTTCGGCAATGACCAAGCCTGCTGCGATGGACTGGGCAAGGGGTAGACAGTGAGATACCGCTTCTCGACCCGCCAGACCTTGTCAAGAACTACCCAGTGCTTGACCTTCGTACGAAACGAAAGACGATCCAGATGGGCAATTGGGAACGCGGCGTAATCATTGTCGCCTTGCACGGCTTCCCGATCTTCTTCGTCCCAGCATTCATCAATCAGGATGAAGCAGGGCCAGATGAGCTTTGGAGCGATCTGGCGCTGCATCTGGAGGGTGTCTCCGCGCAGAGAAACAATGGGCAAGAAGTGAAGTACGCCTGCGGCCTCATCCGTCCTAAAAACCAGCACCGGATGACCAAAGTACGGGAAAACCTGGTATATTGTCAGATACACTGCCACCGCTGCGAACGACTGAAGGTGACTACTGACAAACTCTGGATCATTTCGTATAATAGAATCGGCAGGTATGCGAGCGTCCGGGGGCAGGTACAATATCGTACCTGGTTCCGTGAAGCCTTCGGGCAGCCCATTCGAGGAAGCGGTGGGTCTCTCGGGGAAGTTGAAGGGCCCCCATAGTTGCTCCATTCTACTAATGCGGCGCACCTGTAAGCCAAATAGGTTAGCATAGGTTAAAGTTTTAGTCAGTACGTGCTACGAGATATTCTCATCCACCCTCCAAGCGCTTTACGATCGCAAGCCTTTTCAGCGCCGCGAGAGAGCATGCGAGGCATGCCAGCGCACAGAAAAATGGGGATGGGAAGAGGAAAAGTGCTTACTAGTATGATCTGATTATGGTCGGAATCGCGTACCTGGAGTCAATCTCGAGAAGTTGCTGGTGTACAGGCTGGTGGAAAGGACTGACAAGTTCAGGCAGGAGCGCGGGCCAAACAAGATCCAATGTTGGGTAGAAGTTGTGTGAGAAAGGTGAGGTATGAAGAGAATATCACAGCAAAGAAGTTGCGGGCGATGTCGGGGGTGGAGCTGCAGGCAGGTTGTGACTGCGGTTGGGGAGAAAACAAAAGAGCAGGTTCGGCGTAGAAGGCAGAAATATATAACAAGCTCGTGGGCGGCCGCAGCTTGTTTACGTCACGCGAGCCGACCAGATGAGAAAAATTTTGTCTCGTGGAAGGTGCGGTGTTGTCGGTGAAAGGGGAGGCGAGGAAAAACCGCTTTCACCGTGACCTGCTCCCAGCAACAGGTTTCGGTGCGGACTGCAAAATGAGCACCGTGATGCAGCAATAGGCGCAATGGCAAATACGGGGAGATAGACATGGCGATGTGTATGTGTGATGGAAGGCCGAGTGTTTGTGTATATTGTGTCGATGTTTTGGTGGTCATATATATGGGCGCTATGCAAATGCTCCCGTAGCATACTAGGTGCCCAGCAAGGAAAGAGATAGGAGTCCGTAATGATACAGAAGATAATCGTGTCCTTCAACCAGGACGCACTTAAATACTACTGCAAAACCCAAGTGACAGGATCAAGTGACGCTCTCGTACGGGCATGGGAAGATAGCACCTGAGGAGATACTCATGCCGGTCGCGCATACATAGGAAGTTCGCAACTACATGGTATCACGAGTCACAAAACTGGATTCGCTCATGATTCTCCAGCTGCACATGGACATAGTATTATCACATTGAGTGTCGGTCATTAGGAAGGTTCAAAAGGAGAACGGGAGCTACTTTAATATACAACCTAAAATTCTGCAGTCCAAATACCGACCAAGGACTCAAGGAGTATTGAGTGCTTGCTCACGTTTGAAGGTCCTGAATTCGACATGTCAATAAGGCCGTTCCTCATAATTTCCAGCAGGATACAATGGGAGGCTTCCGTTCCGCAGCAGCCAAAACGGCGCCAAACCCACATGCACAACAATATTGAGCAGGCAAGCTACTCTTTATCTCTACGCTATGTGCTTGGAATGGGGAAAATGATTCACTCTTGCTTTCCCTCTCCGGCTTCCGAGAGCTCTCCACTTCGCAGACATTTATCTCGACCAACAGCACGATCGCAGCATCGTCAATCTTCTCAACGGAGCCAACAAGAGCTTAGGAGAATTGCCACCTTCTCTATTCTTATTCTTGCACCTGGCATACTCTTAATGCCATGCTTTGAGAGCGCCGTGTCGCTGAGCAAGCTATCTACCGATTTGCGCGAGGATTGGGGCCAAGAAGATTAAGTTATTCTTGCCTTATGGAAAGAACATAGGACATGATGATGAAAGACAGATGATATCCAAGAGTTTGATATCCAAGATAGAGGAGGAGGTGGACGTGGAGCAGAAGCCAGAGTCACGCTTCGCTCCCCTTTGGTCGGAGCTGCCCTTATCCCTTAAGTCCCGTGCGCTTCAACTATCACTTTTCATGTCATTGAAGTATTATAATCCAAAAGCCGATATCTGAATTTCATTGCTACATAATACTCTATCTAAGTTGACACGACTTCAGAGATAGCAAATTGTAATTGTAAGAGAAAACCGGGAGGTCTAGTACTCCCCGCTGCAGAGCACAGCGAATTCATCCGCAGTTCCACTTGTAGATAGCAGAGGCATGTCCAGACCAAGCTTGCTCTTGTCCGCGGAGTGCCGAGTTAGCCACCTATTATGTAAGTTGTTGAACATTTGCTAGCACATTGCTGATCCAAAGGCTCGGCGGCCTCTGTTCTTGGGCATTGTGGATGTTAAGGACGGGGAAGGACTTTTTCTTTGTTTCGGTGGCACCATATACGGCGGAACATTGTGCGCTGTTGAATTGTGTACAATATCTTTAAGGTCAGATCGTAGAGCCTGTCTTCGAGCGTCTTGTATCAGGATGGCGCGTCATGGAGCCGAAGCCCCAAACCACTCGCCTTGGGGTGTATAGGATTGTGATCTGCGGTATCGGCCGTGCGGTCTCGTTGGCGTCAACTTGGAGGAGGTGCGCTGAGGGCAATTGCCTGTTCCACAAACCAGTTACAGAGGTCGAGTCTTCTTACCTTGTTGTAAACGCAAAGCCGCGCAGAGAGGTGTCTTGCTCCTCTCGTCGGAAGCTTCGGAGTAGTTTAGTTTCGAGTGGCTGCTCCGGCGCTCCTCACCGTCTCGGCTGGAATCAGAGCTTGTGGTGACTCGGACTAGAATGCCGTTGGTTTGTTTGAGAGCGGCGACGGCGGTGGAAGTGATTCTGTAAAGCAGTCAGTTTGTGCCTTCCCCATGTCAAAAAGTCCATGCCGCTCATCAGTAGCTTTGCTCGCTGTGTGCTATGAGCTAACCTCCCTCAGCGCTATCCTTTGTTTCTTTGTTCTTCTTCTTGCTGCACGAGAGGCGCCAGGCCGGGTTCCGCGTCCATGTCGCCTTGTCTTTGCACAATGCCCAAACAAAGACGGCCTCCTAGAACCTTTTAGCGAGCAGCCTGACGCGTTCGAAAGCTGCCGCCCAGATCAGTCATTCGGAAGTAATGGAGACAGCGCCGAACTTGTGCGGCGGATAGAAGGGAGGGACGCCGGGCGGAAGACCGGCTTTGAAGGGGAGGACTCGAGCCTCGACGGCCTGAAGCTTCGCTCCAACAAGGGGGAGGAGGATACTTAGACGTTTCCGGGGCGGGCGGGCTTCGTTTCGATGCCACAGTGAGTAGAGGGAGCTGGATGGTCCGGTGCAGACGTGGGTGGCCATATTCGTAGCGGGGTGTTCGGTTGTGTGAAAGAGCGCCTAGCCGTTCAGGAGACTGTAGTGGTAACGTGATGTCTCTCACCGTACACACCTGCAAGTCTAGGGGCGTCGGCCCCCTCTCCTACACTCGGCAACTCCTCTGCCTGCTGCAGTCTTTGTTGGCAGCCGTTCCAAAGCTCGTAGGAAACGGGCCCGGCACTGCAGCGCCCAGAATCGGCATTGGGGTTGCGTTCACACTGTTGCTCCGGACAGCGGGGTCCGTGATCGCCACCCTAGGCGCTGGTGTTGATATTCTGGCTGCTCGCGTACTTCTCTCCCTCACTCCACTCACCCACACAACACCACCGTCCCCTCACCATACAAAATTTTCGCTCCTTTCAATCTCGGCGTTCTTACCATCATTGCAAGCGTCTCCTTCTCCTTCTCCTTCTTCTTCTCTTGTTGAGCTCCGAATCCAGACACGCGTTGACTGGCTTCCTCCTCTGCCATAGCTGCCGAGGGCGATCGGGCTGCAGTCTGTGCCCCATTGCCTCTGCAGCCAGCGACAGAGCCTGCGCAACATCTTCTTTTCTGCGCTACTACCTCTGCCATAGCTGCCGAGGGCGATCGGGCTGCAGTCTGTGCCCCATTGCCTCTGCAGCCAGCGACAGAGCCTGCGCAACATCTTCTTTTCTGCGCTACTACCTCTGCTCAACATCTCCTCTGCTGCTTTTCTTGCTTGAGGTGCGAAATCAGCCGCGTTGTATGACGTCTCGCCTTGGGAGCGCGTGAGGCCGGATGAGCTGCAGTCTGCGCCTGCTCGCGACAACAACCAGCGCAAGGGTCTCCACAGGGCAGAGTCACGAAAGGTAAGACAAATACAGACTCAATAGCCAGTGCTTGAGCGCACGGAGACTGACCAGGTGATAGAAAGTGCCACAAGCCCCGGTGAGTGGGCACGGCGTCGAAGAGACTTCATCTTCGGACCGCCCACAGCGCCTTGAGCAGGGAAGAGGCAGACATCCCGAGAGACCAGAAATACCACAGCCAACGCCTGGCAGCAGCTTTGATGCCTCAAGTACCATATACCGCTTTTATGGGGTCCTCCTTTTTTAGGTGTGGCTTGGCATCGCTGAGTCGACCAACATTGTGAACTTGGGTTTGGGAGGCGGCCCTCTTAACAGGCCTTAGTGTCGGGTCTTCGCATAGTCGCTCGTTGCCCTTGACGAACAATCCAGGTATGTGACACCGTTAGTCAAGGTTTTCGACTATATCTAACGCGGTCCCGTGCACCTCAGACAACCTAAACCGCGTCCTATGGGGTATCGCCTCCAGTCAAGCCTGACTTGGGGCTCAGCTTGGTTGCAGTCTTGGGTGCTGGGCTTCCAAGTTGTCGGCAGATCGTATTCTCTGCTCGCCTCGGACGCCACTCTCGCTGCTGTATTGGTCGTCAGACGGAGAGGACTACTTCGATCTTCCACCGCGACAGCTATGTTGAGCGCGCTCCTGTAAGTGTCCCATCCAACTCTCTGCAATCCAAGTGACTAACACATTGTAAGAATAGATTCATCCATGCGCGGACCTCCGTTGGGTGGTTTGATCCGTGGTGCCATTGTGCTCTTATCTGTCTGATACGGACACATATAACAACCTCTTCGACTCCGTTACCGAAGACTGTACTCAGGCTCGCCTGCAAGATAGTCGAAGACGGCACTTTCGTGGTCGTTTCCATTTCATTCGACAACCGGATCGCTACATTACCGAAGGAGTTCCCTCCACAAGGCTATCTCGCGAACATGCAAGGCAATCTGCCAGTTGCACTCACCAGACAACCGGTTCTTGCCATGCTGTACCTCAGTACGCAGCTGAACCGAAGCGGCTCTTTCGTAGTCGTTTCCATTTCGTTCGACAACCGGGGAGCTCCTTCGTCCAGGGCTATCTCGCGAACATGCAAGGCAATGTGCCAGTTGAAGTCATTGGACAACCATTGCCGGCGATCATGTACCCTCAATACCCAGCTGGTCCTGCTACCTTTCCCGTCCCTCGTCTCGGCGACTGCAGTCACTAGGATGAGCGGCTTTCGAAAGATAGAAGGGAGTTGGCTCTCCCTCCCTAACACCAGCCCGGCGCTTGACTCAACGCCTACGGCCGGCCTCCAGATGCGTGTTCCCAGATAGAGAAAGAGAACTTCTTAACCGTATCAAAAGACGACGCCGACATCAGCGGCCCTCTTCATCAATTCCTGATTACGGTCAACGCATCTGGGGGAGAGGTGCGCGGAGCTCATCACGGTCGGTGCATGAGCGCGAAGCCGTAGCGAATCTCGAGATACGACAGGCCCAGATCGCGCGAGTCCCACGAAGCTTTTATCCTCTACCGCTGGCCTTCCTCCTCCTCCTCCTCCTCCTCCTCCTCCTCCTCACCCTCCTCTTCATCCGCCTCGCCACTTTCTGAGACGTTGAGCCATCTTGCTCCCTCTCGCGGTCTTCCTATTCCTCTTCCTCCTCCTCCTCTCCCTTCTCACGATCCTCTGGCAGCCACCGTCGATTCGAGCAACACCGATGGTACATTACCAAAGAGGGCTTTTAGGCTCAGCGGCTTTTGATGAAGTTTCTTTTGGGGGAGTTGGCCGCGACCCCCACCAAGAATAGGACGCGCAGAGAGACTAGAGGTCGTGGGCGCAGAGGCTCGAGCTGTGAGCGTCCCTCGAAACCATCTTCTTCCTCCTCCTCGTCATCGTCCTCCTCCTCGTCATCCTCTTCCTCCTCCACCTCTCCCTAGGCCCTCTGGGACGTGGAGCAACCTGCTCCCTCCTATGGCCATTCTCTGGCGCGTCGATTCGAGCCACACGGATGCTACATTACCAAAGAGGGCCCTTAGGCTTAGCGGCTTTTTGAGAAGAATTCGCTTGGGGGGAGTTGGCCGCGACCCCCGGCCATCGACGGCGGGGCGCCGCAGCCCGCCGATACGAACGATGGCCTCTTGCGGGCCCCTTCGGGGGACGCAAGACCAGTGTCCATGTAAACACTTTTCGGGCCCGATGCAACCCTAGAGTCCTCCAGAAGGACGGACTCGGTGACCGAAGAGAAGATGGCTGCGAGCGCGTTGCACTCGAGCAACTTCCCCTGAACCTGGGAGCGTCAGGGGAAAACTCCCATGTCCCCTGGGTTGTCCTCCCCCGATAAGAGGGACAGTTCTGTTGCAGCCCAGGATATGCCAGGGCTGTGAAAGGCCGGGTTTCGGATGAAGCTGGCCGCCATACCATGCAGGCACTTCAGCATATGAGCCGAGCATTCCTTTGGCTTGAAAGATGTCTCCGAGACCTCCTACCAATGGCTTCTTACATCCTCTCCTCCAGCCCCGTTCCGCCTAACAGCGCGGCCTATGCCTCTTCGCCTCCAGGGACCGTGAGCCCGACGACGACAGTCACCCAGTACTCGCCGGTCGCCCGTCGCCGTCCGCAATGGTGGCAACAGCAACAAGGCCAAGCTGGTCGAGTTCTTCAGCAATGAAATTCATCCGGCCGACAATCTCTTCAGGTCTAGGTATCTCCGGGTGGATGGCTTCATCGATGCTGAGCAGGGTGGAGAGGGCCCTGGCGGAGGCGAACACGTTGAAAGAAGTGCGATTCTGCTTATTGGCTTGCTTGAACCCTGGCAATAGCCTGGCGGAAAGTCTGGTATCGACAAATGAGGCCCGAAGCCGCTTGACGATGGAAGACTTTCTGCAGCTGGCTTTGCTCGACAGACGGAGAAGAAGAGGAAGAAGCTGCCGTCCACGTATCTTCGTTTCAGAATTCGACCTCTTTGCCGGCGCTGGCGACCCCGTCCCAGCAAGGCCGCCGAGGCTATGCTTTCGTGAACTTCTCAGACATGAACGGCAGGATCGCGCTGATCGAGAATATCGAGCACCGACAATGGAAAGGATTCCGCTCGAGCAAGGCCGCCGAGATCTCCTACGCGACAATCCAAGGGAAAGAGGCTTTGATCGCGAAGTTCCGGAACCCCTCGGTCATGCAGGAGACTCCATCCTGCTGTCCACGCATCTTCGTTTCACACCTCGCCTTCTTTGGCGATGGGGGCATTGCCGGCCCCGACTGTTCGTCGCCGAGAGCGACTACGGGAAATCCAACCTCTGCGGGACCGAGCTGGCTTTCCCGGCACCCGACAATTTTGCCAAACTCAGCCGCTCCATTGAGTCTGCGCGCGCAAATGGGCTCTTCCCGCCGGACGGTTAGCTCTGGGCGTCGTTCCATACGACGCTCACGTGGCGGAAGTCAAAATCCCAGATCTCGAATACCGTCATGCTTTGGATCCAGACCTCATGGCCCCCTGTCGCATGCCTCGAGCATGATGAACGATCGCGAGTGAAGCGAGGGAATTGACCAAGCTACATCTCCTGGGGAGTAGTACACCCATCTGGCAAGATATGCGACGGAAGAGTTCAGCAACGGCTGCTGCGCACGAAAAAGTCCAGGACGGTCAGATTGGAGAGTAGCAAGGCGGGGCAGGTACAAGATAATCGAAGGCGGAACGGCTTCGGCATCGCCCTCCAGACCAAGCCTCCCCGGGTGGCGAGGACGCGGCAATGGAGATGCCCTGGCGAACTTCAAGCAGAGTGAGGACTACCGGAAGCAGACTCTCTGCGGCTTCCCCAGTTCGAACCTGGAACCCACTGGGGCCGCCTCCCCTCTCGTAGGCATCAGTTCTATGGCTTTACTATGCTGATCTCTGGTTCAAACTCCTGGGTTGCTTGCATCCTCTGCCTGTGGGAGCTGCGGAAACTCCCACAGGTAGAGTTTGAAAATCAGCAGCGACGCCTCTTGCCTTAGTCAAACCGCGGACGAAGCCTCCGACTTCCGGCGTCGTCCACTCCCGGCAAGGGGCTGAAAAGAGTCCTACAGCAAATCCGCCAACGCCAGAATCTTCGTCCGGTGGAGCCCCTCTCCCTCGCAATCCCGCTCTCCATTAGAAATGGAGCAGCAGCGGCACCGTCTGCTGTCTGATGCTGCAGGGCGCGCTGGCTAGTGTCAACGCTGGAGCCACGTTGGCAAACTCCAAGCAAAATAAGGAGTACCGGACTGAGATCCGGGGATAGCCGCCCGCGCGAAACGATCACCTCCTCCACACCCAGTCCTTAGTATTGAGGCTTTCATTATCGGGGACGTTTTCAATCTTCCCGTTGAAATTGGGACAACAGCAGCAGCGCCGTCTGCTGTCTGATGCTGGAGATACCCTGGCGAACTTGACGCGAAGTGGGGAGTACCAGACTGAGGTTCAGAAAGCAGCGTTGGTGGAGCGAGAAACGAGCAAGGCCACAGACGTCCTTCCCAGAAACACAGAGGTAAAGGGCCTTCGTCGGGAAACAAGGTGTGCAGAACAGCTGAGTGGAGACTGCGACAGCTCGTCCGAGATCGGTAAAGAAGTAAAGAATGCCGGTCCTATTTGGGTCGAGAGATGAAGAAGAGTTGGCAAATTTGATGAGGGTGGGCAGTGAAGAGCGGGGATGTCAACAGCATGGCCGGGCGCTCATACTCATTCAGCAAGATACTGGGCTGCTGCGAGTATTGAAAGAAGGGACCCGTTCAATGAAGAGGAGGAACATCAGACTCAGGTCGCCGGAGGAGTTAGCAAGTCCGCCTTTTCCAATTTCCCGAAGCCGATTTCTCCCTTTTTTCAGGTTTCATCCATTTCCGTGGCGGACTATATCTCTCCTTTCCATCGATGCTGAGCGAACCCGAGATAGTTAATATAAGATTAGATTCTTTTCACACATCGACATTCCCATGCGTATGGTGAAAACGTCCTTCCTGATGCGATTGCTTTTCTTTTCCCCATGGAGCTGGACCTGGATTGGATCGTTCCCTGGATTTTCTGGATTTCCTGGATCCCGAACCTTTTGGACTTCCGGACTTTTGGACCTCCTGGACCGGACCGATATACTTCTTCCCTTTGGATCCTGGAACCAGCCTTCCTTCGTCGCAGGTACCTTGTGCTCGTTACCTGCAGACACCCTCTCCCGTCCCAACGATATCTCTTGACGCCCATTCTTCTTTTGCCGAAGTATGCATGCTGCATCACCTCCCTTCACCTGGCCACATACCCCAAGTATCAACCACCTACAACCAACTCCCCAAGTCAATAACCTGATCACACACCTACCGTTGCACTCAATCTCCAAACACCTCTTCCCATTCCCATTCCCAACCCCAAGCCCAAGCCCAAACCCCAGGCCCAGTCCATACAGTACAATTCCACACACCACACCATACCCATCCACCGGCCCATCTCCGGCAAACCCACTCACGACTCGCGCACCCAAATATTCCCACGCATATGCCGGGGCCAGCCAGCCCTGCCGGAAGCATGTTTTTTCAATCTCAGCAATAATCGTCATGCTCACGACTCATGCACTCCGCTAGGGTAGTCTAGCCAAGTCATTACTTAGCTCCGACTAACACTAAGGAAACGGCTAAACCCTGGTGGAAGAGTTCTGGAGCCTGCTGCGAAAAGACGAGGGTGGCACCAGTGAGGGCCCGGGAGATAGCGCAGAGAGATGGGGATAACCAGGTCAGGTGCGGGGCTCTCACACCGACTTTTATGACTCGTGGAGGGGTGAGTGGGGGAAGAAGAGGAGGGTTGACATCTGGAGGAAGGGAGGGATGATCAGGTGATGTGCAGAGATTTGGTGAGGTGCCCTGCCCAGGTGCAAGAAGAAAAAGACATGGATGGGTTTTGGCGGGTTAGGGTTTCCTGATTTGCCGAACAGAACAGGCTTGGAACTCGCGGTTGTTGTGTTGCTGTGTTGCACGGTCTCTGAGACGTCGCCCAAGCCGCAGAGGTTCGATGCGCACCGCAGACATGGCCAGCAACAGCAGCAAAGCGACAATAATGCGCGACTGCAGGATGGAGTCGCACACTGGTGATTGTTGGCTGGTCAGGAAAGATGTCTTGAGAAGGGCATCCCTGCACCTCACGGCCCTTGTAGCACGCCTCTCTTGACTCTGAAACACGATGCAATTTGTTCCCAGGTTGGGACATCCCAGACATGTCAGACTTGCAAGGCCGCGGCGTGTCTGCATCCCTGGGTTTCGCAGTTGAGCACTCAAAAACTCTGGCGGAGCGAAGAGAATGGCGCCATGGCTGCTGATGATGATGGTGATGACAGGATGGGATGATTTCTGGAAGAGCGCAGTCATTTTGTCAACCTGAGAAGTGGTGACGACATGCATTATTATCCACGGAGAAAAGAATCCTCCATCATCAACATCAAACTCCAACAAACACAAATCTCGAAACATGTGCCGAAACGCCCATCGCAAGGGAGGGACCCAGATTCGAATTCGGGAGGAAAGGGAGAAAAAAGAGGGTCCTCGGGTTCGGGGCTGCCACGTGTCTATCGCGGCGTGGCATCGTGGCATGCCGCAGCCCGCTACGGCTCCGTTGAACAGTGCACGTCGCTCCACTCCACCACGCCAGATCCTTGACGATTGCATTTTCTCACGTTGCGGCGTGGGCGCGTGGCTCGGCAGCATGCGAAAATTTGTACCCAGGGAACCGCTGGAAATAATAGCCCTGCTTGGCTAACGTGAGATCTGCACACTATTCTGGGTTCCTGATATCATGACTCCTTGGAGTTCCCTCCGCTGATGAATGACAGCGAAGGGAAAAAGATAGCGAGGGTTCGCTGGTTTGCTTCGACGCTTCTCTAGGGTTCCCTGAGGTCTGGATAGAGGCGAATTGGCAATCATTCAGAGATGCATGATTTGTGCATAGAGCGAAAGCGAGATGCGGCAGAGGGAACCGGCAAATGTTGCTGAGATGTGGCTCCGAGGTTTGAAATGCCGTGGCTGGTGGGCGGACAATTTGATACTGGATACGGTCGGTATCGTAGGAACAAAGAGCTGGGAACCAGAAGGTACGGAAAGGGTTCACGAAGATAGGGGGGTTTCTGCGGCCAATGGAGTCGGGGCGTGCACTACCGACTCAGCAACCTCGGAAGCATGTTTGCCGCTTCACCATTATTGCTTCTGAACTTTGTTGAGCAGCATCCGCTTTCTGCAGCCAAAAAAAAAGGGGGTGACACAAAAAAGGAATCCGGCAAGAAATCACTGTGAAGATCGAACCGAACCCGGATCTCGCAAGAGGCTCGGATCTGAAACGTGGGGGAGTGCTTCTCTCTTTCCAGGTTCCAGCCAGCAAAACCTTTGTAGTGGCCGCACGTTGGTCGCGCACGGTGTCGTGTGCGGCGCCGTCCTCCCCGTGGCCGGAGATTTTGACACCGGACATGAGAGACACGATTAGATCTCGGGAATGCTGTGTGTGTCATCGGGCGGGTGCCGCGGTGGTTCCTTTTCCGAAACCTTACTTCCAGAAGAGAATAATAATGGAGATAGGGGTCATGTTCCAAAGGTCGTCGGCGCCAGATTGCTGGACTTGCGGCAGCCGGCCCAACGGTCAAAACGCGCCGGTAACTTTGGGTTGTAAGGATGTTCCTGGTAGAAAGGATAGGAGACACTGGAGGGTGAAATCATCAAGCCACGGATGGGTTCCAGCAGGGCACACGTGGGCGATGACACAAAACCATCCATGTCTCGCAGGGAGGGGCCGTTGCCCACGTGGATGCCGCTCACTTTCTTTCTCCCTCAGGCCAGGACTGATCAGCAAACTGGCGGATATTCGTCCAGTTCTTCCACCCAGAAGGAAAGACGGACGCCTGTCTGAGAGCCAGGCCTGACGAAGAAGCGGTCTCGCTCGTTGCCACCGCGATTAGGATGAACACATCTTGATCACAGCATGTCTCTAGATTCTCCCAATTGGCTGGCGGTTGCGGTAGATGATCTCACCAGTGTCCACCACATTTTCCTCGCCGCCCAACTAGTAGAAGCATGACGGCATCAGTACAACTCGCGTACTTTGGACGGCGATCGGAGACCGGAGGCCAGGGTGCAACGTGGAGCGCACGTTGTTGTAGCAGGGGAAGAGTGAAGGAGAAAAGAAAACCTCCGTCCCTCTCACAGCAGGCGCTGCTGCAGCCGGGCGTCGCACAGGCTGTACTTTGAGGGGGTGGGACAGGAGCGAGTATTCGTCAGTGGTGCCCTTCCACGACTTCCACCTTGCTGTGTTGACATGCTGTCGCCACCGCGGGTTGCACGAGAACGGACTTTTGTAATAGGTTCATCAAAACGGCGGTGCAGCTCTCGAAGCCGGGTTGACGCTTGTGTGTGTAGGTGTTGCACATTTCGGTGACACATGGCGCTCGCACGACTGCCTTGGGAGGTTTGCTGCATGGAATCTGGAAAAAGGAAAAAGGGAAGAGGCAGCTCTTCTGCAGCATGCGTAAGGAAACGTCTCCCAGGTCCGCCTGCATGCAGCCAAAATGTATGCGTGCGCCCACTTCGCACGCTTCTGAATGGCCGAAGGCGGGATTGCGTGCAGCTGCAGAGACACCAGAGCACAGTGGCTGGCGAACAAAGACAGGTGCTGCCACCCTCCTCGTCCTCCTCCGCCTTTGTCTCAATGGTGTGATACATGCGACGAACCAATGCGACACCTTTCTCCTCGTGGGCTCCCAAGGGTTGTGTGTGTGGGGCTGCGTGAGGGACTTCGTTTCGCAGCATGGAGAGAAAAATAAGGTTCAGTGCGGAGGACTGTTCTGTGACATGCAGCAGCATATACAGAGGATGCCGTGATATATTCCAGCATCTCAACAACGTGTCTACCGTCTCGGAGAGTTCACGTCCCAGACGAGTTCCAGAGGCCAGGCGGAGGCGGCGCTGCGCCGCACGCTCGCGTTGTCTTCCGCATGTGTGTTCCGAGCTGCTGGCACAACGGTGTTCCGGCGATTATTGCGAGCGATGATGAGGGCGGATAGATGGTCGGTATCTGGACATAGGGCCAGAATCTGTTAGTGGTGGTGCGAAAGACTGATCACTACTTGCCGGATGAAGCCTTGTGGTCTTGATGCCGGAGCTTCTCAGGGGAAACATTTTCTGCCTCGGAACGTCGTGCCTGTTGCCCATGGGCCAAGTGCCACGGTGCCACCGTGTGTTCCGAGGACCGCCCGTCCACTCTCATTTTCCCACAGTGTCTGCAACACGCTCGATCTGCAGGGATGCCTCGTGGGCGCCCTTCCGGCGTGGCCACGCACCTCTGAGGTGCCCTTGTCTCCATGCGGGCGTAAGCTGTGTGGGACCGACGACGCCGCCCAGCCCAGGGGGGAGGAGAGACGAGGAAGAGACAACAGGTTTGAATACTACTGGCCGAGACTGGTCAACAAGACTGGTCAATACCTGGGATGGCTTGTCAGTGGTGAGCAACTGGCTTCAACTGGCTTGTCTTTGTCAGGCCCTCCAGGATGGCTTTGGCCCGTCGGTCAGTGCTTTGGGCTCCACGGCCTCTAAGCTGTCTTGGGCAGGCTGGTGGGCGGGATTGCCTAGCTAGGTGGGAGGAATTGGCCCAGGACGCAGCGCAGTCTGTGGCCATGGTCGGTGTTCTTTTTCGGTGTGCTGCGTGGAGCGGCAGAGGAAACGTGCCCTGCAAAAGAGAGAGCGACAGTGCGAGTGCGACACGACTGGAGTGGTGCTGCCAACCCCCCTCCCCTTGCTAGCCCGTACCCGCTCGCTCCCCTTCTTCAGTCATAGTTCGGGTTGCAGTTTGCGCCTCTGCAGACCTTCTTCTCTGCGCCTTGCCCGTCAATTTGTCTTTGCCAGATGCCGGATCCCATCCTCTCGCTGCCTGACTCCTCCTCATCTGTTCCCCCAGCGTCCCCATCGCCCCTGAGGCCCTTTCCTACCACCACCACCATCACTACCAACGACAGCAGCAGCGGGAACACGGCCAATAATACCAGCACCACCACGTCTTTGACCTCCCCTCCTCCTACTACTACCTCTGCTACGAGCGGGCCCAGCATCCATCGCCCTGTGCAAGCCGACCCGGGAGCCTTGTCGAGTCTCAGCCAGTCTGACCCATCTCCACCACCGAGCGTGGCAGACGAGACAGCAGCACCTCCTCCTCCTCCACCCACAGTGCAGCACTCAGCGTCGCTCAGCGAGCACCAACCGCACCCGCAGAACAAGCAGAACAAGCAGAAACAGCCGTCCAAGCGCCGCCGCTCGACCCTGACTTCGCGCTTTCCCTTGTTGCGAAAGGCTGCTCGTGACGTCTCAGGTTCGCTGCTCCACCACGAGCAGCATCCCTCCTCCACCGCTGCTCCCTCTCGCAGCCATTTAAGATCCACCAGCCGCCCTCACCTCTCCCTCGCCGACACCGACCTCCATCCTCTGCCCTTCCCCGCCGACTCGCGTACCTCCACCTCGTCCTCGCGCGGCCGCTCCGATCCTTCACAAGCTCCATTCGACACCCACCAGCCGCCACAGCAGTTCGAGGAGAATCCGCATCGTCCGGCCTCGCGCGCCTCGTCTTCCACCGCCAGCACCCGTTCCCTTGCACACGAGCCGACCTTCACCTCGGATTCTGCCAGCGTGCCCTCCTCTACTCCGCTCGCTCACACAAATCCTTCGTCCAATCCTTCCCCCCTAAGCACAATCACCGACGCCAATACCGCCAACACGGACAACAGCAGCCAGAGCAATTCGCAGGCTCTGCGCAAGGGCCCCGAAAGAAAGATGCATCAGACAAGCTCCCGCTTACTCCGTATGACGGAGGATGAGCGCCCCTTCACTAGAGTAAGTCGGGGAGTAGGAGAGACTTCCAATCTTTGTTACTTTATTTACACGTTCCTTTCTAGCACGTCATCTCTACTAAGCTTCATCATGTCAACCTTCAGTCACTTTCTCTCAGTCACAGTCTAGCCAAGTTGCACTCCCTCTATCCTCTCCTTTTTGCTGAAGTCGTGGTTACCGGAACCCTCCTCCAATGGGAAGTGGACGACCATTCGCCGGGAAACGATAAGGCGACCACGGTGCATGGACACCGGTACATCATGGCCCAAGATTGCCCGATAATCCAAGCCATGTTGGAGAATCGAGCACCACCTGACGAGTCGACGTGCACGACTTCCCTGCCCGCCGGGAGACGGTCCTCTGTCATCTTGAATAACCTGCCTACGAAGACGCTTGCAGAGACCGAGCCGCAAGTGCTTCTCGAACCCAAGCGATCGCAAAATCCATGGGCTGAGTATAGATGGAGGGTACCGGGGTTCTTTTCTTTATTTTCATTTTCCTATTTCTATTATTATGACTATCGTTTATCCGCTTTTCGTTTTGAGATTTGTGCTAATGATCCCGCCTAGGACTTCGAGGACTTGTTCTCCACACTAATGGTTTCCCTCCCCCTGACACCTCATCGTGTCCGCTTCAGGATGATTGAGTTCACCTTCACTTCGGATGAAGCGATAACGAATCTTGGCTCTCTCAAGTTCTCGCAGTCCAACCGCATGCCCGATCCCAAGGACCCATCCAGGGTTGTCACCACTACGACCACGACAACCTTCTCCATGGCCAAGGAGATGGCTCGTTCGGTTTGCCAGAAGTTCCTTGAAGCCAAGTTCATCGAGTCGGTGGAGAACAAGGTCGACTTCCAGAACAAGGGCTCCGTCTGGCAACTGACTCCCAAGGGTATCCACATCCTTGAGCGCTTCTGCTCCCGCAACGGCATTCAGTCCCCCCATGTCAAGGCGGTGATCGAATCCTCCCGCAATCCCCATCAGCTTGTCATCCTGGAGAGAAGCACCGAAACAGATGCCCTCCACCATGACGAACAGACTGTGCACATCATCTTCCGACGCTTCGTGGGTCCGAACGTCAACGAGACCGCGTCGTCCGACTCCGATTCCGTCCACGAATTTGCCAAGTGCGACGTTGGCGTCCGCATGATAAAGCACAAGCCAACCACTGCCCGCCCCTATGAGCATGTCTTCACAGGTAAAGCCACCGTCGAGTGGCTCATGGACTGCTGCACCATGGTGGATCGTCGGGAAGGCCTCGAGATTGGCGAACTGTTCCTGCAACTCAACCTCATCGCGCCCGTTGACAACCGGAACCCCAAACAGGCCTTCATGGGCACGAAACAATCACTATACTATGTGACACCTCACGGCGAGAGGGTCGCCGGATGGGTTGCCGGTGATGAACCCCTGGCGACCACCGAGACTGCTACCAGCCGAGTGCGTGAAGGGGCCACCCGAGACTCAAACAGCAATCGCACTCTGGTCATAATCAACAATCCCTCCTGGCGCCTGCTTTACCGAGAGTTCCTCAAGGATACCATGTGCGAAGAGAACCTATCATTCTACCTCGAAGTGGTCGAGTTCTCGAGACAATAAAAGGTTGCCATGGCTACCACGGGTGAGCACAAGGTTGACGTTGTCCGCGAAACCCTTGCTGCTGCATATGGTATGTTTGGCCCATTCTGGTCGATCTTCCCCGTACTAACTGTCTGTAGGCCTGTACAATGCCTTCCTCGCACCTGGTTCTCCCAATGAGCTCAACATCGACCATGCTCTGCGAACCCAACTGGCTACTCGCATGACGCGTGCTGTGGGCGATGACACGGCCATGGAGAAGAGCCTGGAAGAGGTTGCGAAGCTTTTCGAGAATGCCCAGAACTCCATCTTCAAGTTGATGTCATCCGTAAGCGATTACCCCGTCACTTTCCGTTTTGGCCCGTCTAACGCAGCTGCAGGACTCCGTCCCCAAGTTCATCAAACACTCAAAGTACGCACCGCAGCTCCGTGGGCTCGACGCCGCAGCATCCAATGCCGCCCAGCCGACGCAATCGGCCACGACTTCTCGATCTTCCTAGGAACCGAATGTCAGCACGACTCGAACGTACGACCAGATAGACGACTTCCATCGAAACATTTCCTTCACATTTCGAGCGGGTCACGGCACTATTCCCAACTCACGGAGCATCATGTAACCTAGACATTGGCGTTCAGGCGGGGCAAAACTTAGCATCATGGCGGCGGTCATCTCTGGGCCCATTTCCCTTCCCTGGGCCCCTTTCTTCATCGTTCTTGTTGCATGGCCGGTTTACACAGTGCGATTGCACCTTTTTCTTTACTGATCTCCTTGTCCGATATTCGCATCGGGATGGAGACGGAAAGAGAGATGTGGCGTTCAGTTTTTGTTTTCATTTCCTTTTCTTTGACCAGCTTCAATCTGTGTATCTGGTCTTTCTGCGCCCATCCTTTACCCTTCTGGGAGGTTGGCTCTTCGTCCAAAGCGAGCCGTTCTTCGCTCTTTCGTGGGGTAGGGAGGGTGATGGCTAGCGTAGAGTGAGGAACTAGGGCGGACTACTTCCTGTATCGTAATGCTGGCGGGGAGATAAACTCTCCGAATCAACCTATAGAATCCATCTCCAATTTTATGTGCGGGTGCTTGTAATATCTAAGAGACTGTTGCGGCGAATGGTAGGAGGCGTTCGGTTCTACAAGTTTCAGGCCTACCGCATCTGCAACGCGCCAACGCAGATAACTCTCAACTCTGTACACCTCAGTACATAATGTACTTATAAGTCTCAGTCGATTCTTGAGCAAGAAATTGCATGAGTGTTCCACTTCTTGCGGTGGCTAGTGGAAAGTGGCGCCCACGTGTTGTAACGGAGCGGGAGCGGAGCGGAACCCCACTCTTGTCCTATGCCAAGAAACCAGTTTGCGCTGGACTGGCCGGTAGGGCTGGCATAACACCTTATCGATAAAGGGAATTCGGGGACCGACGCGTTCTGATGACGGAAACGCGTCCTAACTGAACCTGCCCAGGTGGGAATTGGGCAAGGCAGCAGTTGATCGGATTCTACTCCGTACATTCGTTGTTGTTTTACTCTCTCGAGTTTTCTGCTACGGAGTACTTTGCGCGTCTTGCTTGGACATCCGCTCGTTGTGGGAATTCAGGCGTTGGGAGCAAGTGGGCTTGCTACGACTGCGACTTCTATAAATGGTGGACGGATGAGGTGAGTGAGCTGTTCGCTCGCGAGGGAGGAGGGTTGCCCTTCCCGGATTATGTGACGTTGAGTCTTGGTGAGGAAGACGGGTGTTGGGTTCTTGATTATTTGCATTGCATGGCTTACGGTGGCTACAGGTTCAATTCTATGAGTGAACCTTGCATCGCGATTTCTCCAAGCATCTCACTCCTCTGCTCATCGAGAGATAACGAACACACGCTCTTCAACCCGAACCTACACCACGTTCACTCGCTCCGAACCAATTCCAGACGGAAGCATGGGCCCCGCCCTCCCAGGCAGTCAAGCCGCCCCTCTCCCTTCCAACCTCCCCTTCCGCATCATCAGCAAAAATATCGGGACGGGCGCATATGCTTTGTACGCCTACCTCTTCTCAAATTTCCTAGGCAGCGCCAATCCTGCAAACTAACCCCTCCCCAGCATTCGCAAAGCTACCCCGCTCCATGCCTCGCACCCCGTCATCGCCATCAAATTCATCAACAAGGCCCACGCCTTCACCCACGGCCGCCTCACCCCTGTTCAACTCGAAAGGGAAATTACCCTGCACAAGCACCTCGGCCGCCACCCAAACATCATCCTCTGCTTCGCTGCCGGCTCCGATGCCGCCTGGACATGGCTTGCCTTAGAGCTTGCGGACGGCGGCGACCTCTTCGATAAAATCGAGCCTGATGTTGGGGTCGGGGAGGACATTGCACATTTCTACTTCTGGCAGCTGATAAATGCGGTGGGGTTCATGCACTCCAAGGGAATTGCCCATCGAGACATCAAGCCGGAGAATGTGCTGCTGAGCGGAGAGGGGAATCTCAAGGTCGCTGATTTTGGGCTTGCGACGCTGTTCGAGAAGGACGGGCAGAAACGCCTGTGTCACAGCGTGTGCGGCAGTCCGCCGTATATTGCGCCCGAGGTGGTGAAGGGGAGGAGAAGTAAACGTCCAGACTTACTGGATCCGGGGGAGGGGTATGCGGCCAATATCTGCGACATCTGGAGTTGTGGTGTCGTTCTCTTTGTGCTCCTGGTGGGAAACACGCCCTGGGATGAACCTACCATGCGCAGCGAGGAGTTCAAGGAGTTCGTGGAGAAGGGCAAGGACACAACGGATGAGCTTTGGAAACAGATTCCCGACGGGGCGATGGACCTGTTGCTGGGCATGTTGACGCTCGAGCCCGCCCAACGATACACGATTGACAGAATCAATGCGCATCCCTGGTTCAACAGAAAGAACAGATACCTCAGCCCCAGTGGGCGGAGCACTAACCCAATCGGTTTGGCAGCGGAAATGCTTTCCCAGCTGCGCATCGATTTTTCAAAGGTCCCCACGGCGTCACAGCGGCAGTCTCAACCCTCCCAACTTCAGGAGGCAGATGCGATGGAGCTCGATTCCTCCTCCTCCCCCAGGCGCTCCATGGCTTCTCCCCCCATGCCTCCTCTGGTCACGGCCAACCAACCCATCACTCCTTTCGAACCTCCCACTGGCAACGCACCCGTCTTTGACTGGCCCGCGCCCTCCCAACAGCGTACATACCAAACCTTCTCCACACTGCCCGCCTCCACGCAAGAAGCCCTCTCCCAAGACCCCTCTCTGTCGCAGTTCAGCCAGCAGAAGCCGTCCATAGAGGAGTACATGACCCTCACGCAGGCAGCGCGGCAGTTCCGCGACGTCTTGCCCGCGAGCAGCTTTGCGCGGTTCTTGAGTCCGTTAGAAGTGGCCGAGTTGGTTAGGGGGTTTGCACGGGCATTGAGCGCGCTGGGTGTGGCGTGGGAGGTGAAGGGCAGTAAGGCTGGGCTCCAGGAAGGAGGTGAGGAGGTGGGAGAAGGGATGGATCTGGACATGGATATGGATATGGGTATGGATGCAGATGATGCGAATGCCGCGGCCGCGGTGCCGGAGCTCACGCACTCGTCCTCCACTGTGCCCACATCATCATCATCATCCCCATCCGAACCCCTCTCGCAACTCGCGCAGCTGAATCCGGACATGTCGGCCGCGACGCTGCGTATCCGCCTGCATGATTCCCGCCGCCAGGCGCTCAGTGGACACGTCGTTGTGGAGCGCGTGTGTGTGGGGGCGGATGTGTGGAGTTCGGAGGTCAGGTTCGTCAAGGGGGTGGGGGATCCGTTGGAGTGGAGAAGGTTCTTTAGGAACGTGGTTGTTTGGTTGGGGGAGAGGGTTGTGCTGAGGCCCGGGCGGTAGGGGGAGATTATGGGGATATCCCTCGGAGGGAGCGGGAGAAGGGGAGAGAGGGAGGAGAGAAGATGGGAGCGGGCGCGTGGACAGGGGGAATGAGAGGTGAGATGAGAGATGAAGTGCAACGACAAGAGGAGGGGAGGGGAGGCGAGTTTTGCAGCCAGCAACGAGATTTATGAGATTCGAAGACTTGAGTTTTGAGTTTTTACCGAGTTTGACTTTCTAGCTGTAATGAAGGAAGAACAGTCGGACAAGAAGAATTGCGTATTCCAATTATTCCTCCTGCCGGTTTTGTTCGTTTATACCCCGACTGCTAGCGATTTAGTTTATTGTATCCTATTTTGTGCGCCGCAGTCTTCTAACGTCTGTCTGCCTTCTCTGAATACTAAACCTTTTTTACTAGTGTTGTTGCTTGCGACGCTTTATTTATATATATGAAAGGCAACTGCAACGTTTCCCTTATTTCTGCATACTATTTATCTCAAACTAGGCCAAAGAAAAAAAAAAAGGAAAAAAGAAAAGAAAAGAAAAGAAAACAAACAAACAGAAAGATAGAAAGGAGAGGACAGTAAGAAAGGAAAGAGAAAAAAGGCCTAATAAACCAGAAGATAACGACCTACATCATCATATCCACACAATACACGACTTGCCCATGGTGACTGGGAGTTTTCGAAGTCACCTGCCTCGCAACATCGAAACCGCGTGCGCTAAGAGGTAATCTTCTTCATTCGTACTATTTTACACGGTGCGGAAATAAGTAAATGAGTATCCCTGAGGAATAAATGCGGCGGAGTTGGAGCTGCGAACGAGGTGGGTATGCACAGCCACGGTGTTAAGAACTTAGGGAAGGAGGGAAGTGTGCCCTAGGAGGTGGCTTTGGGCTGGACGGGTAGTTGACGACGGGGTACGTAGGATGAGGTAGAGGGCGTGAGAGGATGATGGAGGGTTTGAGGGGATACACTGGGGTATATCGCACAAACCCCGTCTACGCTGATTGATTCAGAAGTCATAGAATCAAGACAGACGAACAGACAGACGGCGAAACAAAAACGGGGCTATGTGCTAGGGGAATTCTCGACGCGAGGCTTGTGGAAGGTTCAGATGGACGTTTACGTCGTCGTCGTCCGTGATTGTGGATCGGGATAACGTCGGATAGCGTGCGACATGGGAGCGCGAGAACGGCAGAACAGAGCGTCCCCCATCTCACATCACCTAGAACGGGGACAGTCACAAGGAAAGAGTTTGGACTTGGGAGCTTCTTAGCTCTCATAGCGCGACCACGGTGGAAGTGACGCGAGGTACGAGGCGGCCCCCGGCATTGGCAGGGCCGGGGGAAGGGGATAGGATGAGTGAATGCGTATCTGCGACGGCGGTTGATTTTTTCGATTTTTTGTGGTCATTGATCCTTCTTAAAGCTTCTGGACTCCCTCCACATAGTCAAAGGAAGTGTCTATGTCTATGGGGTTCTGCGTACGAATCGAGGTGGAATCTGAGAAAAGCGTAATGGCTTAGTAAGCAATTAAGGAGGTCCCCGACCGACCATTTTTCGCTCCAAGTCTTACAAGGGTTGAGTTGGGCTCGCCCGGTGGTTCTGTTCGCATGGTAGGACGTATTGCGGGTGTTGCAGCGCGCTCGTCACCTATGTATCAACTGCAACGACGGCACTCTGTACTGTGGCGGTCAGTGGAAATGGCAACTGGACGGAGGAGATACGTACTTGGGGCAGTTGTAAGCGGCGGTTTTGGAGTCTTTTACCTTGTTATCGATTTGCGACATGTGGTTTACAGATGGCTGAGGCAATCGTCGGCGGAGCGAGGAGCGGGTGTAGGAATCTGGGCGAAAGCGTAGGGGCAAGGGGTGCAATGTTCGGTCTACGTCTCGCGGATCTCTAGGCGAACTGAGTGGTGGAGAGGATGCCGAAGTATCGTTCGGACCGCGATGTGCGCAGCGGGTTTGTGATGTTCTGTTCCTACCTCTTCTAGCTAGGAGGATGTAAACGGGTGTAAAGCTGTATTGCTAGATTGTCGACAGGTAAAGCAAAGTTAGGGACGCAAGAAGCATCCGTTACTGCGATAATGTAGAAGGCACATACGGCCGTAGCACTATGCAGGCATAGTGGTAACAAGTTTAGACTAAAGTGGCAGTAGGGATCGATGGAAGTAAGGGGTTGGCCGGACCCAACGGTTCGACACCGACTTGCAATAAAAATTATACATCTATTGAACTCCATCAATCGCTACGTCTCCTCCATCGAAGCCTTCCCATAGCATCATAATATCCCCCGCGTCTGCAAGCAGAAGATCATCATCCTCGTCGACTGCCTGTATTTTTGACACTGACACAGAGCTCAAAGGAGCACAAGGCTCCGAGAAGACGTCTTCTTCAGGTGCAGTGCTACTCACTTCACGATCCGTGATTCGGCTGCTTTCGACAATGCCCAACCTGTCATGAACCTTAGGAGCAGCTGTTACAAATGGCAGAAGTGACTTGGTGGGACGTTCCGACAGCGAGCTTTGCAGATGCTTCCAAAGTCGTGAGCGCACCACATCCTCAGGAAACGGTATCGAATCATGTGACGCGGCATTCCATCGCGCGGAATGCTCTTCGAGCAGCGTTGTCATTTTCTCTTGGAGCGACACTGAGTTTCTAGGCGAACACGTAACCCGAACCATGGAACGACTCAATGTAGGGAGGAAGTGCGCTCTTTGAGACAATGCCTATACTAAATCAACAGAGTATTCGACGAAGGATTGCATTCATTACCTGGAGATAATGTGGCGTGAACAAGGCCGGGCAGACCTCGGACAGCGTGGCGCTGAAAGTGCTCGTTACAATCTTCACTCCTCCGGACACTCTTGAGGGGTTCCTGCAGACCGATATGCGCATCGCAGCGTCGACCATTGCGCTAATGTCTGCAACCTCAACTGGTTGACCTCCACTGTTCGTGCTTTTCGATTCATAACTGACCGCATAACATCGCTTTTTTACCTGATGTGGTGATATGCTGACTGGGTTGTCCCATGGATTTGACTGATTGTTAGAGGGACTGACAGAGGACTCCAGCAATATTTCCTCTTCGAAATGCTGCTGTTGCATATTTGAGACCATCGTCACGGAACTGTCTAGCAATGCCGCTTGCGCGTTGTTGGAGTTATCTGATCCGGCATCAATTAGGGTGCCGAGTTTCTGGTTAGCATCGCGAGACATTTTTCGCTTTTTGGCTTTTGATGCTGGCCGAGGCTGCAATATATCCAGAGACAGGCGCACTGAGTTAAGGCTTATTACTGGAACCATTTCAGGCGGCTTGATGTCTGCAGAGGGCACATTTACTCCTAAACGGTGGCGTGCCGGAGTGGTGTTTTCATCGACATTTCGATGGTGCGCGATACTGATCCGTATCTGCCCTTGTACCTCGCTTTCTGAGATAGTGACGTTCAAGCCTAATTGATGCCATACCTGGTGCCAGTGAGATTTCGGTCAATGGGTACTGTTCGGCTAACATACCGAGGCTTCCCTCAGAACTCCCATCAATTGCGGCACATGATCTCGATTGAGCGGCTCTAATAGCACGGAAATGTCCAATATAATATGCATGTCGTAGCCGCGGCATACCCAATAGTCCCCCGAAAGTAAGAGTTCGAGGAATCTATATTGATCGAGCTGTTGCGGGTTAGTCGACTGCTGCTGTGACCACACAGTAATCGCTGCGGTTAGCCAGAGATGCAACGACCCATTAGCTGAGTGCAAGACAGCTCTCCCAATCTCGACAGTACGCGACATTTTGAGGAGCCATATGTACGTGCTCTTCACTTTGGAGACATAGGAACGTCTGGCGACATATTGGATTGACCTTGGCGCCAAGTACGCTAGTAGCCGTGCCCAGCCGTAGGGCTGGAATTCATCAGATAAGATTATCTCGGTTTCAACCGGGGAAAGCCGCTGCGCAGAGGAGACCTCGGAACGTTGCTCGGACTCAACCACCCCTCGTATTTGGCTTCAACAACGACATGGCGAACACCAGAGCGATGGGGTTTCGCCGCCTGAGGCTCAGATCAAAGGGATTCGCCTCCCCTCCTCGCCCATGGCCCACCCGAGCATTTCAAACAAGTGCCGCGAAGCGGACGGACGGCGTCTTTCGAGAGCTCACGGCGATGCGAGTGCAGACGCCATGGATCGAGGCACTGAGAAAGAAGCAGGCCGAGGATGCCGACCCAAGCTCCGCGTCGAAGAAGCAGGAAGTCTCAGCGGATCGCAAATTGACACCAAAGCGGATGAGCGACAGTTATCACTCGCTTGTCCTTCCTTTGGCGCAAGATCCGTGGCTGCTCGATAGCTATCTGAACGCTTCCGGGCACATACGGCTGGGGACGCTGTTCATGGACCTTGATGCTCTCTCTGGTATCATTGCGTGAGCGCTGAAAGCCCGCGCTGTTCCTGTGGTCAGTCTAACTTGGCGCGCAGATACAAACACACAGGGCCGGACGTCACTACTGTTACCGCCTCGTGCGACCGCATCATCCTGAAAAACCCATTGACCGAAATCTGCGACTTGCAACTCTCCGGACAGGTAACATATGCTAGCGGCAGGAGCAGTATGGAAGTCACAATGCAGGTTGCGAAAGCGCCAAAGGAGGGCGAATCCGTGAAGGAAGAAGACGTCCTGATCAAATGCGCCTTCACCATGGTCTCGCTGGACCCAGTCACGAAGAAGTGCGCTCCTCCTCATTCCTTCAACATGCGACTACAAGCTCACATATCCCAGGCCCGTCAACGTCAACCCGCTCCAGGTCGAGACCCCCGAGGAAAAGCGGCTCTACGCGCTCGGCGAGCAGAACTCCGAAATCCGCAAAGCGCACAAGCAAACCTCTCTCATCAAAACCACTCCCAATGATCTCGAAAGCGACCTCATCCATGCCTTTTGGCAGAGGCAACTCCAATACCACGACCCTTATGACGAACTGCGCAAACCAGACAACACACACTTCATGGACACGACTCGGTTACAGACGGCTACCATCATGCAGCCGCAGTTCCGCAACCGCCATCACTTTATGATATTCGGTGGCTTCCTACTGAAGCAGACGTTCGAACTGGCCTTCACGTGCGCAGCAGCCTTTGCCCGCGCACGCCCAACCTTCGTCTCCCTCGACCCGTCCACTTTCCAAAACCCCGTCCCTGTCGGCAGCATCCTGTATCTCACCGCCACGGTCGTCTACACGGACCCGCCGCTCATAGGCGCGCCTGGCGAGACGTTTGACCAAGACAGCAAATACACGCGCGTGCAGGTGCGCGTCGATTCCAAAGTGCGGGACGTGGAGCACGGACGGTCCAAGCCGACGGGCCAGTTCAACTACACGTTCACGGTGGAGAAGAACATTCGCGTCATGCCGAGGACGTATCAGGAGTACATGATGTATCTGGATGCGAGGAGGAGGGCGGAGCTGGTCAAGGAGAGTGTCAAGAGGGAGGGCAGTGGGTGGAATCCAAAGGCTGCGGAGGATAGTTTGACGGAGTAGTAGGTGGGTCACCGTTGTGCAGGATAGGTGTTGGTATATGACTTGGATGATATAAGGGGGGTTTGTATTCCATCTATGTAGATCAGGACCAGGCGCAAGCCAATAGAGAGTAATGATAGAAGAGATTGATTCAGCCACATCAGCGCACAGCCACAATCACGCTCTTCGTAGAATAGAGAGCCTACCCCTCGTGCCACTCGGTCAACACTAGAAAGGCCGGGCCGGACTCGCTTTGCCACCCGTCAGAGTCACGCCGTGTACCTGACTTACACAGTACTAACGGAGACAGACGAGGTACAAGTGGGCATAGTACAGAGTGAGTGCGGCATCGGCAGGAAAGGGGTATGGGAACTCCTACACAGTAGACTAGTTAGGATTGGGGCACCTCGCTCAAGGATAGGTGGAACCCAAGCTGTGTAGTACACAGGTGTAGGGATCACAATCGATATCTAGCAACGGTCGATCCCTTCGATGGGCCCCTTTCCCAATCCAGAGCAATTTATTCCATGTCCATCTGCCAGGAGTCAAGATATCAAACCTTCTCTTCCCCTCATCCATCCGTGTACTGTAATAATACGCGGCCGGGTCCTCACATCCAGTCGGGGCGGAATCGGCATGTGGTTCCATCTCGACAGCCTTCTGGGCGCAAAGGGAGCGGTGAGGGTTATCTTATGGGGGCACAGACGCTCGGACCAGCGACTCGAGTAGAGGCGGACCCTGCAGCGAGAGGAACCCCACTCTGTAACATTTGCCTATCGATAAGCATGGCATTTTGACACTGATGGGAGATGGGATGAGGGGGAGGGGATGGGGATGGATGCAGCGGGGGACTGAGGAAAGCTGAAGGCTGTGGTTTCGAGGAGGTCAGATGCTCGTTCCAGAATATGGTTCCCGTTCATTCTCAGCTTGTTGAAGGATGAGGCTGACAAAACACACACAGTAACCACGCAATCCGGCTTATTCTTATCTCGTTCCAAGGTTCGCCGGAGTGCCACCATCTATCCATTCACCCCTTCCGAGATGGGCAGATACCCTACCTGGCGGATCAGACAGATGGGATATATACCAACCAATGTACAACAGTCCGTTACAACACCACCAGTTGCCGCCCTTGGAAGGACACGATATATCGCTCTCGCCGTACCCTAAAGTCAGGTTCAGCAGCCGCCTCGTGGACGAATGGTGGGGCAAGGAATCCTTTTGCGCTAATCTGGGCCCCGCCGAGCTCGGGTAGTGGCCTTAGCGCTGCTTTTGCTGGACCCTGGATCGGCGCTCTGCAGCGGGGGCGGGGATGTTCGATGTTGCTGTCCCGGAGTCGGCGGGATAATAGGGGGAGGGAGGACCGCGCGTTGCAACGGAGCGGGAACACCAGGGGGAAAAGAAGGGTTTTGCGTTGGAAGGCGAAGAGGGAGGTCGTGCGAGTTGAGACGGAAGGCTGCACAGGCTTCGAGGGCGGCGGGAGAGGCGCTGAAGTGAAGGGGAACACAGCATCCATCGATCTCGATTCTCCTCAGCTCAGGAGCGACACGTCTCTCCACCGCCTTTCACGCGCATCCATAATAATAGTAATGGCTTTCACCCCCGCTCGAAACGAGGCTGGCCATACAGACGATCGAGTGAGTACAGTGGTGAGCTCCCACGGACCAGTCAATCTGCTCGGCTCCGTCCCTCGGTCCCATGCGGCTAGACCAGCGCATCCAGCTATCAAGCCCCCCTAGCACGAGGGGAACCTTACGAGAGGCTCGGAGAGCATGGGGACAGCCGCAATCTGCAACTATCGGCCGACTTTTTCTCTCAAACTAACGGTTGTACCTGATGGCCGGGGCCCAGGCCATGGTGAGTTGTATAAAGGGTGGTGGTGGTGCCCTCGAGGGGCTGTCTCTTCTTCTGGATTCAAGAAGTCTATCTGCACGCCCGCACATCACACTCTTTGTTACCAGCGGCTGAAACGCGCCGTCCATACGTGCGAGTACAAGGAGACAAAGGACACAGACAAAGACTTTGGGATCACTATACCCGGCATCGTGCACAATACAAGCGGAGCACATCACGACCGACATCCCACTCGGATAGCAACATTCATTTCAACCTCGTCTAGTCGCAGACTTACACACACTCTCTTTTACAGCATCGAGGTCAGTACACTCATTTTATTCATTCCAGCATCTAGACCCCATTCCCATCTCCCAGACCGCCATATCTCGGACCTGCAGGTCTAGACCTCCGAGCTCGCGGCGCTGCGAGAGTCATGCGATACCACGATGTTACTTCCCCTATCAATGAGAATTACCGCTGATTATGATATCTTCAGCTTCAGCCTACTATATATATATATATTGCTTCCCGAACTACAGCTCGGAAACACCTCAGCCCGCTGAGACACTCGCTGACGATCACGCGCCTTTCCACCACCACCACCACCGCTCACCGGATCCCAAAACCCTCGCTTGCGAAGGCTGAAGAAGAAAAAAGACAACTGAGACACCCGTAATCAATCCTACAAAAACAACCAATTCATCAAAAATGTGCTCCTACACCTACTCGTGGTACTACTGCAACCACGATTACTACATCTGGTAAGGCCCCTTACCCACCCCAGCCCCCTACTAGTCTAACACTTTTCCTCCCAGGGCCGACTCGATCGAAATCTGCCCCAACCGCCTGCTGTCCGGATACTCGTACGACGCCTGGAGCATCGACATGTGCAAGAACATGAAGGTCACGTGTGGTGGCTTCTCGAATTATTACTGCAGCGATTGCTCCGAGGACGTGGCGCTCGAGTTTGAGTTGGATGAGCTGTAGATAGTGCGCTTGCTTACTTTCTGGGAGGCCTGGTGGAGGAGTGGGGGAGGAGGAGGAAAGACTTGTTGGTGTCGGTGAAGGCCGGTCTCGGGGTTTAGGGGTGGGGCGGAGTTAACGCCCTGACCCCACCTTTCCTCGTTCCACAACTTCGGATTCGGGATTGACGAGATCACGAGATCACGAGATCACGAGACGCGAACCGAAGGGCAGGGACGGGGAGGGAGAAACACTCAACCTCTACCGGCCAGACTTCGACACTCGCCACGGATACTTCTCCCTCGACGCCTACCATGGCATATCCTACACATCCACTTCACACCTGGTGATCTCTCCTCACCACCACTCACAAAACATCTACCACACGCTCGACGAGACGAAATATTGCACACCGCACCCCAGCCATCTCCCTCCGGCATTTTATCCCTGCATATCCCGTCAGTTACGTTACATACGGCGTTTTTGCATCGTCTTCGTATTTTTTCAGCGGAGCATTTATCTTCCCAACGTTTTTGTCTTGTCTTGAGCTTTATACCAATCGCGGCTTGGTTTTTGGGTTAGTGTTTCCTTTGGGTTTCATGGGTGCAAGATGCAAAGGGCTTTTTTTTGTTACGTTTGAATTTCTCTGGTTCATCTAGATTAGAAAGGAGTTATGAAACTATGAATTTCCAACGTGGGCGTGCTATCTTGTACGATGTGCCATGTGAGATTTGCTGGCCTTGCACGTGTACTCCGTACCCCGATACAAGGACAGCACCAGATATTATACAGGAACCGATGGAGGTTGCAGCAATGCAATGCAAGTTCCGTTCAAGCGACACTATTCGTATATTCCAATAACCCTACCAAGGCGGGCGGGCCCCACGATTTCAAATTCCGGGTATCTGATGAAAGAAAAGAAAAAGGGGTCGTGAGCGAACCATGCTTACTTGCTTGCTTGTCCAACAAGAAGAGGAAGAATCGCTTGTCCCATCCATCCAGGCACGCCATGGTCTGCTCAATCTCAAGCTCCTTGTATATCCACCAAATTTCTTTTCTTTTCTTCTTTTTTCCCTGTCGTCTACTCAACAATCACTCCCAACTCCACTTCTTACAACCCACTCTGATCATCACCCCTAATCACTCTTCCAATGCCTCAACCGCCCTTCCTCCTCGCCCTTGCCAATCTTCAACTCAATCGCATAGATGCCCATCGTAACCGCCAGATTGATCCACCGCCACACGTTCCCGCCCACCCTCTCCCCCTGGTTCGTCCACCACTCGGCCCCTCCCTCCACCCCTGCCCCATTCCCGTTCGCAAAGTGCTGCATCAGCAGACTCGTATACACGGCGATGAGGATCGACGGGCTGAACCAGCTGAGGAAGCCCAGGAATTTGCCGGCTTCGTCTTCGTCGTCGAGCGAGGGTTCTTGCGAGAGGGCCCGGGCGCCGCTTTGGTGGATGGCGGGGATGATGCGCGCCGACGCGTACATGACGAAGACGCGGTAGGCTAGCGAGATGATGACGCTGGGGGTGATGGTCAGGACGGCGCCGACCATGAGGTTGAAGCCGGTTTGGATGATGCTCGGGAGCGAGCCGAGGGCGTGCAGGAGCGTGGTATACGACGCCATGATGATGGGAGGGAGCGGAGGTAGTGCGGGCTCAGAAACTGCATTCGCGGCGGCCGAGTCCGGCGACGGTCGGTAGTCGGTGAAGATTTGGTAGATGCAAAGGGTGACGTAGGCGAACTTGACTGGTCAGCTAGGAGAATCGTAGAGCAGTCGAAGGAGCTACATACGAGTAGTGCGGACTCCACAGGGTTACCGCGTCCGCTCACGATGCCGGTTGCACAGAGGAATACGGCGGTAGTAAGGGCTACGCCGATGAGGATGGCGTCGATGTTGTCAATCTGAGGGAAGGTCGTAATTCGCCAGACGAAGTATAGGGACGTCGAAAATATCGACGCCGAAGTGATCAGGAAGCCGATCTGGCGTGTCGTTAGCGGGAGAATATCGAAAAGTCGTGCTGTCGTACCATCCAGCTGTCGCCCCTCTCTCCATTGACCAGCCATCTCGCGTAGTCTCCAACCGCCTGGATTACCAGGATTGTGCAGAAGCCCTCCAAGATCTGGAAAACAGGCGTGCTGTGCGCCAGTATCTTGTCCCAGGCCCCAATGGTGACAGCCTCCACTAGTCCCTCTCTCCCAAACAGCCACTCTCGAACGCTGTCATGCTGTGCCCGTTTCCCGCCAAACGTCCGTTCGACCCATCCAGAGCTATTGTCCGAGTCGATGGAGAACTTGTTCAAACTCCAGATCAGAAGTGTAGGAATGACAATCCATTGTGTCCACCGTACGAGTTCGCAGCATATCCGTCTGAATCTCGAGCCGTCCGGTGTGATGAGGCGGAGGATGGAGTAGAGGAAGTAGTAGCTGGCCAGTGACAGCGAAAAGGCCAGCCCACACGTGCGGCCTCCTACGTCGAAGGCAAGGGGAATGGTGAAGAGGATGGTGTTAAGCCATATCGTCGATGATATGAGCCTAGTTAACCACATGTGGAGAAACAGCCGCCGAGCTCGTGCGAGGACGAGCTGGTCTTGTGGAGCGCTTTGGCGCTAGAGGCGAGGAGGGGCAGAACGCGTCGAGGGACGCGCAGGAGGCGCGCAGCGATCAAGAAGACGACCAGGAGACCAGGAGCTCTGGCGGAAACGGCGAGGCGCGGGTGAGTGTCTGGGCTGCAGAGTTGTTGCAGTGTTCAGTGTATTCTTGACGCTTGGCGGTGAAGCCACCTATCTTCACGTGCAAATGATGGCCGGAAGATGCTCGCGCTCGTTAGGCGGGGGAACTCGTATCTTGTAAGAGCGAGAAGCTGGCGCTCCTGAATTGGCGAAAAGGGCGGGCGACGTTAAAAATTAATCTAGCTGGGAAATCATGGAAAACCGGGTCGTGAATCAGGGACAGCGTTATTTGGCTGCAGGATGTCGCGTGTGGTTGTCCAGGGTGGGTTGGAAGATTTCCAGCGAGGCCGACAGGGGGGGCGTACTGTGGTAAAGGTGCGTGAGACGGAGAGCAAGTGTTCTGTTCCGTCGGGCGATCGGAGGAAGAAGTTGGTGTGGGAGAATTGCGACGCAGGCGCAGAGCAGCGGCGGGAAAGGTGCGAACAGCGGTGAGGGAGAGGACACCTGGGCAGGTTGTTGGCGGTGGTGATGGCGAAATTGCCAGACGCGAGCGAGCTTGCCCCCTCCCCGCCCCAAGCAAGCTCCGTCCGCCGGCCCCCGCCCAGACCCTTGGAAACGGCCCGTGAAGCAGCGGAGGGGTCTTTGCCAAGCCTTCCCGCCCGTCTTTTCCTCCCCTCTGTCCTGCAACACCCTGCGGCCATTCACTCTATGCTGTCTGCTCCCTCCAAACGTTGTACACATTGTTTGCATGTTCACTTTGCGCCATTGTTTCCTGAACGTTGCTCGAACATCCGCGAAATCCTCGCCCACTCTCATTCACCCCCGCTTCCTGCACCACTCCGCGCGAGCAATGAGCGCAGTGAATCCCGCAAAGAAAATGAAGCTCGACGGACCCTTGATTGGCACGCATAAGTACGATCACAGTCCTCAATGGAGGAACTGGTGAGCTCACAAGACATTAGTGGTCATTTCCATGCCGACGAGGCCCTTGCAGTCTCCATGCTCCGACTCCTGCCTACCTACGCCTCTTCACCCCTCGTTCGCACCCGCGACCCAGCAGTCCTCGCCAATTGCCATACTGTAGTGGATGTTGGTGCCGAGTATGACCCATCCAAGAACCGTTTCGACCACCACCAGCGCGAATTCACCACCACCTTCCCCGGCCACAACATCAAACTCTCCTCCGCAGGACTGGTCTACCTTCATTTCGGCAAAGACATCATTCAAGCAGTGACTGGCATACCACCGGGCGAGGACCTTGACCTCCTCTTCGAGAAGATCTACAACGATTTCATCGAAGCTTTCGATGCCAACGACAATGGGGTGAACGTTTTGGCGCCCAAAGATCTCGAAGCGGCAGGCCTGACCAAGAAGTTCGAAGATCGTGGATTCACCATCGCAAGCATTGTAAACAGATACAACTACACACACTCCAGCTCCGAGGCAAAAGGGACAAAAGAGGAACAGCAAGCGCTCGAAGACGCCCGCTTCGCCAAAGCATCCGCCTTCCTTGGCGAGCAATTCGTTCTCGAGCTCACCGATCGCGCGGCCGCCTGGCTCCCCGCCCGCAAAGAAGTCGCCGCTGCTTACGCCGAGCGCCTCCAATACGATCCCCAAGGTCGCATTCTGGTTCTCAAGAAGGGCATGCCTTGGGCTGATCACCTCTACACTCTGGAGAAAGAAGCTCACATCCCAGAAGGCGTCGCACCGCAGGTCCTCTACGTGCTGTTTCCCGAGACCGACGAGGCAGACAGCAAGTGGCGCATCCGCGCTGTGAGCAAGGAGAATAGCGGGTTTGAGAACCGCAAGGACCTGCCCGACGCGTGGAAGGGTGTTCGCGACGAGGAGCTCAGCAGGATATCTGGGATTCCAGGGGGGGTGTTCGTCCACGCCGCGGGCTTCATCGGAGGGAACAAGACTTTTGAGGGAGCGCTGGCGATGGCGCAGAAGGCATTGGAGCTGTGAGTGCATCTATATATGATTTAAGTGTGTTTATCATCCCATGCATGATTGGGCGTTTTGACGGAAGACGAAAGTCTCAATATGATGATACCTTTAGACTATGGTTGGCACCATGAAAAATAGATATTGGGTTTTTCCTTTTTTGGCACATTCCTTCCAAGTTGCTTTCCATCTATTGCCTACATCGTATCTGCAAGTTCTTATTTCTGTCCTGGACATCCCACTCTCGGAAGTGGGGGCGGGGCGGAGGTTATCGCGTCCCTCCAAACTTCTTGGCACTCGACGTAACTTCAACTTTTTCAGCAGTCCACCCAGCACACTTCCACAGCCTCCACATATCCTCTTACTCCCTCCTCCCACACTCATTCCCACCCCTCACACCTCCTCCAACCATGACCGATCCCTCCGCCTCCTCCTCCCCCTCGACCACCCCTCCCTACTCCCTCCAACTGACCCCGCTGTCCACCCTGCAACCCCCGTCGTCTTCCCGAACCTGGCAAACGAAGCCGCACCCCTCGCTCCCCCTCGTCGCAACCGCCTGCTCGGACCACACCGTCCGCATCTACAGCCTCACCTCCTTCACCCTCGTGCAGACCCTGTCCGGCGCGCACAAACGCAGCGTCCGGACCGTGAGCTGGAAGCCGAATACGCGGGGAGAAAGCGTACTCGCAACGGGGAGTTTTGACTCGAGTGCGGCGATATGGCGGCGGCAGGAGGGAGTAGGGAGAGGGGAAGAGGATTTTACTTCTAGGGGTGTGAGGAGCGGGAATGACGAGGATGATGATGATGAGGAAGAGGATGATGGGTTCGACTTCACGACCATCCTGGACGGACACGAATCGGAGCTCAAGTCGCTGTCGTGGTCGCCGTCGGGACACCTGCTAGCGACGTGCTCGCGCGACAAGAGCGTGTGGATCTGGGAGGAGGTGGACGAGGAGAATTACGAGACGGTTGCTGTGTTGCAGGAGCATGATGCCGATGTCAAATGTGTGGCTTGGCATCCCGAGGAGGAGTTGCTCGTTAGTTCGAGTTATGATGATTGGGTCAAGTTTTATCGCGAGGATGGGGATGATTGGGTGGGTGTCGGGGGGATTGAGAGTGAGGGGGGTACGGTGTGGTGGGTTGAATTTGAGGGGAGTGGGATGAAGGAGAGGGATTTTAGGAAGGCGAGGGAGGGGTTGAGTGAGGGGAGGGAGGAGTGGATCGCGATGTTGGAGCGCAGTGGTCCCCGGTTGGCGACGTCTTCGGATGATGGGGGTGTGAGGATTTATCGGAGGAAGCCGAGTGAGAGGAGTGGGAATGCGGCGGCGAGTACGGGCATCCCGAGTATTATTCGCTCGTTCTCGATTGATGAGGAGTGGGTTCTTGATGCCGTGCTGCCGAAGCGACATGATCGGCCGGTTTACTCGGTTTCGTGGAGTAAACGGACGGGTATGATTGTCAGTGCGGGGAGCGATGGGAAGATTGTTGTGTACAAGGAGCGATGGAGGGAGGCAAAAAAGCAGCAGAGCCATGAAGCCGAGACGAAAGCCGAGTCAGACGTCCAGGCGGACGGAGAGCAGGTAACTACAGAAGCAGGCAAGAAGCCAGACACGCCCACCGAATGGAGCGTCGTCGCAGAGCTGTACTCCGCGCACGACGTCTTCGAAATTAACCACGTAGTCTGGGCGCATCGACGGGACAAAGACTGCAGAAGCGAAGACGAGGAGGTGATCATCAGCACAGGAGACGACGGCGAGGTGAAGGTTTGGACATTGGATGAGGTGGTCAAGGCATAGATGCATTGTATATCGGTACATTTGGATTTAAGAATCAGAGTTATACCCGTGGGCGTGTTAGTTAGCAGTCATTACTAAGGTAGACAGGAGGGATGGGACGATGTTGGAACGAATACTTGGAGTCATAGACCGGCGATGCAAGAATTGAAATATTCCTCATGTTGCGGCCGTAATAAGAGAGAGGAGAATAGGCCCTTGTATGTCTGTCAAACCCAGTTCAAAGCCTATTTCTAACAAGCTCCGGAGGTCAATCAGTAACGGTCCATCTCGCCCGAACGCCAGCGCTATATGCAATCTTTCGGAGAAACCGAAACGAACCCGGCTAGTCTACTTCACTTACCGTTGACTGCAAGAGGTGCGCGCTGTCATAACCCCACTGCCACGGTCTCAACTCCATATCGCTAAGGCACAACGATGAACATGTCATCCACCGGCACCAACCATCACTCCAAATGCCCTTCAAAATCGCACCATGCCTTCCGCAATACGTTCCAATCCCCATCTCACTAAAACAAAACCAAGCACACAGCAATGGCAATCACAAGGCTCAGATGTGTAGCCGACACCTGGGCCGCGTCGCTGGCCGTGCCGCAGCACTTCCGGTCGTAGGTGACGTTATTCGCCTCCGCTGCGACGGCGAAGACGGACCCGTTGAAGGGGCCTTCGTTGTAAAAGTCTACGAGGAGGAAGTTCGGTGGGCGGGCGTAGCGTGCTGTGGGAGGACGTTGTCAGTAAAATGGTAAACCTCGAAGGATTTCCGAGAAGTGAGGAGGAAGGGGGAATCAGGGGGTAAGAAGTGAAGAGGGAAAGAAGAAAGAGATCTCAGAAACGTACCCGTACACGTCTGCACCATCTCGCCCAAACTCCCCGTCCCATTGACCCCATTCGTCTGATTCAACTGCACATAATTCGGCACCAGCAAATGCATATCCGCAATACTAATCTCCACATTCAGGTTATGATTCGCCATATACAACAACTCTTCCTGATCCTCCCTACTCAACCCCTCGGGCCTACCCAAATCGCACGGAAACGAGTTACCGGTAGGACTGAAAGGCGTCTCCCACATGTTGTAAAACTCCCACAGCAGCCAGGGCACAGCCTCGTGGTCGAAATTGTAGTCGATTAAGGTGACGACGCGTTTGTTGAGGAAGATGAGTTCGGACAAGGTCGGCCAGTCGTCGAGCTTCATGTGCGTTTTCGGGGGCTGGTAGATGTAGCGCTTGAGGCCGGATTTCTCAATGGGGGCGACGAAGTCGACGGCCGTGACGAGCGGTTTGCCGTTGGCGTCTGTCTGCGCGTAGTCGCCGTTGCCGAAGAGGATGGTGATGACGTCGAAGGGGTGGTGGTCGAGCCAGTCGGTGACTTCGCGGAGGTAGTCTTCGACGGTGCCGGCATCGAGCAGGTCGCACGATGTGTGGCAGTAGTGCAGGGTGCCGTTCACCATGTGCGTCTGGCCTTGGAGCATGCGTATGCCGTCGTTGAGTTGCTGCGTTACGCCTATGGCTTGGTTGCTTGCGGCATTGTTTTTGCGCACAAAGGGCGAGTTGTGGGCGCAGACTTCGGTGATGTTGGAGTAGCGCCGGGAGCAGAATTCGGGGTAGTTGTTGCAGGGTTGGGTGTTCGTCGGCGTGGCAGACGTCGTGGTGCTGGATGTTGTCATGTTACCGCTCGCACCGGTGGTACGTGTGCCCCCTACTATTTGGGTCAGGGATTCTTTCGTAGAAGTCGAGGTGATGGATGCGGTTGCGTTGGATGTCGTAGACAAGTCAGGTATGGATGCCGTGCCGGATACGAATATGCTGCTCTCGTCTTCGGGAAGTGACACAGTTGGCACCGCAGAGTCAGTCGTTATTAATCTTTCAGAACCGGTGAGCGTTTTGATTTCCTGAGAGAATTCGGACTGTCGGGCGAGTGTGAGACTGGCGCTCGCCAGACACAGGAGGTGGAGAAGCATCTGCGCTGAGTTGTGCAAGTGTGAGCAATGCACTCGCGGGTGACTGCTTCGTTGTGCTCCTGAGGTTGCACTAGATCTTCCTTCTCTTCCAGTCCAGGATTTTGGGAAAACGGGCTCCTGCCAGAATTACTGCTGACCCCAAGATTTCTCCTTGGGAGGAACGCCAGAGCGACTTGTAAGTTGGGATCAAGGCGAGGTAAGAACGGAGTCCCTCAACTGAGGCGGGTTGACCTAGAAACGATCTCGCTGGAGGCTCAAGTTAAAGACCAAAGAGTATAAGTATGTCCGACGGATCTCAAAGGCCTGCAAGATTAGGACATTGCAGTCCTCAAGTTGTTATTCTTGTCTCAAGCTCGAGGTTTACGCAAGTCGTTTCGGAGAATTTGGTGTTTGACGTCAACCGGCCCCACTGTATATGCAGGTACCGAGCTTTCAAACAACCAAACGATCGCTTCACCATTGCTTGTGGTCCTTTTGGGAGTTATGCTACATGTCGGCCTGGAAACGGACGTGCATTATTATTCTTTTCCTGGATTAACAAGCCACTCTCCGTACCATTATGGACGCCCCTAAATAGTACAAGTACAAGATTATTACAAGCCCCAACATTGCCAGCCTCCTTTCAACACCCTCATCCTTGCATTCCGCTATCTGAGCGGAATATATCATCAATCTTCGGTCTCCCCTCCAAAAGCTTGATTTGCTGCTTCATTACATCAACCTGATAATTCTTGAACGCCCGCTCAATGCGTTCCTTCGCCTGTGGGTCTTTGGCTATGGTTCGCGACGCTGACGCTGTGCCGGACATGAATCCCAGCTCCCCACCAACAAACAGTCCGCCGAGCGAGAAGAAGAAATAGGTCGCCGCATCTCCCCACTTGGAAGGCGCTAGCTGTTCAGTAAGGTCTGGAACGGGCGCTTCATAAATGTAAGAGTGTGGTCAACAAGATATCCGGGTATACTCACCTGTCCTGCCATCAGCGAACTTGACCTCGACCGGTTTCTCCAGCGCCCTGAACGCTTGGAAGTATGCTACGCGCATGGTCCGTAACCGAGCAGCGCAGTACTAGAAAGTTAGTAAACTGAGGCAGCCTGTTCCGTCAGAAGTGTCGCATACTGCACAACTGTTAGCCACTGGTCGAAGGGGAGGATATGGGGACCATGAATAAGCCCCGCCAATGTGGAATCGTTCAGCATACCTATGCCCAAGGTAAGGCCAAGGAGCGTGCCAATTTTGGCATGGGTTCCTATCTTCCCACCAGCACTTCTGAGAGTGTCACGGTCGGATTGAGTCAAGCTCCAATCTTGTAAGCAATGTACAACTGATGTCGAGAAGTGACATACTCGTGTTGGAGATGCTCCTCTGCTAGCCTCCGCAGCTGAGCACTGCGTTGGTCTCTGAACGCGGCCAAGGAGGTCATTTTGAAGGTTTGGATGTGGGGTTGAGGAAGGAGAGAAGAGAATACAGGTTAGCAATGGAAGTGAGAACGTGCGAGTGTATTAAGGGAGATTGACTGTATTAACAGTAACAGTAGGTCCGTTGTTTGCTGTTTGGTAACAACGACGTCATCGAGACGGAGTTCACAGTAGTCTACATACGGCATAAAGCAATATGACTAAGCGCTTACTCGCAAAGCTAGCTAGAGAGAGCCCGCGGGACCTTTTCGGTTGTCCGTAGAGTGCGTCACCACGAACCGAGCCACCCCCCCAAGCGAGCCGTCGCGTACTACACTAGCCACTAAATATAGCTATCTTTAGCAGAGTATATCTCTTACACTACTACATATTTTCGTGTAGTTTTTCGTGCAAATTCTAGCGCTGTGTTACCTCTATCTTTTACAAATTTTACTTTTTAAAAATATGTTGCTGTTTAGGAGTAGTACCTTGCCCGCTAGAGGCACTCTTTCCCTGCAATGCCGCCTGCGACACCGTTCTAGAACTTAGCTAACACCTCTTTCTGCAGCGCTGCTAAGTTACTAGAGTTTGTTAAGGGAGAAGAGGCTATTTAGAAAGCTCTTTAAGATTATTATAATAGAGTCTCTCTATCTCTTAGGCATACGGCGTTATCCCTAGGAGTTGCGCGTTTAACTGCTACCTACCGCACTGCTAGCCGCCCTCCCTGTAACAACACCTGTAAGTAGACATTTATATCTAAATAAAAAGATGCTCTTAAAGATTATATAGATAAATGCTAGAGTTTTAGTTTCCCTCTGCATGTCTGCTACGTTAGGGAGATAGCTAAGCAGCTAGCTAGAAGAAGGTTAGAGAAAAACTAGCTAACAAGGTAGGCTAAACGCTAGGGACTCTCCTCCCTTACTGCCCTAACCCTAGATTGCATACAGGCCTATAATTACAATAAGAAGACGTTTAACATCTTTATCTAGCTGCTCTGCCGTATCTAAGATAGCTATAGAGTTAAGCCTTAGAATATATAGATATCAGATGGTAAGCTAGTTTATGGACATTCTATCTGGGACTGGAGAGGAGGACTGGGAGAAACTGTCTGTACCGGTACTGTCTGAGGATATGTGGCTAGTAATTCTGCAGTGGCTAGTGCTCTGTGCAGCCTTGGCGCTCAGAGAAAGAACATCAAAACCGGTGTCAGGTGCCAGCCTCACACATAAGCATATACCTGAATACAATCAGTCAACCTATCTTCAATCAATCTTTCTGTCACCATGACATCTTCAGATACCATCAAATCTGATATAACTATTAGATTTCTGTAGTTGCCTTTCCTCTTTATTGTACGTATCTCCTTTAACTACTAGACATTAGCTTCTTTACTCTATTACAGTACTACTATGCTTAGAAAGTTTAGGATTGTATATGCTACAGTAGCTAGAGTAGTATTAACAAGACTCTCTTCCTATAGATATACTGCCATATACAGGAGAAAGCCTTTATAGATAAGAATATTAAGAGCACCTAGAAGGCTAGTAGTCTTAAATCTTTTAGCAGCTACCTAGCTAAGTTAAGGTTAGAGTCCTTAAGAGTAGAGGAAGAAGCTTAAAAGACAGCTAAGATCTAGGTTTCTGCACTAGTACCTAGGGCAGATAGGACCTTAACTGCGCTAGATTTTTATAAGACGACTAAGTAGCTATAGATCCTAAAAAACTAGAGGCAGGCTAGGTGTCTAATTAATAAGATTAAGACCTTTAAGCTTTAGAGAGTTAATAGCATTCTTAATACCCTAGTAAAGGTACAGATAGATAAGCTAGCACAGGGTTTAAACTTCCTAGAGACTATACTAACAATTAAGT